AGATAATTGTTGCTAATTAAATAAGTAAATGTTTAAAAATGCAATGTAAATATTCTTCTGTGTTGTCTGAAGCTCAACATATTTTGATTAGGTATAGAGAGAAACCTCAATACATTTAGATAAGTTTTGTAATATTACCTTTTGAATTTACTTAATTCCATTCATGATCATGTGTAGGTTTTCGTTTTCATTCATGAATAAATTGAGCTTTTGTAGCCCACAACGTTATGGAAATCATAAACGTAAGTTTAACTTTGCATTTCTCATTAAAATTATCCTTTTTTTACAAGTTTCCTAAAATTGGTAATTAATGTTCTTGTGTGAACTTGATTTAGGAATTAGAATTTTACGATTTTTGTTTGTTCTTTTCAGAGTCATTAGTACGTTAAAAAATTAGAATAAAAATTGATAGTGGAAGACAAGATGTCATTGGTTAAAAAAATTGAGATTAGTCAGATTCCAATCACAATTTTTATTTTTCATTTAAGCCATACTGCTTTTCATGATGATCATAAAGTTGTGCATGCGTTATGTACATGCGAATGAAACTTAAAAGCATTCGTACGCCGCATGCTACATGCCGCATGTTTTCCTATGCATATTGACAAATCGTCAATTAGTTAATTCAATTGTAAATTGCAATCGTACTTTGTATTATTGCACAAACGTTGAAATAATTGATTTATCAAAAACTTATTGTTAAATAATCCCATTTATTTATAGATAAAATTTATTACATTCATGTTATATCGAATTTTATATAGCCCATGGCATAGCCTCATATTTATTCCATTAATCATTAAACATTTTAATGATCTAATGGAATTAAATTTAAAAATTAAAAATTAAAGCTTCTTCAAAGCATTCCTCAAAATGTGTAATTCAAGATTAATAGTCTCCATCAGATCGTCTAACTGTGGTTTAGAATCTAAAACATCAATGCTTTGAGTATAAGCATTGTATCGTACACCAAACGGACGTGGAATAGTGTCAGCAAATTTGCTATGTAAAGAAATTAAGAAAAATACAAATAGATAAGTGATGCAATATCAATAAAGCAACTGATCATTAATCTTACATCATTTTCTCAATAGCACTTTCAAAGCTCTCAGAAACAAAGTAGATTGGTTGGTATTCTGTAATTGGATACTTTTGAAGGCCGGTAACTTCTGGATCAAACTCTTTAATTTGAGGTTTGTCGGTCAAACAATATTCCAACTCTCCAAAGCTTGAAAGCAAACCAGCACCATAAGCCTTCAATTCTCCTTTTTGTCGGCACATTCCATACTCCACTGTGAACCAGAAGCAAGTAGCAAGCTTTTCAATGTAATCATCAGGTGCACCAAGAGATGCTAAACCAATCTCTTGAGAAAATTGAGCAAAAGCGGGATCTGCAAACAGAGGCGCATGTCCAAGCAACTCGTGTACGACGTCAGGTTCTGGCTGGAATTTTAATATAAAAATAATTAAAAGATAATTACAATTAAATGTGAATAATCTCTCTCACTGTATAAAGTGGCTTAGATGGATGTCTAATATATTGAGTTGAGTGAAAAACACGGAAAGCTAATCCAGCAAGAAAATCACGAGACGACAATAAACCAGCAACGGGACGAAGTTGAAATCCAGTACAATCTTTTAAAAAGTTTGAAACATCTTCAAGTTGGGGAATGTTGTCTTCACGATAACCACAATTCTCAATCAGTAAAGGAAATACGTGATTATGTTCACGACATGCATGAGTTGGATAAAGTTTCGTTAAATTCCTGAAAATAATTCCCCATGTTTTGATCTCTTCTTCCGTGTATTCGACATGTGGCAACTGATTAAATGTAAAATTAATAAAATTATTGTAAAACATAGATTACAAATAAAATAATTATAATCGAGACCTACAGGTTGCCCGTGTTTATAATTGTAGGCAATGTCGGCAAAATATTTACGTCGTTGTCTATAAATAGGATCAGTGAATCCAGGATGATCAGCATTTAATTCTGAACCATATGATAAGATTTGATTAGCAAAACGATCGAGCTCGCGAATTCGTCTTGGAAACCATGGAACGACATCATTCACATCGTCCGCTAAATGATCTTCGTCATGATAAGCTCTCGAAATGACTTTCATGTAGCCACATTTATGTTTTAATTCTTCAATTGCGTCATGTAAGCGCTGATTTGCTTTTGCGTCACATTCAACCATGAATTCGTAGCCTTTAAATAAAGATTTTTGTACGAAATTAGAGGTGAAATATTAAATTATTAATTAATTTCTTTACCTGGTCCACGTGTTGAAGAACGTGACTCAATATGAGATAAATCAACTTCATAATCATGAAAAACTTTTAAGAATTTTGCAAGTGTTCCAGCTTGATTTGTATTAAAAGGTGAGAAAATGATTGAAGTTTTTCCAGCATCGCCTTGTGAATGTGATTCGATAATGTACGATCCACCAGTCTTAAGTTTCGGCTGAAGAGTAAAATTACATAGCAATGGTCATTTCAAGTAATAAACAATAAAAATATAAAATGAACTCGTATTGATCATTAATTATGACCGTTTTATTTTTAAATACTTGTTTTTAAGGCATATCATTATTTATGTGATAATTTTAAAGACATAAAAAAAAGAATTGTGAGAGTGAGAACGAAAATTTAAAACTTGTTTCAATAAATAATTTACAAGTTTCTCATAAGTCACTGTAATAAAACTTGCACTGAACTGATTGAAACGCAATTTCGGGGTGATATTTTTATTTAATCACGTAGTCCAATATACTCTCAAGTTGAACTACATTGAACCAGAGAAATCTGGAATGACACTCACAGGACTTCCGACAACTCCGAATTCATAATTTCCATTAGCTTTTCCATTAGATTGTGAATACATGATTGTTACACTTTCTTATAAATGTTAATTATCAAATTTTTTTTCGCAATGCAAACTACTTTCAATTGTTTTTAGATACACTAAATTGTTAAATGTTTAACATACAAAAATACTTTTTTCAATTTCCGACCACTTTTCAGGGCGTTTGAATTAAAACTGAGTATGAAAATGACAATATTGAGACTTAAATACGAAGTACGAACGTATTTAAACTTGCTTTTGAACTGGATCTTGTTTTGCTCACTAAAGATTACGCGACGAACAATATAATCTCACACTATGGCGTGACAGATTTTTTATGATGAATGTCGAAGTATTCTGCCGGTCATCTCATTCTCAATAAAAATATGTGACTTTATACATAATTGATAACAAAGTATTTGATGAATAATTTTTGTACATATTAACAAAATCAATTAATTATAGAAATTATTAGATAGATTATTAGATATCTCTGCAAAAATATTACGCAATTTATCTTATTGTTTCATTGCGAACTTGATAAATAAAATGATGACGGAAAATCTTGTACAATGTCTTGAGAGCTGTAGATTAGCAAAAAGTCATTGTCTGACAAAAATATAAATGAGACCAAGATCAGAGAGGCTTGCTTGGTCCTATGTGACCTTTTAAGTCGTAAAATTTTTCTTCAGAGCGTTTAATTTCATTCAAAACTTCAACACGTAAAGCTACTGCGCTTATCATTTTAATTTATGATCTCCGACAGTATTTTTGAAAAGTCTTAATATTAAATGTTCACTAGAATAATAAATAGAATACTTTTTAATTTGTATTAATAGAAATGGTCCAAGTGTCTGATCTTTTCACTTTGTCAGACATTTCAGATTAAATTTAATTTTTGAAGATTTTTTTGTATTAGCTGAAATATGTGTATCAAGGTTTGCAATATCAACAGGACGCGCGTGTTTCGAATAACCCACTAATGAACTTATGAAAACAAGGAAAAAACAACTGAAACATTTCTGACACATCATTGGAGGCTCGCCTCAGTGGAAATATTTGTTTGTTTATTTATTCCAGATATGAGTTTATTTATACACATTTTTTAATATGATCATTATGAAATTATTTTAAATGTACATCAAGTAAACAAGATCATAAAATTTTAATGACATTTTCCTTCTCTTTTTGAATTTATTTGTAAATATTATGAAACCTATAAAGTTGCCTTAACTTATATGTACACTCAAGCGAAATCAGATTTAATTCCTTTTAAAATTCATTTTCTTTTACTATGTTGGTTTTAGACTTAAAAAATTCATTAATATCAAGCAACACATGAAAAAAAATCTTGATACATGAAAATTCTTGGATGAAACGAGCTTTTCAAACGAGCTTTTCAAAATTGAGCTTTGACATTCGAAAACATTAAAACACTCGTTTCATTGTTGTCTCAAACAAAAACATTAAAGTTGGTATCCCGGACGAATACGGATCAAATATGTCCGAGTTACGAATGAAACTTGAAAACATTTCATTTCGCGCCTTTTCACAAGCAGGAATTTGTTGTTTTATTTTAATTTATTAACCATGGAAGAAGTAAAGTTTTGGAAAAAAGATTTTGTGATTGATAATGAGGAAGCATGTTTGCTCAAATTGAATGAATTATCATTTGAAGAAAGAAAGCCATTAAGAGAAAATCTGAAGTTAAATGAAATCAATAAACTTGTGTGCCTAATCGGAATGATCACAGACAGTAAAGAACCGGAATATTATTGCAAAAAGTATAAATTGAAAACTAAGGATGGTAGCATTCGCTATGAAAATGGAAAATTCTCCGATAAAATGAGTTTCGAAATGGATGAAACACCAGAAGAAATGGAAAAGAATTTGGATGAACGGAAAATCTTTTTGGTCGCAAGTCATTCATCAACAAATGATTGGGTTAACGATATAAATCAGGCTACAAATGAAAGTATCGGAAATAAAAGAAAAATTGATGATGATATTAAGATAAAACACGACACTTACACGGTTAAGGTAAATTTATTTGTCATTTATTAATTTTAAATCAATTTTCAAGTTCTATAAATTCCAGGCTTATGAAAACGTAGATCTTCCTATCAATAGCTTGGTCGAAATTATTGGATTTTTATCTGTCCAACCTGAGAAATCGACTACTGATCCTCCCATGGAAACTGATGGATTTGGTGATGAAAATAACGACAACATTAGCAAATTTATAATTCATGCCATGAAGATCAAGGAACTTCCTCACAATAATCCATTGATGGATAAAGATGCAAGTAATGAGGAAGACATCATTCAGGAATCCCAGTGCGAAGAGATTCGAAAAGATTTACTGAAAATTCTAACTCACTTTATGTTTGGTGACGAGACTGCAGCTGAGTTCTTACTTTGTCATTTGATAGCCAACATTTATGCTCGCACAAATGGAGAAGTTCTTGGAAAGTTTTCCATCAATTTAACTTGTCAGGAGATTTCAAATAACATCTTGTCAGATCATATTACAAAATTCTACAACTTTCTAGAAACATTAGTACCAAATTCTGTGTATTTTCCCCTCACAATTGATAATTTCAACAAAACATCTTTTGTACCTACGAAAGATTATTCGTCTAATCGACTCCAAACTGGCTTATTGCAATTGCCAAAGCATACTCATCTGGTACTCGATGAAACTAAATTGGAAAATGGAAAACTAGAACAATCAGGATGTCTCGCTGTAGCTGAACTCACTGAATTCATAAAATTGCAACAAGTAAATTATGATTTTAAGTTCTATAAAATTCCATTTGAAACAAACATTCATGTAATGATTTGGAGTGAAGGAAAATCATTGTTGCCAGTAAGTACCATTAAATTACATTTATAAATCATGAAGTATTTACTTATTTTGCATTATTATATTTAAAGTGTGATTACATTGTGCCAATTAAGATAAGTGATCAGGAATCACTTCGTCTTGTCAATGAAAATATCGCTGCTGGCATGCATTTCATTAAACCTAAACTTAACATCATTCGCCGTTATTTGACTGATTGTCGTCTCAAGAACTTTGAAATTGCTGAGGAAGAAACAAAAATGATTGAGAATGATTTCGTAAAGATGCGTGAAGAAAAGAATCTTGAAGTTGAGCAACTTCATTCATTGCTTGTTTTATCAAGATTGATTGGAATATCAAAAGGGAACAAGAAACTAAGTGTATCTGCATGGGAAGCTGCAAAAGCACTTGAAATGAAAAGAACAGAACGAATCGTGAAAAAAGTTCGAAATGAGTCTTAATTTAAAATATTTAGTCTTAAGAGTGTGTTTATAGTGTTTCGTTTGATTAGCAAAATAATATATTGTCAATAAAAATTAACGGTTTTTAATTATTTAAATTACAGTTAAGTCTCGGTATAACGTACGTAAACATTAAGAAAAATATCATTGACTTCAATTATCCGAAAAGTGAGATTTATTGATAGTAAATACAGGAATAATTAAATATAAACAGTTCATAAATGTGTTCCTAAATGTTATCTTGTGATGGTAAATAATGATAGTTGAAATCAATAAGATCAAAGACTGAATTTTAAAAGAAACACAAACTCTTGATTATGAAAGAGAAATTTGGCTGCATTTAAATTTTAAGCTATTTAATATGAAACTCTGCTATCAAAATCATTTCTTAGCCTTGAATTTAAACATTCGAAATTGATTAAAATACCGGAAACATCGCGTTGTTGGGTAAAACTGTCCGTGTTTTCTGCTTGAGTAAATTGCACTTCGTTGCCCTAAAATTAATTAATTCAATTAATGTCGTGTGTGATGTTGTATTCTTTTGAGTTTTTCAAACCTACTGATATCAAACCCATTGCTGGTTTGTTGTTGTATTCTGCAACTTTCAAGGACGTTGGATTTTCTGATTTCACTCGTAATACTACATTTGGGTCGTTCTCGTCCTTGACCTTTGTCATATCTTCAATTGGCATACATTTCTGTAGATTTCGAGAAGCAGCAGATTTTTTTAAACTTTTCCCTTTTTTATTAGTCAATTGTTTTGGTGACGTTTTGATGTTTGACTTCCGAAGTGTTCCATAATTCCGTACCGGTTCCGTATACAAATTTGACGACGAATCGCTAAATTCAATTGTCTCGTAAACATCATTTTCGTCGTCATCGTCATCATCATCAACCGTCCTATCTAAAAAAGGAATATAAAAAAAATTAAATTCCATTATAAATCGATAAGAAAACTGATATCGTATCGCTCTATTTTCTAACCATTTTTTGCAAATCTTGTTGAACTACTTCTTTTTCCTGACACACATGCCTGACGGCTGAAGATTGAGTGATTGTGTCGGAGTTTTCCTGGTATATGATTTTCATAACGACATACACAACTTTTCTCGCCTTTCATTTTCTGACCATCGGCAAGAATCTTCTCAATGTCTGTGACTTTTTGATTCATTTGACGAAGTTTGTCACTCAATTCACGGATTTGCCATAACAGTTCCTCAATCACCCCACTTTGTTCATTGATTTTAATTGATTGCTCATCGATCTTGCTTGAATATTGATGTTTTAATTCGGATATATAATAAATTAATTCAGTAAATTCTTCACGCGTCGGATACATGTCAGTTACAATTAAAACGACGGCTCTATTTTCGCATTCACTTCACTGTTCACTTCAAGGTTCTAACTTACACTGAAAACATTTTTGTGTGAATCATTGAATAAATTTCACGTTCGTTAGAGACGGGAGAGTCAGACATACACTTACATTTTCTCCTAAGTAACTTTAAAACTTGTTATCACTTAATAACATTTTGAATGTCTTTATTTCTTTCTTTCTTTTCAATACTAAATAAATTGTCAGTTGTTATCTTTTGGTTCTCTTAAGCTTTTATCAATGAGAAAATAAATTTTTATACTTCTGATGACACAAACATTGATTGACGAAGTGATCCATATTATTTCTACAGAGAAACAAACATAAAAAACCATAAAGTTCATTAAATGATTGTTTCAATTTGTAGACGAATTGTTTTGATTGTTTCAATGAACTTTGACGCGTCGTGTACAACACATCGTCACTTTCATTCATACATTTTTCTTTCATGAACGTATTAAACAAGTAAACACGCGACGGTTGGCTTTGAACATATTAAAAGGTTAATAGCAAGGATCAAATTAGTCGGATCAACATTGGGGCAGTCTCATTAACATTTGTTGATAAGAGCTTCAACGTTCAATCATCATCTCTTGAAATATGACTACTACAATGTTAATTGATGCTAATAACTCTGAAAATTGCCATTTGTAGGATTACTTTAAATCGAATCTGTAACAAGTGAGAAAAAATTAAGAAAGAATTCCAAGAAAAAGTTTGTAAGCAAAATGTCTACGTATCAAACATATGACAAGATTCAATAGATGAAATTATGACGCAAGGAAATTCATTCTCTCAGTCAATAACGTAAAAGAACACGAGAAACGAAAACTTAAGTAAATAAAATTAATTTCCATTTTCGTCAAGATACGATTTCGTTTCGACGTCACAACATAGAATATTTCTAATAAAAACCGAAGACGTAAAACAAGAAGTAGAAGAAGAAGACAAAACAGTTCTCATGCATTAGTCTACTGGTGTAATTGAATGAAAAGGAAAAATCGCTTTTCTTTCCTCGATGTTCGTATCTTCTATTTGTTTGATTATCGAGTGAACTTTCACTTTCTCCAGATTGTTTAGTGACGACATTTGTGATGGTTTGAGATATGTTATTGGAAAGGAAAGAAATAATTCTATGAGAGTAGATAATGTAAGAATAATTATGCCTGTCATATGTCCATTGACTAAATATTTATCACTGATAATGTTTGTAACATCACATAAGTGCTTTCCATTTGTAAGTAACAAGTTGATATATACAACATGTGACATACTTGACATTATCAATATCTGCCACCACAAATGTCATGCTTTTTGTATGAAATTGATTCATTGCCCTTACATAAGCTGGGATTCTTAGATTCCGAATAGGCAACGCAATGAAGAATGGTAATAAGCCGTAGAAAAACTTATGGTTTTTATGTTTCGTTCGTTTTTTCTCATTGCACTGATGAAAGCAAGCATAAAGCTTTTCTCTCGCTTTCTATCAACGATAAGATCCTTTTCCACCTTTGACATTTCACAAAGCGCATGCTCTCGACAGTGAGATGAGGAGAGATGTAAGTTGTCTGCTTTCCTTCATGATCATCGAAAGCTTTCTTTTTTTCTACTCTCTCATAATTTTCCTTCACATCAATTCAGTTATAAACGGAATTTTCATCGAACAAGTTCGAAAGTTAAATTCTTGCGAAAAAAGGAATAAAAATAAAATAAATCATTGAAATTGAAAGAATATTGAAGTAAACTTTATGTGATGGAAAATATTCTTGTGAATAATAAAATTAATTTTGTCTAAATTTTTGTAACTGCAGTTGGCAAAAAGTAAGAAAGGAGAAAATTTTCTTTTCTATTACAGGAGAAGAAGGAAAAAAGATTTTCTTCTCATATGACGTCATGGAAACATAGGAGAAATCTTAGTTGCGACATAATATCCTGTGTGACCTAGAAGAAAACTTTGTTGTTGTCTTAAATAAATTTCTTTGATGTCATAGAAAACGAAAAAAAGATTTCGTCTCGTTATTTGCGCGCTCGATTAAGGGAGCTTCATCGAGAGAGAAAATTTCTTCTTTTGATTGTCGGGGGCGCGTGAAATAAATTAAAAAGAAAAATGAATAGAATAGCCTTTTCTTGCTCTCAGGGTTTTTCTTGAGGGTTTTCAATTGATCTCTAATGATTCAGATCTTTCTTTCACAAAAGCGTTATTTTCATCACATCGTTATGTTGTATATTTAGAAGCGAAACGGAAATCTTTTATAACGTGACAATTGAAAGATGAGAAGAGAAAATGAAAGGCTCGTCATAGGATCTACTAAAAAATGACGATAAAGGGGATTCTTTCTGAACATGTACATTTGTTTGTAAATCTTTTTGATTATTTACTTTCACCTGTTGGATTTGACTAAAGCTTTTATAGATTTGAGGGGATATATCTAAATGATTTTTGTATTATTTAGATTAGATAAAGTGGCATGTGAAAGATTGCGGCGCGATTTAAGTCAGAAGAATAAAATATAATAATTCAAATCGTTACAATCCTTTCACGCGGCAAAATCAACATTTACAGATTTCTAAATTTAATATTAAAATGTGTTAATTAAACAAACCTCAGTTGATTGTAAACATTGTGTATTAATTAAACAAGATTCTCTCAACACTTTTCTATCTTCATTCCTTCTGTTGTCTATCATTCAATCGTTAGTCATGACGTCATACCAAATATTTTACTCGCGAATTTCCCACACAATAGAATGAAGAGAAGAACAGAAGTAAAAGCTTCTCAGATTTCTCTTTCTCTCGATGGTGATAGAAAAACATTTCACATAGCGACATGAAGAAATATTTTCTCACTATTCATTCGTGTCACTATCAGGCAACACGCCAGACATTCGAAATCACTCAGTTTGCCTTTTTTTCTGGTGCAGAAAAGTCTCGCTGGGCATATAAATAAAAAAGAAAATTCCCATAACAAATTATCTAATTGTGTAATAGTGATCTGAGATATTAAATGCAATTATAAGTTAATTAAACATCTGTGTATTGAGTGACATAATTGTGCTTACAAAATGAAAACGCAATCAGAAAAATTGTGAAAACACTCGTAGAAAATTTTAATGATTTAATATTAATTTACTTTCAAAGAAGTTTTGAAGAAAAAAGATATTGGATGATAATTTAATTGAGATAATTGAATTAGTGTTGATTTTATGCCATACTTGTAAGTTTATTAAAAAATAGATACAAAAGAATATGAATCAAGCTTCTGATTTCTATATATCGATGTTGTGAATTGTGCTTTCGGGTAAAGAGAGAAGCAAAAAAAGTAATTTATTGATTACATGATGTTAACATGTAAATGTTGAGTTGACATTCCGGTCGTGCAGAAATAATGTTCAAATCCTTGAATACAATTCAATGTTGAGTGTGGGAAAATTCCTGTTATTATCATGTTACAAACCGCTTTGCTTTCACGTTTGAGAAAATTGGAAAAATGAAATATTCAAAGTTTAGGAAAGATTTTGAATAAGTTAAGAAGTTTTTGTGGATATTGACAATAAAAAGAAAAAAAGATTGTTTGTTGCTTGATCCGAATAAAAAGCAAAAGTTTTCTTCAACATTACCAATGCTGATTTTTAAAGTTTTGTAGAAAAATATTTTCGTAAAAACGTTCATGGAGTAATTTTCTCGAGAGAATTGGCTATTTACAAGATGCGCAAGCTCTCACTTAATCAAGCTTCAGAGCTTTCTCAAACAATGAACGTTTATCCTTTTGCGTAACCCAAGATGCTTGTGAATTCATTCACTATGAAAACAGACGCCCGTGGGATGAAAGCATGTTGTGTAAAGCAATGTTTGATGATGAAAGGATGTAATGAAGTATGTTGGTCGATTTTCCTTATTTTCTTTATTACGTAGTAGAAAAAATATTCTTCAAATCCAATGTCACGAGCTATCATTATTTAATTGAAACTTTTTTAACAAGAAATTGCGTCACAAATTTTGTATTTTATTGATGCTCGCGTGACTTATTTAAAGATGAATTATAATTTCTTTTTAATACAATAGCGGGAAATCTGCCAAGTTCACTTTCGCTTCATCAATTTTTTCTCCATTCCCAAAGCGAGGATTTTGTTACATAAGCGTTCAAATTCTTCTCTCATTCAATTTACAATTCAATCCCCCATGCATGGCCATGCACAAATTGAAATCAATTTAATTTGTTGTGGCCGAAATGAGGAATAATTTTTGATGTGTGTTTGCATGTTAAAGTTTCATTGAGGCACGATTGATGTTAAGTCGTCGGATAGGGCTTATGTAAGAAATTAAATACTTGATGTGTCGTTCTTAAACTTCTATGGATTCCCCGAATAAACTTTAATCGATGAAATGTTGAAGGATTTTCATCGACCTTGAATCTCTTTGAAAATCTTCTTTAATTTTTATGATACAAATCCCATTAAAAGTTAATCCACGTGAAAGTATTGTGTATGACATACGTCAGTTCAGAAGCATATCTTTTGTTTCTATATGTACTCGTTAAACATTATTATGTCTAATGGCAATCTTTGTTTTATGCTTTGTTCTAAAGTTTATGTTGCCAATTCCACACATATTCTAAAAATATCACACAATTGAAAGGTTAAAGGATTTGTTTCGAACGTTTTGTGTTACATGATGTTAAGCAGAAGAGCTTAATCTCTACATGACATTTGAATGTGTGGAAACATTCTTATAAAATTGTTGTTGATCCTTCTTCACGGTTTTATATTTCAAACAATAAAAACTTCTTATTATTGAAGGAAACTTTTCACAGCGTTTGCATTTCAAATATTCTCTGACCACAAATTTGTTTCTTAAGTTTCATCAATGAGGTTTCAAAAGTTTAAAATTTATGAAAACATTTCTTGCGAAGAGTTTATTTGTAACACGAGCACATCAACACTTTAAGTTGCAATTTATTTCTTGATTTATTGACGTGAATATGTGTTCAAGGTTGAAGCAATAAGCTCTTTAACCCTAATTCGCTTGAAATCGATCGATATGTAATAATATTTTGCATTTTGCTTTTCTTCATTTCCTTCACTTCATTTGTTTAAATCGATTTTTTCTCATCTTTTCCGCATTGTGTCTTTGGATGATGAATAAATGAAAAAAAAATCATCCCTGTGGTGAATAAATGAGTCATGAAGCAGTAGATGTCGGTGGGAGTGTGGAAAGGAAAGGAAGTTAAATAGAAATTTGACTTCATTTGCTTCTCATTTCCACTTTTTTCAATATTTTCTTCATTCAAATCCAATAAGAAGAACAACATAAATGGGTCATCTTATGACAAATAAATATTTGAAGTATATAAAAAGGCAATCATTGTTAGCCTGGGTTGAAAATAGGAGACGGAAAACAATGGAAAGAGAGTGTAATCAAGAATAATTAAATTATTTAATGCTTGTTTAAGGTTTGCTCGTTTATTGTCTATGATTAGAGTTTTTAGGGGACATCGCGTGACTTTGATTCTCAAGATTTCTCGTCAATTGCTTTGAATATCAAATTAGTTTCGATCACTTAACGATCGATTTTTATTCTTCGTTGTTGTGGTTTTGATTGTCATTGAAAATAACAAAAAGGTTCAATTGTTTTTATCATGATTAACATTATTCGAAAGCTCATCGTTGATTTGTCATCTTTTCAGATTTTCTATCTCTTTATCTCTTTAACTTGATTTAATGTCGCCATCATAACTCAATTGTTTTGAAATGTGTCGAAGCAAGGCAATAAAAAAAAGCAATTAGTTTGAATGATTAATACATTATCCAAGCTTTTGTTAGAAATAAAGAAGAAAGAACTTTTCTTTTGTAAATATCTAATGTGTGTATGTTGAGTAGATGATGAAAGTTTGCTGTTTTGTATATTGTTTCTGATAAACATGATGTTAAAGACTATCGTTATGTCAAATCGCAAACTCATGCCGCCATCACTTCCAAGATGTTCTTTTCCTTTATTTTATCCAAAACAACAATGACGCGGATTTTCTCAGTCAGAATCTTCATGTAAACAAACTTTTACATCAAAAATATTTTCAATTATTTTCCTCGATATCAAAATAAATAAAAATTCATTTTTTATATTGAAAGCCTTGAAATATCATTCATGAATCATGATTCACATGTGATGTTTCTTTAATTGTTTTTAACTGTAATTTTTTTCATTGAATGTGCTTGTGTTCGGCTATGAAAGAAATTGAAGTGACTAACATTATAATAACTGGAAATGTTCCAGCAAAATAATAAAGAACAATAAACTTCCTTTGACGTCACAATCATTCATTGTTAGATTGAATCTTAGGCAATTTATCTCAATCATATGATAAGAAAAAAGTTGTGCGATTTAATTCAAACATCAATTTAATAATGAAAAGTTGATTCCAAATTGAATGAATAAATATTTTGTGACAATTAAATAAAAATTAAACTTTCACCATTCTCTTCACTTATTTCAGTTGGCTTCTTATAAAATCTCATCATCATGTAGTTGAAAGAGGAAAATGTTGATCATTTAACGTGAAAAATCTCTAAGAAGAATCTCTCAAATTAAGAATCTTTGAAACGAAAAGCATCTTCAAAGTGATTTTTATAATTTAGAAAATGTTGATTAAAGAATATCGAATACCGCTTCCGTTGACAGTCGAAGAGTATCGAATTGCGCAACTCTTTATGATTGCTGTAAGTTTCTATTGATAAATTTAAATTTTCTCCCTCTTAATGTGAATGAATTTTGTTTGTTCTTTTAAAAAACTTAGAAAAAAAGTCGTGAAGAGAGTAAAGGACATGGATCTGGTGTTGAGATTATAGTGAATGAACCATATGAAGATGGTCCAGGAGGGAAAGGTGGACAATATACGAGAAAGATTTATCATGTTGGCAGTCACTTGCCAGGTTGGATTAAGGGACTCTTACCTAAAAGTGCCCTCACTGTTGAAGAAGAAGCGTGGAATGCTTATCCGTACACAAAGACTCGTTACACTTGTCCATTTGTAGAAAAGTTTTCTCTCGAAATTGAAACTTATTACTTTCCCGATGATGGTCATCAAGACAATGTGTTTAAGTTGAGTGGCGGTGACTTAAGAAATCGTATTGTTGATGTCATTGACATTGTTAAAGATCAGCTGTATGGTGCTGATTATGTTCGAGAAGAAGATCCAAAACTTTTCGTGAGTGAGAAAACAGCACGCGGTCCACTTAATGAAACGTGGCTTGAAGATCATTGGAATGAAGTGAAAGGAAAATCGCAGCCGACATCGAAGAACATGTCGTTAATGTGCGCTTATAAATTGTGCCGTGTTGAATTCCGCTATTGGGGTATGCAAACAAAACTGGAGAAGTTTATTCACGATACAGCGCTTAGGAAAACAATGGTGCGAGCGCATCGTCAGGCATGGGCGTGGCAGGATGAATGGCACGGATTAACGATGGACGATATTCGTGAGATTGAAAAGCAAACGCAATTAGCACTTCAAAAGAAAATGGGAAATGACGATGGAAGTTATGGCGAGGAAGAAGGTGAGTTGTTATTTATTTAAAAATACGAAAACGCCTGAAATGTTTAAGAAAGAAAAGAGAATGAAGGGGATGACATCTTAATCTTTGTGTAATTCTTTAAAAAAATTGTAAACGTTCATCACTTGACAGCCTTCGTTCTTCTTCAACATAATCCTTGAAATTATTTTCATATTTTTCTTTTCTCGTTTCTCATCTCGCAAATATTTTTTTATTATTTTGAATTCAAATTGTTCGTCCTTGTTTTCATCTAAAGATGACGTTTTGACTGTTGAAATTCCAGAACAAAGTGCTTCGGATAATGCGAGTCGTCAGTCAAATCAATTCAATTCAATCGAGAAAACGGAAGAAAATTCAACGCCGATGATTATGAAACGAAATCCTGTGCCAATCGTCAATGCAATTGCAGCAAGTGCCGATGTTAGTTCTGATGATGATGAAGATGAAACTGCTATGAAAAGAATTGAAGAGAAGCAACAGGTTGGTGGTGGAAAACGTTTCAGTGGAACGATGAATTCTCGTCTTCAAGGCTCGAAAGGTGCACTTCCATCACCAATAGGATCAGCAAATAGCTTTGACTTGCAGGTTGTTTACAAATTTATAATTTAATCATAGTTTTTGTGGAAATGAAGTGCTTCAATAATTTTAACGCATTTCTTTATTGCTTGTTGATATAAAATTTTAATAAACTTTTTTCAGGTTGCCAATTGGCGAATGGAGAAACTCGAAGTTGACTCAAAGTCTGGTTCTGAAGAAGAATTCTACGATTGTCTCGGTAAGTAGGGATCTTAAGAGTTGTGTTGAGTTTGATTATTAATATTTGAATAATTAATTTGAACATGTGGGGCGGTTTAAAGTTGTTAGATTTAAAGGTATTGGGGATGAGTTTCGATTGCTTCGAATTTTAACAGATTTTTCAATTATTTTCAATTCACAGATATGAGTGAATCAACAACTTTAACTAAATGGAGCTCATTAGAATTATTAGCAGAAGAGGATGACTCATCGCCACCGCAAACAGCAAAGATTCAAGAAGACACGATTTTCTCGCATGATTATCTGAAACGTGTAGCATCAGAAAGGGGAACACGACGTCGTCTTGGGCCGTCACCAAGCATAGAACGATCGCATTCAAGGGATTCACCTCCAGGCTCTCCAGGACCTTCATCATGTGCCACCTCGGTTTTAATTCTCGTCTTTCATGCTGGAAGTTGTTTAGATGCAAATTCTGATTTGACTGCTAAGAAAAGTGACGTGACGACATTCCGTGGTGCAATGGAATCAGTGGCACGTCAACATTATCCGTCACTCGTTGGACATTTTGTGATAAAACTTGTGTCATGCCCTCCTGTTTGTACTGACGCTCTCGGCATCTTATCAAGTCTTTCACCATACTCATTTGATGCGTCACCGTCACAAATTGATGTCCCAAGTTTCACAGACATTCCAATTGGTGCCATTCCATTGCTAACAACATGCACGCAAGATTTTGTTGATGCTGTTAATCGCTCTGTTGGACAAGCAAATCAAGTTTATGGAGAATTTTTGAAGTCTGAAGATGGTCGTGGATTTAATGGGCAAGTTGTTGTTATTAGTGATTCAATCGGTTCAATCTTAGCTCACGATGCCCTTTGTCGTTCAACTCGTCGTGGAAGTGACAGTAGTGGAATGGACCACATGGAAATTGAACATAATGATCTCGATGCTAATCGTCTTTTAATGGCACCATCACCACGACGTCGATCATCATCAACAAGCGAAAATCGTTTACCAAAACTAGATTTTGAAGTTGGTGACTTTTTCATGTTTGGTTCGTCACTTTCAGTTATTCTTGCATCACGTCGATTAATGGATTCGAAATTGGGTGCAACACGACCGCAATGTAGTCAAGTTTATAATTTATTCCATCCAACCGATCCAATAGCAGCTCGATTAGAGCCATTAATAAGTGCACGATTCAGTATGCTCTCTCCAGTTAATATCCCTCGTTATGCGAAGTATCCACTTGGCAATGGTCAACCATATCATCTGTTAGAACTTATTCATACAAGTCCACATATGTTTAGTGATTTGCCAGCACCACGACGCTCATCAGACACGAGCATTCAATCAAATATTTCTGGTCTAATTGATAATGTTCCGTTGACAACAATTCAACATCTTCAACATCGATGGTGGGGAAATAAACGACTCGACTTTGCACTTTATTGTCCTGAAGGTTTATCAAACTTTCCAGCCCATGCTCTTCCCCATCTCTTTCATGCAAGTTATTGGGAGAGTTCTGATGTTATTGCCTTTATTTTACGACAAATTGGACGGTTCGATATGAATGCATTAGCAGGTGGTGACGATGGAAAGGAAGGAAGTTCGTTTAAGCCTGGACAACCGAGGGAAAAGTGGAATAAGAAAAGAACGAGCGTTAAATTGAAGAATGTTGCAGCAAATCATCGTGCAAATGACGTCATTGTGAAAGAAGGCGAAGCACAAAAGTTAACAGCAAGATTCATGTATGGACCTTTAGATATGATAACGTTAGCTGGCGAGAAGGTTGACATTCATATTATGAAAGATCCACCAGCAAGTGAATGGACTTTACTTTCAACTGAAGTGACTGATAAAACGGGAAGAATTATTTACACGATACCAGATGGAAAGTCTGTCGGTTATGGAATTTATCCGGTGAAAATGGTCGTACGTGGTGACCACACAAGTGTCGACTTCTATTTGACTGTCGTCCCACCAAGAACGGAAACTGTTGTGTTCTCAATTGACGGTTCTTTCACAGCTTCAATGTCAGTGACAGGAAGAGATCCGAAGGTTCGTGCTGGAGCTGTTGATATTTGTCGACATTGGCAAGAGTTGGGATATTTATTAATTTATATCACCGGACGACCTGACATGCAACAACAACGTGTCGTATCATGGCTTAGTCAACATAACTTTCCTCATGGTTTAGTGTCGTTTGCTGATGGATTATCAACAGATCCTTTGGGTCACAAGGCGGCCTATTTAAATAATTTAATACAAAATCATGGACTTGAAATTCATGCATGTTATGGCAGCAGTAAAGACATCAGCGTTTATACAAGCATTGGACTGAAGCCGAAACAAATTTACATTGTAGGAAAGGTAAAAGAAATTATTTAACTTTATTTTTCCGCCTTTAAAAACGAGCCTTTGAAATAAGATTTTAAGTTAAAAGTTAAAAGTCGTCCTCGTGCCTTAAAATATTCACGAAATGTTTGTTGTTAGACATCAGATTTCAATGTTTATAATTTGATATTTTTTCTTTAGGTCGCTAAGAAGCTGCAATCACTCGCAACGCCATTAACTGAAGGTTATGCAGCTCATTTGAATAATCTCATGGCTCATGGCGGATCACGCCCAGCACAAGGAAATCAAAGGATGATTATTCCACGTGGTTGTTTTAATTTGCCGGGTGTAACGCCATCAATGCGACGAAGAAGGTAAACATTAAGATTTATTTTGAAGGAAAGAAACTTTTCCTGCAAGCTTGTTGGTTTTATTTTATTTTTTCTGATTTATTTATTTATTCAACTCTCCTTCCTTTTTAACACTTTTATTTCTCTTCTGACGCCTCTTTTCTTTTAATTTTACTAAGGAAACTTTTTATTCTAAACGTAGCCAGTTGAGTTTCTTTAAAAAATAAATAACATCGTGATCGAAGTCTTTTATGAAGTTTTCAATTATGTTCAGATTACTTGATATCTCTTTTCTTAAACTTAACACTTGAATCTTGTGTAAGTAATTTCATTCATTTCCTTTCTCTCGATTTGATTTTTATTTTATATGCTTCATCTAAGTAGATATCTAATTATGTAAATTCATAGCATAGCTATCAAGTAGATAAAAATAAAATGAAATACAATTTTATTCACTAAGAATTCCAATTTAAAGGAAAGAATAAAATATCGGTTTGAAATAAATTAACAGATTAACATCGGCGGTTTGTCTCACATTTTTGCTTGAACATTTTTGTTTTTGGTTTTTTCTCTCTCTCTCTTCACCCCCTTACAAAGGCCATAGTTCTACAGCACGTTTAGATCACCAACAAATTATCACCACCCACGCAAAAATTCCACAAAATCCAAATCGGTGTCATTTAAAATTTTTTCTCACAAACGCGAGTACATCACCAAACGAGGTTTGTACAAACACAATTTTACTTTTTTTTAATGTTCAGTTCCTAATTTACAATTTTATTAATTAAATTAAACATTTATTAAATGTGGTGGTTTGTTGTGTGAAAATGAATGAAAAATAAATTTAGTTTTGTATGAGAACCAAAAACCACACCGGATGGGAAAGTTTGTTTTGCATTTCTTTTTCTTTTCTTTTTTTTTTGCATGAAACCTGTAGAATACTTAATAATGTAAATAACAAAATGATTCTATGTAGTAAGAGTGACTGTGATAAATAATTTAAGTTATGTTTAATCAACTAATGAGTTTTTTTTATCTAAAATCATTTTCACTGTTTCTAATCACATGCAGCAATGAAACTCTTGCAATGTCATCACCGGTGCGTAACGCTTACTTAAAGAAAAAAACATTCTTCCAGTAGAAGCTGAAACATCTCATCAAAAAATAATGAAAATATAAAAAAATTTAAATTTCCAACATCACTACAAGAATCTGTCACAAGGTAAAGGAGTTGGGTGGAAGGAATTTAAATGAATTTTTCCTCATGTGACTTTATAAAGGTTCATGTTTGAATTAATAATGTTTCTTTGTTTGTTACAGGTACCTGGGAATATCAAGACTGTTTATCAATCCTTCAAAAAACAAAAGAATAACATAACCGACTCTGACCCTACAAAGAGAATGATTCAAATATTTTACAAAGTAAAAGAACAAACATATGCATTTCTCCGGTAAGAAATGAAATGACATGAATTGACAAAAATAAAAATATGAAATTGTGCAATAAATTGACAGACGCGACATAATATTAATATGTATTTAATTGTTGAGCAAAGAAATTAACCTTTCGAAAAAATAAAAAATATATCTATTAATGTTTTTGTTATCAGTTGAGCTTTAGGCTTTTTAAACCTGCATTTAACAAAAGAGAGAATTTGAAAAACGATATTGAAAAAAATTATGAAAAAAAAGTTCACTAAAGTTTAGATTTACAAAAATTTAAATGGAAGAAAATGAAAAGCTCGACTTTTAATATTTGATGTCGATTCGAGAAGTCGCCAAAAGAAAACTTTACTCGTAAATCTTCATTTTCTTCAAACGAAAAAGAAAATTCCACTGTGGAAAAAAGAAATTCTAAAAAAAAATCTAAAACTTTTTTCATCTCACAATACGTTTTCCTCCTTTTCTCCTTTCACTCTCTAAAAATATCTTTTTTCGAATGACTCAAGAAAGAAAGCTCGTTTTATAAAGTTTTATACGAAAATGTGGAACATTAATGGATGGTCGAAATCTTGAAAAGATTTGGTTTAAGATTAATCCTGGGATTATCTCTAAGTTGGATTAGGGAAGATGAATTTGAAGAAACTTTTAAATTATTTTCATATTTATCTCAAGTCCAATAAATTACTGGAGAAGTTTTCATAAATTACTCACTTAAATATACTACAATTCATCATGCTTTGCATAAAAAGAAGATGAATTTGGAAAATGTTTAATTTTGTGCCAACAAAGGTCAAGGGATGTGAAATTATATTTTGGGATCAAGACAATTAATCACGAGAAAATTTAATGAATTTACTTTATTTACAAAAATATTTTTATTTCAAAGGAAACTTGGTAACTTTTCAGAGGAAAAATATATTATTTTAAATTATTAATCAATGAATATGACTGGAAAGAACAAGACGCAATTTATGAACTCATCTCATCTCCACTTTCCCAATTCTATTACTCTTATTAAGTTAAGTAAGTTAAAATTGGAAAAAAAAATAAAATCTGGTGATAGTTATAAATAAAAGGGAATAAAAAAATTATAATTATAATCAAAACCCAATAAGAAAACATGGGAAATAAAATTAAAATAAAATAACGAAAAAAGAGTTGATATTAAATAAAAATGAAAACTACTCGATGGATTAAATGTGTTTTTTGCTGATAAGAAAGTTTCTTCAGGAAAATCGATGTAATAGTTTTAGATATTTGGAAAGAAGGAAAACTTTTCTCCATATCTTCCATTAATGTTTTCAAAAATGAAAGAAAATTGTGTTAGGAAAAGTATTAAAAAATTTGGGACAATCGGAGAGTATCTAAGCAAATCATAATAATGAATGAAAAGGAAAGCTTCACTTTTTGATTAATTTATAGTTAATGATTCGATGATTTATGTTTCAGTTTTTCATTCCGTTCTCTCCACCCTCAATACTTCATCATTATTAACAAATATTTTATACTGAAATCAAATGAATGAATAACAAATTCAACTAATCAATTATCAGTTTCATAATTTATCTATATAGAAAGAAAATGAAAAGTAAGAAAAATTATATTTTATTTGTTAAATTAAAAGATTTCCACAGACCATGAATTTCCATCCAACAAAGATCTTTTATGAAAATTATTTTTGATCTTCTTCACTGAGGCATTTGAGTTATGTTTCATCATATGCGAATGTTTTAGATATATGTAAAATATTCGCATAATATGAAATTTAACCAACATGCGAACAATATTTTTTCGCATATTTTAAGTAGAATTAATTTATTATGGTGAAAGATAAGTTTAAAAGTAACATAAATCAGTTAACTGGAAATATCCTTTTATAATTGCCAAGCAAAAATTGCGGAAATAACTGAAAATAAAATGGAAAATATTTATTGTTACATCAATTTGTTTTATTAAATTTCATGTTCATGAAACTAAACTAGGTAGTTAAAATAATAATTTAATTTATTTTACTTGGAAATATTCTTCTTCACATAAATGCAGGAGCAGACAATTTCTCTCGAATATTTTCCTAAAATCAAATTTACTTTCAATTTTCTCAAAGTCAGTTTTTGCTATTTTGAGAACTTTCAACTCATCACAGCAATTGTTGTAAACGATATTACGAAGAATCTCTTCAGAGACGACACCAATTCCAAGTTCAAGATGTTTCAGTTTCAATGTCTTTACAATCACATCAACGATTTCATTTGAAACTTTACCGTAATCTCGTTTAATGACGAGTTTTTTGATCAACTTCAAATTGCTGACGATATTCTTCCATCCAAAAAATTTAACATCGTAATCGATGTAATCGAGAACCAACGTGTGAAGTTTCGAATCAAGTGATGAAAGATTAGAAAAATTTGAGTCATCTCTACGAGATGTGAATCCTGGTAAATAAAGTTCCTTCAAATTTCTAAATGTTGATAAAATATTGTATAAATATTTGTCACCAATGGGGATTCCGCCGACAAGCTTGAGACGAACAACATTTGGAAACATCCTGATAAAATTGATGAAAATTGGTAAATTTTCAAAAGCAAAATTCCCATAAAGAGTCAAACTTTTAATGGATCGGTTATGGAAATGATGACTGCGGAAGAATGAAAGTTCACCAATATCGAGGTGTGCTTCATTAATGTAATTACTGAAGATGTAACGATAAGTGAACATCACATCCATCGATGTAGGAATCGAAGTGTTGATGATTTTCAACACTTTGAGTTGCTTTTGATTCTTCACAATTTGAATGAAGTTTCTCATCTCATCTAAAACACTAAACAAACAGTTTTCAACGACAAGTGCTTTAAGTCCGTTATTTAAAAAGTCAAGATATCTAAAGATGTCACAATTTCTCGATGTCACTCCCTCAAACGTCAATTGTTGCAAACGCTTTTGCTGACTCATCATATCAATGAAGTCTCCATACTCGTAATTTGATACGCCACTAACTCGCAATCTTATCACTTTAAACTGTAATTCGTCATTATTGGTAAACAGTGAGAAAATTTTTGGATCTGTATGTACGCAATCAAGTTCCTTAAGTTGCTTCAGCGAAAGTTTTGGAATTTGCACTATCGAGTTAAGGAACTTATTCTCTTCTTTTTGAAAAGTTACTTTGGTGACTTTCAAGACTTTCAGATTTTGAGCATATCTGAGAATGATACGAAGTTGGTCAAGTGTCTCGAACGCGTAATGTCTTATCTCAAGATATGAAAATGTATCGCCAAATTTCTTGAAAATTCCCAAAAACTTCATAATCTTCTCTCTTTTTAATTCCACAATCACTTTTTTAGCCTTTCGCTCTGACTCCATTAATGGCTTGATAAACTTTTCTTGATTCTCATCATCAAACATTTCACCTTCTATATCTGTTATATATATTGGCAGTTTGGACATCAACACAGAAGAATTCTCAATTATGAACTTCGAATAACGATCCAAAAGCATTACATTCATCAAGTCACATGACGATAACTTTCCGCAAATTATCTCAAAAATTTCATCGGGAAGAGTTTCCATCAACAGCTGAGTTTTATTTTTATTATTTTTTTATTAAATCTGTTTCTTTTTCTCTCTCTCTCTAAAGCTTGTAAACACGACAAACAGTGAAGCCAGACTGTCGAAACACCAAAACACGTACACAATAAAAGCAAACACCGCGAAAGATTTTTTTTCATTATCATTAATTTAGAGATAAAAAACTTACACAAAGAAGTCATCGCAACGCGTTTGATTTTATTGCGTCACGATTTGCGTTAAGAACTTGACAGGATTGAGTTTGGTGAACTTCACATAGATAATAAATAAATATCAATAAAGTTTAATCTGAATTTTATTTTAAGTATTTTTCTTTTTCTTTCTTTCTGAACAAAGCATGAAGTGAAAATTTTTATCTTCGAATTAGCTGGTTCTGGAAAAAGAAAAGCAAACATTCATGGGAAAGTTAACAAACAAATTTCCCAATGTAAATCTAATGTCGTTACATAAAAGTTGATCGGATGACTGACTCGTAATTTTAAAGGAAAATCTTCTAGGATTCTCACTGTTGACTGTTGGAAATGAAAATTCAAGAGACTTTCAAGGTAGAAAAGTTTTAAGTACAAGAAATGAGATAAAACGAGAAGATTCAATTGTTGAGATTGTTCAAGTTGAGTTTGTCTCCCAACATTTATGTAGATACTAATTCTTGGCTAAAGTAAATAATCGAGACATTTAATTGCTTATCTTAAGCACTTCCAATACCTAATGCGACACCGGCAGCAAATGAAATAACGAAAATGTGAAATTCATTCAACTTTGGACCGTTGGCGTCACCAATGAAGTTTGAGTACCATTTCTTTGCTGATTTTCCTTTCTTCTTCAATAAATCCTCGGCTTGATTGAGTTTTCGGTCGACAAAACGATCAGCCTGGAAATATAATTTTTATCAATTATAAAATATTTTTGTTAATTGAATGAAAACTCGAATACTAATTAGAAAACAGAAGAAATTATATCTTATTTAAGGACACAATTGTCTCTTTATTCGAAATTGCGACTTAACTTTTTCTTTACATTTTTTTAAATGGATAAAGGAGAGACCAACAGAAACGATAAAAAAATGAAGATAAAATGCTTTTACGTTGCTACATAATATTTTTTATTATTGGATTCAAATGAAGTTTCTTCCTATGAAAATGAGATTCCAATTAAGAATCCGCCGACGAAGGATGTCGCCGTATACGAGTTTTCTTTCACAAACGATTTGATCTGAAAATTATGACGTCATTAAAATTTTCAGATCGAATCACAAAATAGATTTTATGTGATTGAGGAATGTTTTTTCTCACCTTGTCAGCCCATGATGGACCTTCTCCTGTAATAGCTTCCTCAGCTTTATCGGCCAATTTGTTTGCTTTACTTGTAAGTTTATTCCAATCAATTTTAATGTATCCTTCATTAGCTGCAATTTGGAGGAGAATAATGGAGCCACCAACAGATACAGCAACGACTTTTCCAACCTTCATTGTGAGAAAACCAGTGGCCCTGAAATGAAATATTTGTATTGTGATTAGTCGTATAAAAAATTGAACTTTGCTTGGAGCTTTAAAGTCTACTTACCAGCCTGTTCCAGCTCCTATTAGGATTTGTTTAGTAGCAGATTTCTTTGATACATCGCCGAGGAGACGATCTAAAAAGTTTTTAGCTTCACTACCCACGTTAGTCATCTCCTTATTGATTTCGTTTTTCAGATTTTTTTTATCAACCCTGAATTGTTTGGAGAAAAAATTAATGAAGATTTTAAATGATTGACAACAGAGTCTAAAATGTTATCGAACAGTATTTCGTAATCTCTATTGAGTCATTAAATAACCGTCCATGAAATTTGTGATACATGTCTATGATTCATATGCAATCTGATGAAAGATTGTCGAAAATAGAAACAGCAAAAAAATGCAAACAAATTTATTCGGAAAATTACGGAAGAAATCAATTTTCTACAGTAACTCAAATGTTAAACTATACAATGCAGTGCACATCACAGGAGTTTACTCTACTTACATTTCTATTCTCTATGGACTAAAATAATCTCCTTAAAATCAAATGTGACTGAATCAAAACTTGAAATTTATAAATTTTTTTCGTTTTCTCCGTTTGTTTTCTTTGTTTTCAGGCGAATTGAGCTAGGGCGAATTCAGTTTGAACTTTGAAAAACCGTTAAAATGTTTTTCTCTGTATTTTTATTATTATCGAAATAAAATTTTTAAATTTAATTAACAAATTTAATCTGATTCTTCCTCGTCGGGAGAAAATTTGATAAAATCTTTTTCTAGCGTCTTCTTGAACTTTTTTGCTTTTGATCCAGCAACAGATTCAATTTCATTCGCAGTTCTCTTCCGAATTTCGTCAACATCTTGATCAGTTTCAGCCCATTCAAGTACAAGTCTTCGACCGTATAAATGTGTGCTATGTTTCAATGCATCAAAAGCACATTTTGCTTCACTTTTGTTGAGAAAATCCACAAATCCAAATCCACGATGCTGATCTGATCCCATTTTCTTCGGCAATCGTAAAGCTTTGATTTCACCAAATGTTTTAAATAATTCTTTAATTTCATTAGCATTCGCTTGGAATGGAATATTTTTAACCATGATTTTCGTTGATATTTTCTCATTCTTCTTTTTCTGCATTGGTTGTCTCCTCTCTGTGTCTTCCTGTCCCCTCAAAGTTCTTTCACTTCGTTGCAATTCAACTTTATTTCCATCAATCACACAAAACTGCATCGTTCTCAAAGCTTTTTCAGCCGATGATGAATGAAGAAATTGTATGAATCCATATCCTAAATGTATTGGATGCTTTGGGTCAATAACATTCCGCTTTTTAGCTATTTGTATTAAGAAAATCTTTCCAAGTTTTTTGAATGCTTCTCGGACAGTTTCTTCAGTTGTTATAAAGTTGAGATTTCTTAAGAACAAAGTTGTGTTGGGTTCAGGTGACAATATTTCTTCATCTTCTTCCTCTCCTTTCTCTACATTTGACTCTTCTTCTTGTTTCACTTCCTTTTCCTTCTTTTCATTATCTATCTCTGCATCATCTTTGAAAGAATTTTCTGGTGCCCATTCAAGATAAAGTGGAAGATGTTTAAATTTAGTGTAAACAAGTTTCTTAAAAGCTTTTCTTGCTTCTGATGGGTCATCAAATTTTATTAGAGCCGTTACACCACTTGGAGGAAGAACAATTTTCTGAATAATCCCAAAAGGTGAAAATTTTTCTGTCAACTCTTCTACATTGGTTTTAGCTGGAAGATTTTTTGCTAAGAGAATAGTTTTAGATCGTTTTGACTTTCCATCTTCAAACGACTCTAATCTAACACCGTGACTTTCTAGAAAGCTTTTCATTTCAAGAACAATTTGTGTTTCTCCCAAAGCTAATCGAACAGCAGCATCTGATCCTCCTTTTGATGAATTCAAAACTTCTTCTTTAGATTTTCCAAAGCTTTTTGCCATCACATCTGCAATAGCATTTTGGCCAAGAAAAAGAGTATTCCAATTGTGTGCAGATCCTGCAGCATTCCTAAGTGCTGCTTGTTTCTTCTTTTTGAATCCTTGTTCGTCGTCACTTTCTTCATCTTTTTTCTCATTTGATTTTGCTGGCAATACATGGAACATTCTGCCATGAAACATTGTTCCGTTCAACTCTGTATAAGCAACAACTGCATGTTCAGGCATCATGAATGTCACCGTTCCAAATCCCTTTAAAATATAAACGTAAATAGAGAATTTCATTCTTTTTTGAATTCAAAGCAAGCTTACCTTAATCTTTCTTGATACTGGATCAATTGGAACATTGACTTCAACGACAGCTCCGTATTTTTCGAAAAGCTTCTGAATGTCATCTTCAGTGACATTGTATGCGAGATTTCGAAAGAAAAGCTTTCCAGATTCACAAATGTCTTCTTCTTTCATTAGTAATTCTTCTTGTTCTTGCCACCGAGGATTCGTTTTCTTCGTAGATCCATCACTGTCAGATTTATCGGTGAAGTGATAAACTTGAATTTGTTTTCCTTTTAAGAAACTTTTATCCTTGCCCAAAGCCTTTTGAAGATCTCTTTCTAGCTTAAATCCAATATACGCAAATCCTTTCTGTTTTGGTATTCGGACAGAATAAGCTTTAGCTGGACGAAAAAACTTTATAAGCTCCTCACGTTTTATACTTTTGGGAACATTTCGAACTTTCACAGTATAAAGTTTTGTCCAATTTTCTTTTGTCTTGTTGGAATCTTTTTCAGGACTACTATTTGATTTTCCCATCAACTGTTTCATGTAATCTGTGTCACTAATCTCAGCATTTGCCAGCTTTTCTGTTTCTATTTCCACAACTTTGTTTTCTTCATTCTCGTTTTCATTTTTACTTGAAATTCCAATGTCATTATCCCAAAGTAGTTTGTCTTTAGCATGTGACTTCATGAACTCTTGGAATAATGCATCTTCTTTATGATCACCTAGAATCGCTTCAACCTTTGCAGCTATTTTTGATTTATTTGGAGTTTTATTAATTTCTGGTGTGATTTCTGTTGGTTCTTCCAAATCTACTTTCTTCTCTTTATCTTTCACATTTTTACTCCATGGCTGTTCTTTAGGCTTTTGACCGAGAACAGCACAAATTTCTACTGTCACTCGACTAGTTCCAATAAATGTGTTGTTATAAAATTCCACTGCTTTTTGTGCACTTTCCTCATTCTCATATCCAACGAAACAAAACTGACGAAACTTTCCATCTTTATATTTAAGTTGAACGTCAGTTATTGTTCCTTTTTGTGTAAAGACATCTCGAATTTTCTGCTCTGTAATGGTTTTTGGAAGATTTTTTACTATCAATCTTGACATTTTGAGACTTTTGTGTACATTCGAAGCGTGGTTTTACTTTAAAAAAAAGGGGTGAAAAACTTTGAATAGGGAAGATTATGTTGAAATGATTTCACATAATTTCATTTGATTTCCACCATAATGCAATAAGTTATCATTTATATTATTACATGAAATGATTTCACATAATTAACTTAAATGCTTGAACATTATAATGAATGTGTTACCAAAGAATTATTAAAATTCATAATGAAGGAATCCACCCTACATAATAACACCCGGGGTAAAAAACTTTCGAACACATTGTAAAAGAAGATCGAATGAAATAAATAAACAAATAAAATATCGTGTTAAAATGGAATCAATGGATATAGATGAACTGAAGACTCAAACAATACAAGCAAGGTTTGTATCAGATGCAGGAGAAGAAGTGGGACCGCCTGTAGATTTGCCAATATCAGTTGATGTGCAACAGTTAGAATTAATCTGCAATGCGCTTTTAAAAAACGTGAGCTGAATATTAAAATTATACATTGATTGTAATTGATAATTTCTTTCTTTATTAATAGGATGACCCCATTCCGTATTTATTCTTCATCAATGACAACGAAGTTAAGAAGAATTTACGAGATACATTGGATTCCAAAACAACCAGCATCGAAGATGTTCTCAATATTGTTTATCAACCTCAAGCAACTTTTCATGTTCGACCAGTAACAAGATGTACAAGTTCAATGCCAGGACATTCAGAATCTGTTGTTGCCTTAAGCTTCAGTCCAGATAGTCTTCATTTAGCAAGTGGTTCTGGTGATCAAACCTTAAGACTTTGGGATTTGACAACTGAAACACCTCACTTCACGTGTACGGGACATAAAAATTGGGTTCTTGTTGTTTCATGGTCACCCGATTCAAAGAAAATTGCAAGTGCATGTAAATCTGGTGAAATTAGAATTTGGGATCCAGACACAGGAGCATTAATGGGAAAGCCAATGGTTGGCCACAAGAAATGGATTAATTGTCTTAGTTGGGAACCTTATCATCAGAATCCAGATTGCAGGAAATTAGCAAGTGCTGGTAATGACAATGATGTCAGAATATGGGACACGGTTTTAGGCAGTTGTATTAAAGTGTTATCTGGACATACAGCTTCGGTTACTGCTGTTAGATGGGGTGGTTCTGGACTCATTTATACATCATCTCGTGATCGAACATGTAAAATGTATCGAGCAGATGACGGAGTTTTATGTAAAACGTTCACTGGACATGCACATTGGGTGAATAATCTTGCTTTAAATACAGATTATGTTTTAAGAATTGGACCTTTTGCTCCTACTTCAAAGACTTCATCAAAGAAGAAACAAGATAAAGAAGAATTACGTAAGCAAGCGATGGAAAGATATCAGAAAGTTTGTCCTGACGGAATTGAATCATTTGTATCATGTTCTGATGATTTTACGCTTTATTTATGGCGATCTGATCAGAAACAATCAATAACACGAATGACTGGACATCAGAATGTTGTTAATGATGTTAAATATTCTCCAGATGTTAGAACGATAGCTTCAGGATCATTCGACAAATCCATTCGATTATGGAGAGCTCATGATGGTGGATTTATAACAGCATTACGTGGCCATGTTCAAGCTGTTTACACAATAGCATGGTCAGCAGATTCCCGTCTTGTTGTTAGTGGAAGTAAAGATTCAACTTTAAAGGTTTGGAGTTTAAAGACAAAGAAACTTGAACAAGAACTTCCTGGACATGCTGATGAAGTTTATGCAGTTGATTGGGCACCTGATGGATCTCGAGTTGCATCAGGTGGAAAAGATAAAGTGTTGAAAATGTGGGCTCATTAAAATAATTTAACTCAAATAAATTTTTTTTCTTAAGAATTCAATTAATTTATTCACTTTTTTCTTTCTTTTTAAAAAGTTTTTCTTTCAGCTTCACGATAAGTGATTTCTTTGCCTCATCTTTCTTCTGCAAAAGAAGTCGTTTCGTTGTCATATTATGTAATGGCCCAAATGCCAATGCCATAACAGTACAAGCTAGACAAATGACGTTATAAGGCATTGAGAAGTCGGGTGTTGGTAGATTTATTAACAAAGCTTCTGTGTGTATTCGAAGGAAATATGACTGACGAGTTGCATTGAAAGTTTCTTCGAAAAGACTAGCTTCAACTGGTAGGCTTGTGTAGTTTAGTGCCATTGGTAGAAGAGTTGAAATGACTCCAGATGGAAGAAGATGACCATGGTGAGCATCTGGAGGATATTCTTGCCATTTTAAGAAAATGTAATCAAAGTCAATTGACATTTCTAGCGTTGATCGTGCTGGTATTTTAACTGCAACTTCAAGAAGATATGGACGAGTTCTTTGTTTTCCAGGATAATATTTTATCTTCGTTGGAGCAATTTGTTGATCTCCAATTTTAAGCTTGAGTGTATGCAAATAAATTGGAACAAACCAAGGAATGTTTTCCATGATAATCACATTTAAACTTGCCCAATGTGTGTTCGAAATTTGATTGACAATTTTTCCTCGCTCTTTTCCAGTTCCTTGAAGGAATCTTCTTGCAAAAAGTGGTGCTGGGGAAACGATGGGAATGGTTTTCTGACTTTTATTTACGATTGCAATATTAATCATTTGTCTACTCTTGTGTACCATCTTTTTGATGTCATATTCTCCGTAAAGTGTCGTACTGCCTCCTCTTTTTGAAATTATCGATCTTGCTGGTTTTGGTGTCACTTCAAAATCTTTGTCAGTCATATCGAGAAATATTTTACTTGAAGTTGCCAGTTGGCATGCTCCATTAAGACCTTGACCGAAGAGTTTCCGAATTGACCAATCAAAGCCACCAAATAATCGAAGATCGTGTACTAAGTTGACACTTTGCTTTGATTCCAAAATTGAGTCATGACATGAAGCATCAAGACACAATTGACGAACGTGAATACCCAGCGAATGATAATTTGTGCTGTAAATATGTTGAGCATTTAAAAGAGATGTTAAGCCTTCTTTTGAGTCACATGGAAGAAGTTTCTTCCAAGGTGTTAGATTCTCTGTACAGACAACTTCAAGCGGTAATGCTGAGTATCGAACAAAACTTGAATTGATATTTGTGTTTGCGTTGAAAAAGCCGGCAGAAGGTTGGAACGAGAAATTTGGTTTGACTGTGTTCAATTCATTGACAAAACTGAATGAAGCACATAATAATCCAGAAAGTGCTCCACTCAATTCAATCCATTGACGATTGATAACATCCTGAGTCAAATGATTTCTAAACCAAACATAAAGTTCAGCACCGGATCCAGCAGATTCAATTGGAAATCCCCAAGTTTCATGTCGCCATAATCCATTTGTAAGTGTGACATGCATTTCACTAATTTCATATTGAAGAAAGAGTTCCGATATTGATCGTGATAACAAATCGGTGTGCAACACTGCAAATAAGAAATTGAAATTTAAGATCTTTGAGTGTTTTATTAATAAAACTTACAATCATCTCTCGAGTGGATATTCCATCGCGTTGTGAATTGGAAATAGGTGTTAACAAAATTATTTTGAAGCTCTTTTATCACTAACTCTTCATGATACACATTGTCATTCTTTTTCGCATCGATAAATGAATAAGAAAGGAAATTAATAAAAATGAAAGACAATATTTTCATGTTTTCTTTATTTGGTGAATATTTTGAGCTAAATTACACAATGTTTTTAATTATTATTTTCACTATTTTACAACCTATAATTAATTTGTAACTTTATTCTTCATTAGTGAGTTATTTCTTGTCGTACAATTTATTCCAATGATTTTCTTTCAATCCGAAAATTAAAATATGAAGGGAGTGCAACTAAGTTGTAAACAAAATTCAACTGAAACTCCCTGTTTTAATTTTGTTCAGATTGTAATAACTTTAATAAATAACATCTTAAAAACTTGATTTTTAAATCAAAGATCCTTTATTTTTTATCTGCATTTCCCACTACTGATATTTTATTAAAATATTAATTATTTTGATTTCTCTGGCACAATCTCTTGAATCCATTTGAGATAAGGAGGATTACCATTTTCAATTGGTGTACTAATCACTTCGGCAACTGAGTAAGGATGATTTTCACGAACATATTTACTGAGATCATCAACTCGTGATGTTTTAGTCTTTATCATGAGAAGCACCTCAGAATCCTTAAATGACAATGAAGAGAACTATAAAAAAATATTATAAAAGCATAATTTTGTTGTCTTTACTTCATTAACTTTTCCCTCCCATTCATAAATTGATGTTACTCTAGGGATGATGTTGACACATGCTGCCAGCTTCTTGCTAATTATTCCATGTGCCAATTTTTTGGCAATTTGTTCATCAGGTGCTGTCACGTAGCAAGCTGAAACTGACCCGGCCTTAAATAAATTTAATCCAACAATATTTTATTAAAAAATAATAATCCAGCTGTTGACATTTAGTCTCACCTGATAAGCTGGTTTACTCATGTTTCTGCAATAACATCTGATGTTACTCAAAAGCAGAAATAAACTCAATCTCATGAGAGACAATTTAAACAGGTCAACTTTGTTTTTTATTTTGATAGTCAAAACAACAAGCATAGATTAAATACATCTAGAAGACTGCTTCAATTTCAAGGTCATTAAATTTACTTAATTAGCTTTCATGTTTCAAATATTTCTTGATAAATAGAGCAACAATATTTCAACGTGTGCTATTGAAAAATATTTTACACAATTTGTCATTGATTCGAACTTTGAAATTTGATTTTCTCGGTTGAATGATTTTTCTTTTTCTTCATTGACAAAGAAACTTCAATCGAATGCTTTTTGAAATATCTGAAATAATTCTTTTGATAAATCTTATCAGTCGATAGTTCATTAATCTAATAAAGATAAATATTTTTATATACAGTTTTGTTTCTTTATTCATTTATTCAACTTTATAAAATACTGCGAAACTAATTCAGTCAACTTTATGTTCTTCAACAATTTACAAAATTTGCTTGGTTTTCTCTAAATTCTTTCCTAACTACAATCAAATAACTCATTACTTAGTACACACAGTAATAAATTTGCATTACACTCTCAGTTGAATATAAATTTCTGATAAAAATTGAATGTTTCGTAATTCCAACTCAGAAGATGAAGGTGGCCACAGATTATCACAATATAATATTTTTAACGAAGCAATTCTTTTATTTATATTTGAATGCTGTTGTTTCTTTGTTGGACTTTACTAGTAGCACCTTGAGTCGATGGTCCCTCTTGAACTTGAATGATTGGTTCATCTTCAGACGACAATAAATCCGATTCTGATTCATATTTCTTTAACGGGCGATGATGGTTCGCGTTCGTTCGATATTTCACTTTAACTTTCTCTAAAATACTATGACCACGTCGTTGACGCTGAACTGATGGTCGAAGTTGATGATGGCCTAGGAAACTCTTTTTGTTTCTCATAAGAAAGTTATCAGTCACCCAAAATAACAAAACGTTAACAAAGAACGGAATGATTAACATCACTACGACGACTTCAAGCTTTGGATTCTTAAAAGGTGACAAAATTAAATTCTTCACATCATTCCAATAATCCATTTGTATGATCAAAGTTGTTAACAGCTTGACAATGATCATAAGAAAAACATATATCCATGTTTGATAAATCCAAGACTTTGACGCTCCGTATTCGCCAAAGTTTATCGCATCCCAATGCATCACTTTTGCAAGATATATACAAATCCTAATACCTATGTAAATAATGAATAACCCAATAGTAGAATCTAATAAGAAGTTAATGATGTACCTGAAAGTAAAATGTATTCATAAATAATTCAATTGATTTAAGTTTTAATTTGATTTACCAAGTGCATGGATCGCCTTTAAAAAGTGGCGATAAATAAACATTTGTCATGTGAATGACCATAGCCCCGATGCCTTGCTTTGACGTATCATACCACCAGATATCCCAAGGTCGTCTTCTGTAACTTGGTTCGCAAAATCTTTTAGCTGAAATAGGTATTTAAAAAAATTGAATAAATGATAAAGAATTTTCTCGAAATTTAATATCTTTAATCAGATCAAAAAAACGCTTGAATTACCAATAAGACATGAGAAAGCAATGGCAGCTAACAATCCTTGTAGTAGCCATCCAAAAAAATCAGTCAGAGCATCTTTGGAACAGTGTAGAGGCTGCAATTCTTGAAATTCAATAAAGTGAGCTCCATCGGTGGAACTTTCAAATAATGATGCAGTCATGATTCCTTAATTTCACTAATTTTCATTTTACAAGTAGATTAAATGTCTATATGATTGTTTATCTTATTAGATTTTAGTTGTAGCACCAATTTTAACACTAATAAATAAGGATTAATTAATGATTTTTTTGTGACACTTCAAATTTAAAATCACGAGAAACGTGGAACTATTTTGGGGGAACACTGTAACATGGTGATTTTTGAAATTTGCCCGTTATTATTTGATAAAAAGTTTTGATACTTGATATTGAAATGTTTTTCTCTCCTAAAACCTCTCCATAATTTGCGCTTCTCTCTGTTGTCATCGTAAATTCCCAAGCAAATTCCATTTCAGTGTGTTCATAACTTTTTGCCAGCTAAGACGCTAAATTTCTGCTCCTAGTTGTTAACATTTTCAAAGGACATTAAATAAACGTTGGATTTATAGAAGCACTAAAGTGGTTGATTTTTTTGAATTAAAGTATTTATTGGATGATCTTTTATCATTAATAAGAGTCACGTTGAGAGATCCTTAAAAACAAATTAAATTATAAGACTTTCACCAAATAAACGTGTATGCTGTTGGATGTCTTCAGCCGAATTTAAAGTGGCATAAAGAAATTAAAGTGTTTGAAAAGGTTGACAGCTTAAAAGCAAAAAAAGAAATATTGCGATAAATAATTACTCATTCGAAATTGATCGTAATCATCGGTTGTTGACTGTGCAGTATACAGTGGTGAACGTTTCATTTCATCGATCTATTAATTTATCTCAAGCTAAGAGCGCTTTATGCAACAGAATCTCAACAGAGAATTTCTCAAATTTTATTTTCATATCCATCAACAGAAACAAGTTTTCTGAACAACATCTTGAAAGAGTTGGTGAGTGGATTCATCCAATTAAGTATTATGTAGAATATCATCAACTATTAATGAGACAACACTCATGAAAAGGCCAATTTCTTTCTTTTCTGTCATTTTTGCGTAGTAGTGAATTCTATTATGGAAAATTCTTTTTGGTTGAAAACCGTTAAAAACTCTTCTCATTTTTTTGTCATGGATCAGTGCGAATATCATCAACTTCAATGATCATACTAATCTGAAGCTATCTCTGGCAACGTTCGCACCATAAAAACACGAGCATTAGCTTGACAAAAACAAAAAAATTAGAAGCGAGAGTTGTTCAATTTCAAGTTTTTTTTTTATTTTGCGAATGGATGAATGAATGCCACGCAAACTGACCATTAAGAGCTCACATTTGGAAATTTCTTCGATTCGCTCTTGTTGCTTAATTAATTAAATGAAATTTAAAATATGAGCAAAATTTTCTTTGTTTTATTTTTATTTCCACTCGACGAGACGAAACGACAAATTTTCCATATGATTTCAGTTTCATTGAACAGCGAACATGAATTTATGGCAAGCATTTATTAGTTTCAGCGATACTTGAATTTCGTTTTTTTTCTTCTCTCATTTGATTGCTCATTCAATAAACGATATGTGGTGGATGGAATAAATTCAAGATAGTATGAAAATTGATGACCGCATGATTCATGAAACGAGAGTTTATTGTTCGATATATAAATTTGTCGTAAACAAAGTGGTGATGAAAGATTGTGTCAAGGTTAAAATACCTACCTACGAATGAAAGTGCAGTTAAAAATCGATTTTTGAATAATAGAAAAGAACTTTAATCGATGAAGTTTCTTGTTTTGAATGATATTAAAATTTCTTCAACCGCCAAACTTGTGAAAGGAAGAAAGAACTGAGAGGGAAAAAGCAGCTGACAGATGTTTTCCATCCAACGGCTTGAATACTTCTCTCTCATCATACCGATTGTTATTTTCTTATTTCTCTTTTTAAGTTTTCTGTTCATTTTTATTTATAAACAATCTAGGGTTGATTTCCAGGTTGAATAGTATTTAACATCTTTCTTCAGGTTCTTTAAACTATTTTATTTACAACTTGTAGCTTCAATGATATTTATTTGCGCGGGAGGTGTAAATATTCTCTTTCAATCCATGTTTTCAGTGTTGCAAAGCAAACGACACTCAACCTTGAAACGTGATGTATATTTTTGACTGTGCTAAGCATTTTTATCCACGCAGCTCCGGGCACATTGTATGTTAATGTCAACATTCAATCTTCCTGAAAATTAAATCATTTCACTTTTGAATGAAAGAAAACATCTCATGTTTTTTTGTATGAAAGAAAAATGATTCACTCGATGGAAGTTGATTAATTTATCGTTCTTTTAATTTAAAAGACGAAGTTTCGTGATAAGAGAACTGTAGTTGTGTCCTATTTGAACAATTTTATTATATACATAATCGTATACTTGAATATTATCAACTATATCGTTGTTTGTCTCAAGTATGAATGCTTATTGACGGCACAAAATCAACAGACAGACGTGTTAAAAAAGAGCTGTGTCAGTGAAAAAAATGATATGGCTTCAAATTGCAAAATTCTAATTCAAAGTCAGAGAAAAGCAATTAAGTTCCAGAAGAAAACGTTGATGGTGACGTGTTTTACAGCAGAATTATTGAGAAAATTGTCTATTTGTTTTTCAATCAATATTTTGGATTTCTGATCTATAAAAAACGAAAAGATACTTAGAAAGAAATTTGATACTTTGATTGTCTTATGTAGCTTTTCCAATTGCTTTTGATTTATTTTAAAGGTACAACGCATAAAGTCAATTCAAACGCAATATCATGAGTTGAGGAAGTATATAAATATGAAATAAAAGTGAGTTACCGCACAATTCATCCCCATTTCGTGATGAAAATGTTTAGATTCATCGATTTTTCCTCATTTTCAATTAAAGTCATTGGATTCATGGTTAAAAGGAAGAGAAAAAGCACTATAATTGTATTTACTGTTCATTGCTGTGTACGACTGACCTGAACATGATTTAGTTATAAAAACTCAACCCCAGTGAGTTCCACAAGAAGGAACATAAATGATTTCTACGTTGCAATAACTTATTTATAATTATGATAATAAGAGTCAGCTTCATTGAAAAGCTTTATAACGGAAAAACTTGTTAATTGAGAAATGAATTGCTTCAATCAAATCCACCTACTTAAATGTAAATTAAAGTAAAGAACATAGAATTAAGCATTATTATGGTTGTACCATTGTCATCGATACAAAACATCTGCTTAAAAACTTAATAATGAAGTATCCTTGTATCTGCTTTCTTTTATGACTAGATTGTCTTGGCCAGTTGATTAGAAGTGTAACAATTTGTGTATCATGAACAGCAGCTTAATTGAGTTGGAAACATGGATCATATTTCAGAAAATCTCATCTGATTGTTCAAACTGTTTGTGTAAGTTGCTTTTTCTTTTATGTTCATACATATTTCTGTACATATATACGTAGTAGGTTACTTCTTAAATTTTCATTTGATTGTTACATATATCATAACTTATTTGTTTTCGTTGGAAGCTTTTAATATCATATAAATCATCATCGCATTCTTATTCTCCTTTTTACACGTGAACATTTTGAAAGGTCACATTTTCTGATTTTACACATGATAACTTTTCCATATAAAAAACCTTGATTGCGCCTTCACCGAGATTCTTCGTTTTTCTTTAACCTTTCAAAGTTCAATAAGAATTAATTTTCTTACCTAGAAAAGCTCTTGAATAATTGATAGATAGGCGAATAATTTTAAGTCCGCCGAAAGCTTATATTCCTTAAAACATTCATTCTTTCGCTTCCTTTCATAGCCATTAACATCTCCCATCATTCATATCCCCTTCGTGACTTTTAAAGCTTATAAAATTCATAATATGCGGTTAAACTGCTTCCTACAGTTTCCTTTCTTTTCGTTGTCAAGGTCCTTTCATAACTTTTGATACCTTTTTCCTTAAACTTGAGAAGATTAAACGCTTCACGTTAAAAGCTCAATCGGCTTATGTTTGACATCAAAACATTCTTTTATTTACATTCATGATTTTTTTTCTTCTTTTTTTCAGAATATTTTATACTTTTGTCATCATTTTATTATCCTTCGTCGACATCTAAATATTTCTCTCAAGATATTATTTTTTACAACACCTTAGTTTTTGTTTCTGGATGAAAAAACTTTTTAGTCGTTTCTAACGTCAGTTACATGAGAACATAAAAAGTTTTTCTTTTTTTTTTTGAGTATTTTATGAAGTTTTGTTGGAACAATGGTTAATACAGGTGAGATTTTTATTTATTCTTTCTTAATTAATTCCAAATAGGTACTTCTTTAAACCAGTTCACTTGTATCTAACAAATTTCATCAAACATTTTATCTCTCTCACTCTCTTTTTTCGTTTTTGATTGACGAAAAGATAATAATTGTGTCAAAATTTTCATCAAAGTAAAATCTTTTAATATTAAATTATCATTTTCATGTTTTTTTTTCTTCCCTACAGTCATGACTGATAATGCTTTTAGAGCGAAAGATATTGGATTGCGAGCACAAAAGAAAATTTTAAGTCGTATGGCTTCAAAGAATGTTGCCAAAGTCTTTATCGATGAAACGACTTCGAGTCTTTTGGACAACGTCTATCGGCTTACAAAACATCAGCTTGGAAGTAAAAAAGAAGCCGAAAAATTGGTGAAAAATATCATTAAGATTGTGATAAAATTGGCGATACTTCATAAGAACGAAGTTTTTACCGAAGATGAGACTCAGAAGACCAACACATTTTATCAGAAATTTACAAAACTCCAAATGTCAATTATCTCATTCTTTGAAGTTGAATTTAGTTTTGATTTAATTTATCTTCAAAAATTGATAACTGAAGTTCATCAACTTCTGAAGGAAATTGTTAGTAGTCATTTATCTGATAAAAGCTTATTGAAAATCGATGAAATCTTTGAGTCTCTCAACAACCCACAATTCCTTGAATCGATTTTCAAAGCCGATTCACCTCATCGAGACTTAATGGAGAAGATTGTTTCAGACCTCAATAAAGTCATGGAACAAAATGAGTAGAATTTTTCACGCAAAACAAAAACTAATCAAACTTTTGCAAACACTTGCATATCTGAGAACTTTGTTTTATGTCTCAAATGAAAAGAAAATACCTTGTTAGTTATTAAAATAGTATTAAGGGCGGGCCTAAATTAAGGCTAATCTCATGGTCGTACTCATATTTGTTTTATGTTTTGCCATGTTAAGACTTAATCTCTTCTTATCGTAGAAGAATCACAATGAGTTTGTAAACTTTTCGCTCTTATTTTAGACTAATTAAGTATGTGAAGAAAGTAGAAAGAAAAACAATCAATAAATCCCTCCATGAATTTATCCAAAAAGATTATGGAAGATCGAGTGGTAAATGATAAATCAAAGATAAATAAAGAAAATTTGTGAAATGTAGAAAATGTAAATTAAAGTTTTTTGTTTTATTTATTTAGGATGTTTTAAAAAGCACTGATTTGAAGGGAGTCGTAATGAGAATTGACAAGTGGAACTCTTGGCTTTAAGAAGTTCACAAAATAATTATAAATAATTCATGATTAAAATACGACTCCTTACTTGAATATTCTATGATTTATCAAGATGATGATGAGAGCAAATATTCAATTAGGTTGACTTGTTGAATTGATTTCTAATTTTTACAATTCTCAGTGAAAATTAATTGAATTCGCATTAGAATCAGAAAAGCGTTCATTTTTTAATTGTTATCAAAAACATTTTCTAAAACGTGAGGTCTTGAAAAGTTTTTCATGACCAAACATTTCTGAAATTTTCGTCATTTCATAACTTTATATGTTGAAAACGTTTTTGTTGATAAACGGTATATGATTCACATTTTTTACATCACGTTTGCAGCCTTTCACTATAAATTTCAACAATCGTTGGTAGTGCAAGAAACCGTGTTTGAAAATAAAAAAAGGTTCTTGAATAAATGTTTTTCTGTTTTTTTGTTTTATTTGAGCAACAGGAAATTTTACATACAGCAACGCCATCTATTGTCAGGATAAAGAAAACATTTCTCAGTTAACTGAGCAATAGAGAGAAACATTGAAATGTAAGCAAAAGTGAGCAATTTCTTATAAGAAATATACGACTGGCAAAATAAAATTTTCTACGTAGAAAATAACAAACAATAAAATAATATAAGGCAATCCACAGAGTAAAAGCTATGACAAATGTCTTAAAAGGATCTATTAGTGATAAGAAAACCGACCAGTTGATGAAATTTTATGGTTTGCAGTGAGTAATTTCGATTTTTCACTTTTTGTCTTTTGAGGCACTTAAGTTTCATTTGTCGATGGCCTACATTTCTTAAATTGCCATTTTTTCACGTTTAAAATTATAAATATAAATCGTAAATTAAATTAGTTCCATTGTAATCATAGTGACTGTGTTTTGATTATAATATTTTAAACAATTTTAGATCAATCGACGGTGGATCAGTGGAAAGTCTAAATTATCCAGAATTCGACGTTGACACTGGGGACTTATACAAACCACAGTAAGTATTTTTTTCATCATCTCAAATCATTAAAATTAACATCTATCAGCTTTGAGTGTCGTGACAATTGAATGAAATAAATTCTTTTCATGACTGTTGAACTTCATGCTGATTCAATTAAAAAAAGATTTTTTTTCTCATGTCGAGACTGAAAAAAAAGAAGAGCCCAATAATTTTCATTATTAACACACAAAAATAGTCTAAAAATAGTCTGGGCAGCCACAGAAGAGACTTGAGATGTGTTTTAAGTTGTGTTTGTGTGTAAAATTTCCGAAATATTAAAACAAAAAATTTTTTATTGCTGTAAACTGTAAACATGAAAAACGCGGATTGAAAATCGAGACGAGAAAAAAAGTTTCGAATTCTGTTCTATGGAACTCGAAAAAATGTCATAAAATTTTATTACCAAAACCACGCATTGGTGAATCATTTCTTGCTTGTTTGTGCTTTCCTGTGTGCTTGTTCTCTTATATTTTTGTGTTGAATGCTGTTGAATGAATGACCTTCAGAACTATTGTTCGCCGCTAACAATTAACCCTCGTTGTTACTTTTTTTTGGTTTTTTATTGCAGATTAACTGTTTGTAGCTACTAAACTAGTTGAGCTAGAAATAAAAGTCCGCAAAAAAGTATATTGAAGAAAAAAAAAGAGAAAGAAAACATAAAATTAAAGAGAATACTGACTGATTTACATTTCCCAATTTTATTATAAGAAGTAAGTATACTGGGATAAAATATTTATGAATTATTCATCATAACTAGCTACCTAGGTTCATTGAAGTTTCTCATAAATCATTCTTAATATGTACGTTGTTGTTTTCCTTATAAACTCAGTCATCGACAACCATCACCTTCTGCCATGGCCCCAACAACAACTATAGAAACAATCACTATAACACGACCCTTGAAAGTCATCGCATTTATCTGCGGCCTTATCGTTATCATTCTAATGATGATGGCATTAACATCGACTGATTGGCTGCTATCATTAGGATGGAGGCAAGGGTTGTTTGTTCATTGCATTTCAATAAATGCGTCAAAGCCATTGCCATTTAATATCGAGGCGGATGTCGGTTGTTATGAGAGTCGTGACAAATGTAAGTGTGAAAAATATTTCATAATTAAGTTGAATTGTTTTGTAATTCATTTTTATCTTTTTCTGTAGTTTACATCAAGGCCACTGCAATTCTTTGCGTCATTACACTCATCACTGACGCAATTTCAACACTTTTGACTGGCACAGGCTTGAAAACTACTGATGCGAATCTCAAATACAAATTTTATCGAATCGCTGTTCTTGTCATGATGGTAGCATTGCTTTCCCTTCTCATTGCTCTCATATTGTATCCAGTTTGCTTTGCAATGGAATTGCCACAAGGAAATCGTGATGTGTGGGAGTTTGGATGGGCATATGGTGTTGGTGAGTGATCTTTGATGATAATAAAAATTCAATGAAAAAGACAAAAATTTAACTTTTATTATAGGATGGGGAGCAGCAATCTTCCTTTTCGGTGCCGTTGTTCTTCTTCTTTGTGACAAAGAATCGGAAGAAATCTATTACAAAGAGCGCAAAATTGTACACGAAACAACATCGATTCGTGATTAGAAATTTTCGTCCCTGCCTGATCTGTTGGTTTAAATCTCAACATAAACAATGAAAGTAAATTCGATAAGCGATTTGAAGATCTTCAATTCTTGATTTTATCTGCGACGATGTGCTTCTGAGTTCAAAAAAATTATAACAAAAGCGTTCATTGTCTCTTTGACACTCAAACGTGTGACTTCATCTATTGTGAAATATTCTTTTGTGTGTCATTGAGATGTTGAAAGATGAGAAAACAGTTTTTTTCTTTCGAGACTAAAGTTTAAATTACGAGTTGAAAAAGTAACGAAAAAAAATATAAAAGAATCAAAATTATTGTGCAACAAGTACTGAAAAAGCGAATGAGCGAAAATTGTTATCATCGCTGACAAGACACATAAAGAAAAAAAAATTGAATCTCGGACTGGTCGAGCCTTTAAAGACATGAAACAAGTGATCATTAAACTCTGAATTACACGCGATATTATCGATAGTGGGGGGCAGGGGCATAAAAAATGAAAATTAAATAACATTAAACGAAATGAAAACAATTTAATCCTTGCATGATGAATACTTAGATAATGAAATATCCTAAAATGATGATGAATAAAGTTGCACGTTGATAAATGTGGAGAGAAATTCTTGTCAATGTGCTGCTAAATTTCATTCAGATGAATTATATAAAGTCATTCGATGACGCCAATTAAGAAAATCAATTTTAACTTAGAAATAACGAGTCGATGTAGAATTGAGAAGGAAAGAAAAAAGAAATCTCACGCAACATTTTTTTCAATGGGTACCAATTAAAATGTAAATAAATTTATCGACGATTTAATGTGGAGAATAGAAACATAATTAAGTTGGAGTTCCTTTTTTTCTTCCCTTTCATTTTTCTCTTTCTTCCTTCATTTCATAATAAGGAAACGGATATCCTCTAAAACAAAGGGAATTGAAACTCCTGTTCTCCATATTTACTTTTAAAAAATAATATAGAAAAAGAAGGAAGCATAAGAAACTCAAATGTCTCAAGAATCTATCGATAAAATTAATACTTATATGGAATTAATTTGCACAATTATACGGTCGTGGATAAGCAAGAAAACAAACAAACATGCATACATTTATACAACAAACATATTTCTACTATTTATAGGTACAAGTAAGGAAATGTTGATCTACGGAAACTTAATCACTTTATTATTAAGAATCTTATATTAGAATTCTTTTGATATTGAATTGCATGTCACGAATTAAGCAACAACTTGTGATTTTCGTTTCCTTTCTCTTGTTCCTAGATACATGAATGAATCTCACCACACAAGAAAATTTAATCGTCGATATTTTAAAACTTTTACAAAAAGAAAAATCTTTTCTCAAGACTTTGCAGATGCCAAAAAAATAAAATAATATAAAAGAAAGAAAGAAATATCTTAAAAGCATAAAAGAAGTAGAAGAAAACTTTGCAGAGTTTTACTTGTTTTTATACCACACATGGCATGAATTTTAAGTGTTTTTTAATCAAGCAAAGGAAAAGATTGTTGTTTATGTATTTAGTAACTCAATCAATTTTTCGTCCTTGAATTATCTACAACATATATCTATCTACATACATGCATACATATATACAAAGAAATGGAAATTTTTATATACCTACCTAATTATCCTTTCACTTTCTTCTAACTTTCTCACATCACATACCCACAAAATCTTTAAAAATATTCTCCCCCTTACTTTTCTCACCCACCACCACATTATTAAGGCATAAAATATATTAGAAACGTTGCAATGAATCAAAAAACTATCAATTATGATATTTACATGGATGAATGGAAAAAAGAGAAAAAAAAATCAAATCAATTAATTAGTTAAGAATCAAAGATAACATAAAAAATTTATTTATAAAAAAAAACAATTAACTAATTTAACGGAAAATGTTCCTTTTCTTTTCCGTGTCACATGAAATGTTGAAATGTTTTTGAATTGAAAGTTGCTTTGAAGCTATTTGTAATATGTGTGCCGATGATATTTTTTTTATTTTATTCATTCTCATTTAACTTTAATGACTACTCGTAGATGTTTCTTGTATCGTAGATTTCAGCAACAGTGTCGTCCTTAGATATTCAGTTTATTTTGTGCAAATTCGTCCCCAGATAATTGTTTTTTAAATCATTGCATTTTCTTCAAATCTTCTTCTTTTCGTGTTTGATTTTATTTGTAAATCTTTTTGAAAGTTCTTCTATGTAACATATTTTAATTTAGATTTTGACAAAAATGGACAAAAACAAAAATAAAGAAAACAATAAGAAAATGAAAAAAGGTTTTTTAATTTCATTTTCAAGAAAAAAATCTTTAATGATACGAAGAGAAGGATAAAGTTATGCAATAAATGTTTCTTTTTCCATGTTTTCTACACCAATTAACTGAAAATTAAATAGAAACTTAATTAGCGATGACTTCGATGAATGAAAAATTATTTTATGGTCACTTCGGCTGAGTGGTACTTTGGTTTGCTATGCGTGAACGGCAAGTATCGATGTTTAATCATGTGCTAAAACAAAATCAAAATTTGAGCTTTCTTGTAAAATTGATTAGAATAAATGTTTCACCTTAATCTGTCTTTTCATAGTAATACAGAAAAGTGTGATAAAGTACATCACAAGAATGGGCCAAAACACGGGCACATTAAAGACATCGAAGAATGTACAGATAAGAGCGATGGTCGTCGATTTTGTGATTGCATACCAGAATTTAAATTCAGGAAGTCGACGTATGAATGGTCGAAATTCTTCATTGCTTCTTGTTGGAAGTTCAGGACCATCGGGATCGTCTGCTAAAATGGTAAAAAGTCACAAAAAGTTAGTGACACTAACATCTTTTGATATGCATTATCATTTAATTAAATTTACCTGAATCTAAGTCCAGTGATGGATCAATTTTCGGTGTTAAGAAGGCAATGAACAAATTGAGATGATAAATACCGAGTGCATAAGTCACAATGTACCAGCCTTGTGCTGTTATTATCCTAGTTAAAAATAGTCCCAAATTAACAAAAGCTGCAATCCACCGAGCTTTTGTATGTGGTGTACTTTTATCTATAAGAAATGGAACAAAAAAAATTTAGCAACCAAAAACAAAATTACACATTTTTGATTTCCGCTTTAAATGATTACAAGGAATGGGATTTATATGGAAGATTTACATGACAGATGAAAAAGTATCATATGAAATCAATTTCATTATACTGTCTAATCTTGAAGAGAAGATTACTTCATGTAGGAAAGTCACTTGACACAGTCAAACATTTGTTTCTGTCTTATCATTTAAAAAAAATTACCTAAAAGCGATTGATAACGCTGACTCAGACGCATGAAGAATGTGGAGACAGCACTCTTACTAGGTGGTGCCGATAGATCGTCCATTTTAATAGGATTTTAATGATGTGTTTCACTTTAAAGTTAATTAACTTAGAATATATTTCGACGAGATTATATTTAATTCACAGGAACTTGCTTAATAAATCCTGTTTCAAGATGAAGTTCTATCGTTTAGTAACAAGAATATTTAGTTTATTATTAATATTAAAGCGATGGGTTTTAAATAAGTTTCTCTTAAATACAAAATTGCAAAAGATGAGACTTTTTATGAAAACTCAAAAAATACCACATCACATACTAAGCAAATACACCAATTGCGGGACGCTTCAATATTTCAAAAACGTTTTCGATTTTACTGCAACAAAGGGTTCTTGTGAATATCTGATAGATTGAGGATATGAACAATGAATATTTAAGATGCAAGATAATCCTTTTCATAGAACTCACAATGCTTTATTTCTTAACAAGTTAAAAATAAATTTTCGATAGTTGGTTCACTCACCCTGTGTTTAGTTTTTGCTTCAATGACGCAAACAAATTTTTATTAGAAAATTTTTTAGAAATATTTTTTCCTTTCCTCTACAATGGAATCAAATGACAAGTCAGATGAGGATAAAGCTGCAGATGCACGTGAAGCTAGAAGAAGAAGAATCCTTGAAAATAGTAATAAAAGACTGGGAAAGATTACTGGCCGCGAGCATAATGAAGGTGAATGGAAGAAAGTAAATTTCATTTCATGCAAATTAAAATCACGTTTTGTTGACCTTTTAGAAATAACAGTGGCAGAGCCTATTATGAATGGGGTTTATCCAGATCCAGAAATGGAACGTGATGTGTATGAAGCACCTATGTTAGTTGCCGGAATTGATCCTGATCAAGATATTTTCGAGATGCTAAAGACAATGCAAGGCGGTGGAAATCCACAATTTTCTCGAGCATCTCAGCAACAACATCCATCTCCTGTTCCAGAAACATTCTTATCAAAATTCATACGATCAAAATTTCCTATCGTATTAATATCTTTAGCTGTTTACATGATATTCACATTCAACATGGAATTCTTAGTCGGTGGTGCTGTTTTCAGTTCTTTAATTATATGGGAAATCTTTGAATTCATCATGACAACATTTATAATAAAACAGCCTACTCAACCAACTGGCATAATAAGCATTCTATTTGCTTTTGGAGGCATCAATCAAGAGAAAGCGGAAATAATTATGAAACTTCTCGGTCTATTCAACAAAATTCTTCGTGATGTTGCAATTTTCTTATTCACATTTGTGATGATTCATTTAGCTTGGAGCTTCTTTGTAGCAGGCGAAAATCTTACTGAGATTCTAGACAAAGATTTTAGCAATTTATTAAGAAATGATGAGTTATAATTGAAAGAAAGTTTCTAATCCTGAACCTGAACGCAACTCGCGCTTTTTTTGCTAAATATATTTTATTCAAATCTTTTAAAGTTGTCCACCTTTAGAAGCCTTGTCTGAACATTCATTAAAACACTCGCGCCATGACTCATAGCTGCACATGTTTTCGAACAATCCAATCCAAATCAGTTTTAATGCTGTCACAAAGAAAAAAAAATAAAATAAATTATAAATAAAAGTTTTTTCACAACCTAATCATGAGTTAGTTTCTTGTAATATTAAGATGAACACAACACAAATCACAAAGTTAATCTTTTTTATTCAAAACTTTATTCACTTTATGAGAGAAAAGAAAAAATATTTCATTCTTAAAATTCAATAAGCTCTAATAACTAAAATTCTATGATTTTTTTTTGGGGATGTCGTTTGTTAGTGAACATTTAAATGAGGTGATTTCCAGAAGTGTCAACAACAAACAGATTAGAATTTGAAGAAATCTTTCAATTTGTTCAACACGGTTTCCTTACTGGTTTGGTTTGATTTATCTGTTGGTGTTAGTGCTTCTGAGGATTTGTTTGTTTCTGTTTGGTTTATATTTTTATTTTTGATGTTGTCACCCGTGGTGTCTGACTCCGATACTTCCTCTGATGATGATTCTAATTTTCTTTCTTCTGTCTTAACTTTAATTTCCTTATTCTCATCAACATTTGGAAGAGGAGCATTGGGTTGTTGTTGTTGTAAATTATTTTGAGGAAGAATGTTGGATGAAAAACTGTTTTTATCATCGAGAGAGTCAGGACACCACCCGAGTTCTCAATCGTCATGGGAGCGTCCTGCTTTTCTTGATTTTGTAGACTTTTGAGGCTCAAGAAGAGCTTCTTGTCTTACTATGTCAGTGTTACCCAAACGAATCATTTTAAGTTCCCATTTTGTCAGTTCTTGTTTGTATTTTATATTTTCATTACGACATGCTTCGTTGTATACATTTTTCTTGGATTCGGGAAGAGCATTCCATTTTTCAGCAATACTTTTGACGTGATCGTGGAATTTTTTATCTCCTCGGCTTTCTGTGGCATTCATTTCCTTGAGGTATCGCAAGAATCCTGATGCTGGCTTTTTAGGTTTATCATTTTCACGGATTTTCTTTCTGTAAGCTCGTTTTTCTTTCTGAATTTCCATGTCTTCGCGAGCTTCAGAGATCATAGCTCTATGTTCATCTGTAAGTTTGCTTTCATACTTTGCAATTTCGTTAATAAACTTTTCCTTTTCTTTCATGTATGCTTCTTCGTAGGGTCGCTTAATATTTTCATCACATTCTGCCCATTTCTTGGCACATAACTGTGAAATAAAGGTAAATTTAAAATTTTGAAATTCGTGCGAAATTTAATTTCCTTACTTTTACTGTATCAGTTATTGAAAGATTAGGATTTTCCTTGGTTACTTTTGGTCGGATTTCAGTAAGAAAGCGAAAATAAGGAGTAAGTGGCTTTTTTGGTCTTTGTGGGAGACCCAACCTCTCTTCAATGGATGAGAAATTCGCGCTTTGAAACGAAGCGGCAAATCTGAAAATGAATTTGCGTTTTATTTGATCCTCCTGAAATATTAGAGAAAAATGTTATCATTTACCTTGGATTTAAGATTGATTTGGCCGAAATTAGAAATTTATTAAGAGAAAGCATTTTTATTAACAATGAAAATCGAGAAAGAAATGTTCAAGAAAGTTTGTTTACAATTCCCGAGATTTTTATGAGATAAATTTGTTTCCTAAATTTGTCCGTCTGTCTTAATTCAAACAACTTTTTAAGAAGCGAAAAAATTTCTTAAAATTGATGCAAAATTATTGATGCAACAAATTACCTGCAAATTTTATAAAAAAAATCTGAAATTAAAATAGGTTTAAACTAAATGCTTATAAAAAAGCATTTTTGAACTTTATTAACACCTTTAAAAATAAATGTTGAGTGTTATCAAATAGAACTATGAGTCGAGATTGTATTGTACTTAGTCTTGTCGTAACAGTGATTTTAATTTTCGGACAAAGTTTTTGTTTGCAGAAAATTGATGATATTCAATGTCAAGACTCTTTGCTTTATCCTTTCGTTTTTGGTGATCATGCACCTAGAGGTAATCACTTAATAGTTTTGTAAATGTTTTGACGTTATCGCTACATTTCTTTATGCTTATATTTATAGATAATCGATCAGCAGGAAATTTCACAGAGTCACTTAACTCATCGGACTTGTATTCATGCGTTGATTCATGTTGTAAAACCAAATCATGCAATGTTGCGATGTTCTATAATCAAACATGCTTTTTATTAGAATGTATCACTTCAGCTGGTTGTTTGCCAGTTAAAAGAAATTCTTCAGTGCAACTTGAAATGGTTTTAGTAAGAACTGTGCCAAAAGAACATTTAACATGGGAAGAAGTCTTGAAACAAGAAAGTGAGATTAAAGAACTTCAACCAAAAGATGGAAATTCAAATATGAACTTTATGAACAACTTCTTCAACTACGATTTAAATGATAGACTTTACAAAGCAATACAACAAATGTCGTCACCAGCTGATGGAAGAATTCCCAAAGTTTATGGTAAAGAAAGTTTTGTTAATGATGATGAAATTGACCCTTTGGAAATGGAAGATTCTTCAAAAAGATACATGAGTCTTAAAGCCTGTGTGATGGGTGTTCGTACTTGTCAGGAACATGAAGAATGTCAACCAATAAATTTGGTATCAAATGAAGGTTTCTGCAGATGTCGTCAAGGCTACTATCGTTACAAACATAAGTGCATTGCACGAAGTATAACAGTTCCAGTTGTTCCAGCATCATTTCAAGAATCTACTTTTCCACAAAAGTATCCAGACGCCGATGATGAAAATCAATCATCTGAACCAGAGAAAATAAAACTTCAAGTCACTGTTGAGTCGAAAAATATTCAATTGCCCAAAAATGAAGCTTCGCTAACTGCGATTGTTGTGCCTGATGATGGAAAGCACACTTATTTGTGGTCGCTGGTCGACAAGCCTGAAAATGATAAGAACGGAACCATCACTGATCAGACTCGTCCAACAGTTCGAGTTTCCAATCTCGCTGAAGGTCTTTATCGTTTTAAAATTACTGTAACCGGAACTAATAGTTATGGAGAGGCTTTTGCTAATGTTACTGTGTCACATGCAAACCGAATTAACAAACCACCCACACCTATAATAACTCCCAATCATCAAGTAATCAAACTTCCCAATCAACATGCCGTTCTTGATGGCTCGACAAGTTTCGACGATGATAAAATTGAATCATGGAAATGGGAATTTGTTCAAGGACCAATAAATTATTCACCGACGCTTCAAGAACAGCAAACAATAGAGTTAGATGACTTGAAAGAACCAGGAAATTATACATTTAAGCTAACAGTGACGGATTCTGATAAAGCTGAAAATACAACGACAGCAATCATTGAAGTAGTTGAAGAAATGGATTATCCACCACAAGCAAATGCAGGTGCTGATGTGATTCTTTATTTACCACATAACAATATAACTTTGAATGGAACACTCAGCACTGATGATCATCAAATTGTGTCATGGGAATGGACGAAAGATGCAAACGATGAATCAAAAGCTGTTGACATGCAAAACACTCACACGCCTTTCCTTGAATTGTCTCATCTTGAAGAAGGCAGATACACATTTGAACTAAAAGTGACTGACGCTAAGGGACAAAACTCATCTTCAAAAGTTCATGTGTTTGTTAAACCACCGACAAATCTTCCACCACTTGCTCGTGCTGGTAGAAATTCGACCATCACACTCCCAACAACTTGGATATTACTAAATGCCACTGAATCAACAGATGATATTAAAATTACGCAATATTATTGGAAACAAATTTCTGGCCCTTCAACAAGCATGATCATTGATGCAAACAGTACAATCGCTAATGCAACCATGTTAACTCTAGGTGATTATATGTTTGAAGTTATGGTTATTGATGAAAGTAACAACAACGCAACTGATCGAGTCAGGGTCACCGTTATTCAAGGTAAGTGTGCTTAAATTAATATTACAGTTGAAGGAGAAATAATAAATAAAAACTGAATTACAGAAAAAAATGCTGCACCAGTTGCTAGAATTGCTGGTGGAAATCTTAACTTAACTCTGCCTTTAAGTGTACTCATTCTAAATGGAAGTTCATCATCTGATGACTTGAAGATTGTTAGTTATTTATGGACGAGAGAAAGTGATAGTTTAGCAGTTGGTAATGTGATTGGAGGTAGCGATCATGGAGCTGTTTTGATGGTAATTATAATTAATTAAATATTTTAAGTAGAACAAAATAATTGACATAGTTTTATATTTAAAAACAACAACAGCTCACTGGTGTCGTTGCTGGAACATATAAATTTAAATTGACAGTTTCTGATGAACAAGGCTTGACTGGAGTTGAAATTGCGACAGTTACTGTCAATGAAGATCCATTAATATTGAACTTAGTCGAAGTTGTATTAACCGCTAATTCAACAACTTTAAGTCAACAAGAGGTAAAAACAAATTCTTTTGTAATAATAAAATTCCACAGTAATTAATTATTTCGAACAGCTGGATCAATTGAAACAGAAAATTTTACTTCTCCTTGGCGATAACATGAAATTAAACATTCGAAATGTGTTAATTGAAGATAAGACGAACCATGTTATTGTTGTCTTTTATGTGTCAAGAACAACGAAAGAAGGAACGACACAAATGATAATGAATGGCTTAGATGTTCAAAGAATATTAAAGGAAAAGTATTGGAAGGATTACAGCATATTGGGATCGTCAATCAGTGAAATTCGAACGGTTGTGTGTCAAAATGAATGTTCGGGTCATGGACAATGTAATATAGAAACAAGAGCTTGTACTTGCGATGCATTTTGGATGCCAGATATTTTCTTCTTTTGGGGTGTCACTGAAGCCAACTGTGATTGGTCGATTCTTTATGTGATTGTCTTCATTTTCTTTGTGTTCATGGTCATCAGTGGAATATGTTGGGGATTAACATACACTTGTCGTCATCGTCAATCGAAACCAGCAAAAAGCAATGGACCATCACGACCAAGTCGAATGAAACGTCAACAAAAATATGCATTGATTCATTCGCAAGATGATGAGATTCCATCGTGTAAGTTTAACATAATTGAAACATAGGTAATTTCTCCAATTTTAATTTGTACATTTCTCAGTTAATCGTAACACATTAAGCGACGATTCTGATGACACAGACTCTGATGTTTTATTCGAAAATAGTCGACAGAAATCGAATGGAATTAGAAATGGATTCAAAAGTAATCGAACGCATAAACTAACGAAGCTTGGAAGGCGGATTAAAACATAAGTTTGTAATAATAATATTCATTTGTTTTGCAAGCTTTTCTGCTGTGCTATTTATATGAAAAACACACGTGATTCAACCAAAAATTATACTTGTAATGATTAAAATAATGAAGGTAACATTCCGATAATGATTTTAACATGATACTTAAATAGATATTTAATCATTGCTTTAACAATTTAAAGAATGAAAAACCAATGAAGAATATTCATTTAATAGAAATTTATAAAAGGAAAAAATCTAGTCGATAAAACTAAATCTACAAATGTAAAATGTTTGAAAAGAAATTTTGTTTGTTATTGCACAGATTAATTTGCAATTTAAATGAATCAAACAAGAAAAAAGCAGAAAACATTTTTCATGTGATGGAACAATTTAAGTACTTAACGAATAAAATGTAAATTTTAATTAGATAAAAACTATTTTTGTCAGAGTTTTCAATTGAATGTAAAGGGTTGAATGGGAATTTTTTGTCGAAGTTGAAGGATTTCTCAAATCGTTGTCAAATCCAAATTAAATCCTTTGAGTTTGACCCAATCAAGCTCATATGAATTCTTAGAGATTGTCAAACCAAACTTTTACCCTCAAACAATCCCCAGAGATGGTCAAACTTTTCATTGAAAAGAAAAACAAAAATCGTCAATTTTGAAACTTCATCAAATATTTTATTCGTCATTTATGTTTGTTTCTTCATAATTTCTTATTTGATTGAAGATTTTTTACAAGCGAATTAATAAATTTTATTTTCATAAACTAGAGAGAAAAAACTTTGTTAATTATTCTTGTGGTAATTTTTAATTCTACACTTTCTCTTTGAACGAATGTTTTCTTTTATAATATTTTTTGTATGTTCTATTGTGTGATTTGCTTTAAATTCTTCTTAACAAATTTATTTCTCAATCGTGCAGTTGTTAAATTTATTTCATGAACTTTTGAGTTGAAAAGCTTTTTTTATGGGAGATGGGAGACATCACTAAAGTGTTCAGCCAGCGATTTAAATAGAACATAAAAAGTAAGCCATAGTCGAAAAATATCTTTGGTTCAAATATTCGTTATCTAATTTGTCGGCTTTAGAAAAATAATGGTTTTATTTTTATTTTCCACCAAAATAGTTTCTACAATGCAACCAGCAGGTTTTAAAGATTTTTCAGGAAACGATGTCCGACAATTTATATTTTATCTATTTAGTTACATCGAAATTATCGGTCATTCATCGAACTTACATAGAAAATGGCTGCTGAATCTGATATTTTAATATTATTGTTGTTATTTCTATTAGCATCGTTAATTGACATTGCAACCTTCAGATCATTTACTTACTTCAAAAGTAAGTTTGTTTCTTTTTTGGGTTCATTTTTTTATCAGGCACAATTTTTTACATCCATTCCTTGTGTTTGAGTTAGTTAATATTTTGAATCAAAAAAGTTTTGGTATTTAATAAGTAGCTACTATCGAAATATAGAAATCACTAAAATCACTTTCACAAACTACATTAAAGAATTACAATAAATTGAACTTTTAAAATCGTCTATCAAACACATTTAAGTTGATTTTGAATTTAAAATTGTTAGAAATTGTGTAATTAGTTAGAGTTTTTAGGTAGTGTGTAGATAAGAAATAATCAGAAAAGAAAAAAAGTAATCCTAAATATTTCTAAGATAATTTTACGATGAAAATAAGAGAACAATATTCCATCTATTGAAGTGTTGTTAATAACTTTGATTAGTTTTGCATTTTAAATATTAACTTTCTTTATTCATAATTCTGAAATAAAAGAAACTGACTGTCTACCTAGTTCTTCTAACTAGATACCTAATTATTATTTATTCAAGCAGCAATTTGAGAATGCTTTCGGGTTGAGGAAACTATTAATGCGTTCTGAAGCAAATGCAGCCGTGATGGATCGGAAATATTGCTCTAAAAGGTTCATCAGGATAAAACTTCTTCATTTTTGTTGTTGTTGTGTAAGTTAAGTTTGCTAAGAATAAGCTTCTCATTTTTAATAGGTAATTATTATTATTATTTAGTTATTTATATTAACAACCCGTAGTTTTCAAGAAAATTGTTGTTTCTTCCATTTAAATTTCTAAAATTATTCTTTGCTTTAAGATTTTCATATTTTCTTATATTTGGTGCTCTAGAACTGTAAATCACCATTTGATTATTAATATCAATGTGAAAAAATATCATTCGACATATTTTTTATGTAGATAATGTGAGTCAACTGATGTTGATAATAACAGAAATGAATGAACAACCAAGACTTTCTCTTTCGATGATTAATTATAACAATAACTTTAATCCAATAAAGAAAATTGATAAATTATAATTTTAATAATACCGTAAGTACGTGCAGGAATTTTATTCCTTATTTCTTTTTTAATGCATCAACGATCTGGTGGAATTCGAAGAGATTGAATCACTTTGCTGGCCTGTGAATGAAGTGAAATTAAATAGAATTCTTAAATAAATTTTCTTAAAATCTCACCTGATATTCTTCTTCTGTATCTAATTTACCAACAACAGAAACAATTTGATATTGAGGAGCTTTCATAGCACTAGGTCCACGTCGAATTAGTCTGAGTGTGTCTTGTGATGAACCAAGCGAAGCAACTTGTCGTGGACTATGAGATGGATCGAGAATAAGCAGTGAAAGTCCATTTGCTTTCTGTTCGATTCCAATTATTGTACGACTATGTCCTTGATGTTGCAGATAAAGTGGAGGTGTGTGTGGCCTTGGCTGCTCAAAATATCTTAAAACATAACTAAACAAGTCAGGATGACATCCATTTAAAGCTGTTGGACGATGAAAATCTACCAATTGACATTCGATTCGCATCCATGAGAAAAGTGTGACAATTTCTGTCGCTCCAATCCATTTCCTGGTGTTGTATAATTTACATCCAAGTTGTTCCTTTCCTTGAACGTCGAAACCTTGAGTCCATGCACTTTCCACCATTTTTTGAAGTCGCGAGATACTTGGCATTGAATTCGATCCAATTGCTGCTCGTAACATTTCGTTATATGTTGGATTTTGGAAAAGTGACGAAAGCATCATTTGAATATTTCTATAGCCACAACCCCAACCTTTATCACCGTAACTTGATGCATAATGATCGATTGCTGAACACACATAACTTTTTGTGACACTTGGCGATGCTGCTGATAAACTTGCAACACGAGCTGCCACTGATTTTGTACATGATGATCCATCGTCAACGCCATTAACTTCTGCGGCTTTCAATCCAACTTGTCGACAGTAATAGTCAGCAACTGACATCTCACCAGCATAGACTGCACGTTGCATCGCTACTGCCGATTGTTCCCGAAAATTTCCCTGATCGTCCATTCCATATTGTGCTCGTAACATTTCAAATTCACGCTGTTCACGTAACTTTTGAGCTTCTTTTTCAAGATCTGGTGCAGCAGTTACAGTTGTTGGCGATTTTGTAAAATGACTTTCAATATGCATTTCCATATCTTGTGTCTTCATATTTGAAAATGATATTCCGCAAACAGGGCATAAATTGCATGCAGCTTCGTCACCATTCGTTAAAATCTCGGTCGAACAAGCTGTTGATGAATCAACTTTTGCTGGCGATAAAATATCACGATGTTCATGATTCACATGAAGTTCAAGATCAGTACAACTTTCGAAGCATCGAACACAAAGTGGGCATTGAAAAGCATCGAGTGTGTCGATATGATTGGAAGTTCCGCCATGAGCACCGCTATCTGAATTCATAACACCGGGACTGATTGGATCGAAATGAGATCGATTAATGTGTTCCTCAAGTGTCCTCGAATCTTCTGTCGTGTATGGACACAACAAACATAAAAGAGGCGATGAAAGTGTTGGAATTGTAATCTTTGGCTTGGTACTCGCTTTAAGTTTTAATCCTAACTGACTTCTTAGTGGCGAACCTTCACCATGACTCTCAGGAACTCCATTCACATTTCCACCATTCATATTTTCATTATCACAGTTCACATTGTTGCTATTATTGTTATCATCCATTATATTATAATTGAATATCGCGGGTTCGGACTTAAAGCTTCCATTCGTCAATGTTTCGCTAGGGATTTTGGTATTTAAACCACTAAACTGCGTTTTATTTTTTGCTACTATTTCTTTTACTCCGTTCTGTTGTTTGCTGGCATCAAAGTTATTTGGTGACGTTGCGTGATTATTTGTGATGCCAGGAATTTCAGTAATTGAGGGAGATAAGCCGCATGACATTGAGTCTGAATCACCATCAGCGCTAGGCGTTTTTGAATCATCAATAAAACTCATCAGTTCGTTTTCGGGTGTAAGATAGTCAAGATGAGCTTGATTGACATGAAGTAAAAGTTCAGCTGATGATGTTCCCGAAAGACCACAAAATGGACAAGCGGCGCTACCTTCAACATGACACTTTTGTGTATGTTCTAACATCTTTTCATCGCTTAGTCCTGATTGTCCGCAAATTTCGCAAGAATGTTTAGCCGAGGATTTTTCCGATGATGGGCCATTGGATGTTGATGGATCATTCTGTTGCCCGTTCGTTGACATTATCTTCAACCTCTTGCTTCTACACTAATTTTTCAATAAAAAGAATATGAAGTTAGAGAAAAAGAAGACCCGGAAGTTAATGACATTCAGAGAAGTATAAAATATTGATTAAATAGGAAGGAATTAAATTGAGATATAATTATTGATTCTAGCATGAAAAGGGATTAAATAAGCTAGGAAGTCCGACTATGAATTGTATATTTGAAATGGAAATGAAGTTCTCTTTTCCTTTTTCATTTTTGTGTATAATTGTAATTGTGCAATAAATATACGAGGATGTAATTTCGATCGATAACATTTTTTTCACACTTTTTCCTTCCTGTTCCTTAATCATTTGGGAAAACTTTAATGGTCTGTTTCTCGCACACTTCTTTATTAATCCTTGAGATTAAAATAATTGTGTAATATTTAACTTTATACTTAGGTATCACACAATTGATAAATCTTTAAGATCTGAATTAATTTTTTGATTAAATTTTTTGATTTAATTAACGTTTACTTTATTCTTACCACTTAATTTTAATTACTATTAAAGATATGCAATTGGCTTTTGATTATAAATTTACATCTTCAAATTGCTTTAACCTTTTCTTTCTCTCACAATTCAATTTAGTTTCATGAAAGATTTTCTGGCGATTTTATAAATTTCTTTTCAAACGCGATTCGCATTTTTTTGCGTCAAACGAAGGATATGAGGAACAAAATAAACTTTACAATCAAACTTTTAAGGACTTTCCAGTAACTTACGGATGTCATTGTTTGAAAGTATTTATGATTATCAAACATCAAATTGATGATCTAATTTTGATATTTGTAAGTATATTTATTCTTATTAAACGTCTGAAATTTTAAGTAAAAATGATCAGTTCTGCTTTCAACGGTTAAGTACAGGAGAAGTACGATTCGCACTTTCTTACTTTGCGATTTAAAAAGAAATAATTTTATTATGAAATATGATTAGTTAAATTCTAACATAAACAATGAGTTCAAAATGTTGTTAATAAAAGTAAATTCATATGTGTACAAAAAATCTTAAGTTTTCAGCAAGCAAAAAGAATGAACAATAAAAATTGCTTAAAATTGTATAACTGCAGTAAGACGCGAAAACTTGAATGTTTGCCTCCCATCAAAGACGCAAAGATATAAAGTTTTGCTTCAATTTTAAAGATATCGGGACTAAAATAAAAATATTTAATGTTTTGTGCATGTTTTAGCCAATTTTGAGAAGTGAAACAAGTCATACTTGACGAAAAAGTGTTTATTCTTGTTCAGTTCGTGTTCTTGTCTTGATCATGATTATAGAAAACGACGAAAGTGAAAATCTATCATCTTTAGATTTGACGATACTACAATCTTTAGATAGGTGAAGATTTGACTTATTACATACTATTTATAAGTTTAATGTGTGTATTTATATTCAATTACAGTCGACAATTCGGCTTTATTAAACTAAATGCGCCGGAAAATTCGAAAAAGAAAGCGCTTGTCTTAAAGGTGGGTTTGCTTGAAAACACTGGACGATCAGACACACACACATAAGCAAATACATATTTTTTTCACTTTTAGGCGATTAAGTATTTGGAACAAATGCTTATTGAAGCTCAATCTCAGAAACTTCTATCAGAATTAGACAAATTAAATGCTGATGAAGATGGGAAACAAGATTCAATTCCAATGGAGGTCGATGAGGACAACCAAAAAGAGTCCCTTCACACGACTCAAGAAATCGATAAGATGAAAGATATCGAAGAGAAATGTTCGGAGGATTCAGCGAAAAAAGTTGATTTAGATGAAAAGACAATCGACATTGACCCAAAAACTTATTGTAAATTGGGTCACTTCCACTTGTTGCTTGAAGATTACGCAAAAGGTATGCCCGGCTGATTATTCTTATTAGAAATCAATATTCAACTTCGATTCTTTTATTGCAGCATTGTCTGCTTATCAAAAGTATCGTAGTTTACGAAACGATCATTGGAAGGATACTCCATTTTTATACGGACTGGGAATTGTTTATCAACATTTTAATTCTTTAAGATGGTGAGTTCCTTTTTCATTATTGTTATTATTTCATAAAAGTTTAAGTGACGGCAGTTTATTAACAATGACACTAATTTTCTACCTTCTAAGTTAATTATTTTTTTTAAATTTCAATTTCCTTTTAAATCGCTTTCCTCACTCTTTCTTCCGTCTAATTTTATTTCCATTTTAATTCTATAATAATGATGAATAAATACAAAAAGTAATTATACATCAACAAAGTATAAGAAACAAATTGCAAAACTGACCTACCTTTAACCGGCATCATTAGACTTGAGAAAAAAAGCATTGCACAATTCTTATTAGTGAAATGACAGAAAATTTATCATGCTGAACATTAAGGCGTTGAAGAAAAATAAAATTGAAATAAGAATGCATTTTAAACATTTCTTTCCGTTTTGTTCTCATTGTGCTTCTTTGCATAAGTGAGATGATGATACAGTGTATTGTTGTTTGTATTTAAAAACGCAACAGGCTTGACGTTGTGGTATTAAATTTATGCTAAAAAAACTGTCGTAAAATGAGGGAAAGAGGGAGAACGATCAAACGGGAACCGATAAGAAAGTGCCGTTTTTTTATTGGCATCATAAAAATATGAATTGTTCAACAAGGCGCAATAACTTGAGCGGTAAAATCTTTATAGGAAATCGGAAATAATCGAAATATTTATCGATTGATTACAAATATGAATGCTTATCTGAATTTTTCACATTGTGCCTTAGAAAGCTTTTTTACTCGAATTAGTTTGTGAATTTATCTCAAAAAATAATTTTCTCTACTACAATCAAAAAAAAAAAAAATTAAAGTTTAAGTTCATTGAAACTTTGTTGTTGTTTGATCCGACATTGAGTCTGAAAAATGTTTACATTGTGCCAGATACCAAAAACAATTTGCACAATTTTATTTATAACATTTTAAGAGGAGGAGGAATTTTTAAATGACGACAGTCGTCACCAAGTGAAATTCTTTTGATTTCAAGTTCATAAAATATTTTATTTAAAAAAATTACTAGAATTAAAATTGTTCAAACAGTCGGGAAATTTACTTCTATTATTTATTATTTTTCCACACGGACTTGATTTTGACTGAGAGTTTCTTTCTTTTCTCCCTTTTTATTTATTCACATTTATTGTTTTTATACTTGACTAGCGTGTCTAGCCATTATTTAATTTTCATATTTCACATCAAAACGGTTTGAAGATTCGGTATAAATCGAGGTAGGAGGTGATAGAGAAGGTATTTGTTTCAACACTGTTCGTAGCCAAGTTAAAAAATGTAGCTATGTAATTTTTTTGTTGTTGAATTTTTCATCCCCTATGAATTTTTCTTCAATTACTTTCTAATTAAGTCTTAACGCTTCGATGTATTCAAAATTAATTTTTTGTGTGATGCTGATTCTTCCAGGATAAAAATTTTGTTTCAATTTAAAGAGACGGAAGACACAGCAAAAGTTTTCTATGGTCTACGTGACTTAGTACACGGTTTCCGAAGAATGAATAATTTAAAACTGTGATTGCATGGTGCACAACGGTACTTGCTTCTTCTTATTTTTCGCTATGATTTTTCAATCCCAACTTCCTCTCTCCATCCACATTTATGCATTGCAAGCAGAGAGAAACTGAGACAGAATATATAATAGAAATCTAGAGAGGGCGAAACATTGCAAGTTTACTTCCTTTTTTATTTTTTTATTTTTGCATTAAAAGTGAGCTCGATTGCCCCGTTGTCTTTTATTTACTTCCATTCTCTCGTAATGAAGGTGAAACGACAGACACATAACGGTAGAATTAAGAGATAAATACTTGAATTGATTTATTACTATCCATTATATATTTTTCTCCGTTCTTATGGATGAAGTTTTATAAAAATTAATTGCAAATAAAAAAAAGTTCAAAGAAGATATTTCATTCTTTGCGAAATCTAAGTGCTTACTGCATGACAGACAACGTCTTGCAAATTGCTTAATTTTCAACTGAGTATCAAGTCTTTTGAATTGTCTGTTCTACATCTTACTTAAAGAGATGTTTTAGATTACAATCATATTAACATGCGAAAGTCATTTTCCCTGATTGCGTTAAAATTGTATTTTGTCTCGTGACATCTTGTTTGTTGCTCTTCAAGTGGATTAAAATTAAATTTTCTTATTCCGATATTTCATTTAAACGTAATTTCATATTTCTGCTTACGAGTAAAAATACAATTTTAGACTTAAATTGATTTTTTGTTATTATGTCTTAAGACACAAGAGCGAGAAGTTTTCCACACCATGGAGCATCGGAAAATTATAGCTTACAGACGACAAGAAAGGAGAAAAGAAAAGTTTTCCTTTTCGACACGCTCGGTGTCTGCGTTTGGGTTTCCATTGTCTTCTTGTTCTTCAAAGGTTCGCTTCTGTTTTGGGGGTTGAATGAACCTATTCTTGAATCAAGTAAGAAATCGTTTTTCCGAGTTGATGCCCTTGAGAAAAAGTAAAATCATTAAGGGGAATGTGGTGGTTTAATTTGTGTGGCACCGACGGTATGACATTGTTAATGGTTTACAGCATTCAATGAACTTCGAACTGGTTTGACGCTTAATTTTTTAACATCCTGCATCAACATTTTTTTTGATGCATTTACGCGATTTTAAATGAGTTCAACGGTTTCATCCTCTTGAAATGAAGAGAAACATGATTCATTTCTGTTTTGTGGAACTTTTGCGAAAGATTCAAAGTATCCATTTACAACAAATGTTGTTTTACGCATCGATCGTCTCGTAAATAAATTTCATCTTTTATTTTACCTGCTGCTGTTTAGAGCAAAGAATTAAATATCTTAGGCTATTTATTTGAAACCATCTGTTGCGCAAAACAGAATTAAGAACTAAAAAGTTCAGAAGTTTTAGGAAGAAAAGAAAGAATTTAATGTTTAGCATGTGATAGGATATGAGATGTTTTCTAAAATTGTGAATGTATTTGCGAGACCATGTGCAAACCTTTCTTCGTGTCTATTTAGAATACATTTTAAACTTTAGATCCTTGAGGCAGTTCATTGTCATTTTTGTATTTGTTTCGTATGTAAATTTGACCTTCATGCGATCTCTCGGTCGGTTGCTGCTTTATTCGATCATATGATGCATCCGACAAACAAAAATTTTTAACAGCTACGAAATTTGAAGTAAAACGCAGCAAAAGAAAAGAAATATTTAATTAATTATTGAGAATTTGGAAATTTTGTTAACTCGCGAGAAGATAATTAAATTTCGATTCTTTTGCCGATTTCTTTCTACCTGCTTTTAATTTTGTGCTCATTTTTATTTTGTCTGAAGCTTAACATAAATTTTTCGTTTTTTGTTTTCATCGTATTTTTGACGAGTAATTTTTGTAGCTTTGTGTGCAAAAAGAAAACTTCTTCAAGTTGTATACGAAAATAAATCAATGATGCAAGGTCAGTGAAATGTTCAACATTGCTAAACCGACAAGGTCGAAATTTTTATTCGCTTATCACTCGAGTGCCGTCCGCCTACAAGGAAAAATCTTGTTAATTGAGATACTTCGTCGTATTTATGTGTTTTCATCGTTGATGTGAGCATTTCTTCAGTTGTGGCTTGAAGCAAATATCTATTTATTTTTATATTTCCGTTTTAAATGAAGTCGACAGTGATTCTTACTTCTTTCTCTCTAGAACATTATCTTTTCGTGTCTTAAGCTAACGAAAAAAAAAAGAACGAGAAACAAATTCCGCGGTTGAGCCATAGCGCGGGTCAATGGCTTCTGATTATTCCCGGAGACGTTAAAGAAGAAGCAGAATAGTAAAACAGAAATTGCAAGAGAACGAGTCTGGCTATGAAGAAGAATTCGAATAAAGTTTTCTTCTTGATTATTCGTCGCTTGAAGGAGACGAACAAAAATAAAAATAATAAAAAAAAAAATTAGATTTTCCTCGTTTATTCGCACATAAACATTTTCCTTACTGCACATTCATCACGTTTTCCTATCACGCTGTAAGGAAACAAAAAGAGATGGAGCGATAAAGAGAGCAGAGTTCCGATATCTAATGTTTGTATGAGTGAGTTGTGAAAAATCACGTAGTACACCTAACCAACCATTAATTCGCTTCTAAGCTCGGCATCACGATAATACTTACACCTTTGGCTGTTTTAATGATGAGCTTATTTTTTTTATTAAAGTCTAACATGGATAATTTGTGATTCTTCCTTCAAGCTATCATCCTTCGATTATTGTAATTTATTATGGAACGATTTTTTTTTTTTGGATTTTATATCGAAGCAAAGTGAAATGTTTTGTGTTGGTTCCCGTTCGTGTGCATGCGATAGCATTAGAAAATTTTCTTCTTTTCCGTCGCGTTATGTTGGTATTGTAGACACATTTACAATACGAAGCCAATCATTTACATGCTTTTCTGAGAGAAAGAGAAAACATTGAGCATGAAGGTTTATTCAGTTTGCGTTCGACGTCCATACGAGACAGACAGTAAAAGGCAGTAGTCCCGTTGGCCGTTGCGATTTTTTTTTACCACCGAGTGTTTCACTTTTTTCACTTTTTTTCATCGACATTTATGAATTAAAAACTCGGTTAATTAAATTGTAAAGTTTACAAATGATAACGTAAACTCATTGACTGATAAGAACATTACAAGAATAAAACTGATTAAGTTTAAATTGTGTTTAATTGTGGAAATAAAAAGAAAAATTTTCAAGAGTAAATAAATTAATGAAAATTATTTAAAAACAATTGTGAGAAATAATTAAGATAAACTAATTTCTCTTCCATTAAAAGGCGTCTTAAAAAAGAAAAAAGGAGAAGTTAAGGAATTTCTTTTCTTTTATTTGAAATAAGAAGTTGAAACACTGCCAGGAAGTTGGGTGTGTTTGTGACACAGAAAAGAAAAAAAAACAAATTTAATCAAAGAAAAGTCGTCTTTGTCGTGTTAGTGCAAAATAAAAATCTAACAGCAAAAGTACTGTGAATGAAAATAAAGAAAAGATAAAAATAAGAAAGCTGAGTGTCTTCGTATGGATTTCCGTGTTTGATTAAAATATTATTGTGTTCAAAAGCTTAGTTTTCCAAGAGATTACAGAAAAGAAAAATATTGGATTACTCAATAGAGATAAAAGCATTTTCTTTGTATTGTGTTCATTTATAAGACTTTGAGAAATCTTCTCTCTAAAATATCTTAAGGAAAAAAGAGAAATTTTCACATCATAATCAAATAGAGGTGAGTTTGAATTACATAACTCCGCGAGTTTGTATCCGGTGTACATAATCAGACTAGAAATAGGTCTTAAAATTTCTGTAGACATTGTGAAATGTGTTTCAAGTTTCCTTCCTGCGACCCTTCTTTTCACTGATCGACAGCCTTCAGAAGGATAGAAAAGAGAAAAAAACGAATAAAGATGGTTTTGTGCATCACATGCTCTGCTAATATCCCAAGAAAACTAATCTTACATTTGTGTTAGTGCGCTTTCGAGCCTATAAATAGTTTTCTTATTATTTTCTAAAACATTTCTCAATTCTTTTCGATCATTTCTTTTGACTGGTTTTCTTTTCTTCTGTTTGCGTATTTGTTGTTGTCTTCTGCTTTGCTCTGTGCAACGTAAAGAAACGTGTGATCCCGAAAAAAAAAAAGTAAATCGTTTTCATGATGATCCTAAAGTGGTTTGACGAGTTCTTTTTATTTTATTTAATTTTTCATTTCTTTTTTTTCATTATTTACTTTGAACAAAGATGAGTGTAAGAAGAACGAATAACATTTTGATGTTGATCTCTCGGTTGCTCTGTTGCAATGCATTCTTTATACGATTTAAATGTAAACAAAAGTTCACTTTTCTTCGGGGATAGTTTCAATAAACAAAACTCTTTTATCTTACTGAATAAAATTCGTCAAAACTCTTATCTTCAATCTTAAATATTTGTGTAAGAAGATCATCTTCCATTTTGTACCTCGATGTATTCAGCAGAGAATATGCGAAACGAAAGAAACCATGTGATCTCGCAGCATAGTCGAGGTGAAAATGACGTCAGCGAAAGATGAATGAATGAACTTGACGGTTAGTCATAACTGTTACGTTGTGAAAATTCTTCGAAAAGTTATGCTTTATCTTGGAATCGATTTTCGGCAAATTCTACAGAAATATCTTATAAATAGCGAATTGAAATATTTTATGAATGAGAATGTGGTACGTGTTACTCAACTAGTAATTAGTGAAGCTACTTTACAGTCATTATTCATGTAAATCATTGCTTTAATGGCCAATGGCTTTCTCATAAATTATGACAAATGCCAATAAGCAAGTAAACATCTCATCGATCGTTCCACAAAAGCTTAATCACATGATGATTAATTTATTTTCGATCATTCACGTATACATAACCACATGGGATGCTTAAAAACAAACAAATGACAATAGTACGTAAAGGGCTACTCAAAATTTGGCAACAAAATGATTGTATATATTCGAAGACATAAACTTCTCCCCACCGTAGCTAAAACTGAAGCGCAAATAAGCAATTCATGGAGTAAAATAAACACAAATAGTTGACCTACTTTCATTCTGTCGCTTTTTGTTCTAGAAACCAAATTGGCTTTTGCTAGGTTTCTGTAGAGATGTGAATGTGTTTATTTATTATTTAGTCTTTAAGTAACAATTTAAGAACTTAATTGAACATGATAAGAAAACAGAGATCGAAGTTGTAAAGCAAGATTTTCATTTTTGATGTTTTTATTTAAAATATTTTTCGAAGTCGACGCCCTTGATTCTTTTTAAATTTAATCATTATCAATCAACTTGAATGGAATCTCAAGAGAATTATTGCGTAGTTTTTCTCTCACGTTATTTACATTAGTTATAGAGGAAAATCTGTAATTTATTTCTCAATTTAGAACATGCATAAAATGTTAATGAAAATATTTGCCATCGTGTATATAATTGTTGTAAAGTTTTATGTTTAGAAAGATGATGAGACTGCGACATCTGTTCTCAAATGGCCGTAAATTACAACAAGCACATCCTTAAGATGAGACCATTAATGTCTTGAATGTGTTTCCGTTTGCTTGCTTGATCATCATAAATGAAAGAAAACAAAATAATCAAAGTGAAAGAAACTCTCGCACCAACACGAATAAAGCCCATGATGGCAAAGACCACACATCCACCATTTTATTTCATGCTGATACATAAGTTTGGGCTTGATTAGAAAATTTGAAAGAAAAATTTACACACACAGATAAAGAAAGTTAATCAGCGTTGCCAAACTTTTTTCTGGTTATGCTCCGTTTAGCATTTCTCATGTTTACAAACACTAATTCATACAACAACAAAATGTAATGTGGAACTCGAGAAATGTATAAAAAAAATCAATATCTAATGCTGCTTCATTATGTTACATAAATAATATAAGAAATGTTCGAAAATGTTTGAATTTTTTTGAGGGAAGAAGGAGTTTGAAGAAAATCCTCTCGATTCACTGGGTGCAGCTTAATTTTTTTTACTTTTCCATTGTTCTCTATTGCTAACCCTATTATTTGCCATTCCCTTCAACCATTGCACTTTTATGTTGAATGAATGCCGCATTTTATTGTTGTCATATGTTGCATTTATGAATTTATTCGCTTGGTAAAGTGCAAAACTTGTCGCGCAATCAGAAATTTTGTTTGCTCTCATTTCTTGATGCAAAACGATGCTGTCAATTGTAGAAACGCTTTTTAATGTCGTAATGACTTTTTTGCTGAATTCACTTGAACGAATGCCAAAATTTTTCTTTTTGACTTTTCGTCGAGGTCTGCATTAAATAAATACGAAGTAACTTCCATGCTCATTAAGTGATAAAAAAAATATTGCCGACTTTATTTAGTGCTGAAATGAAGAAATGCAATGGTTAAGCTTCGAACCGGTTTCATTGTGATTTTAGAATCTTGCAAAATCAAACTGCTTTTCGTTTTTGTTTTTATTTAGAAAAATAAGAACAAGGAGAAGTCAAAATTGCATTCTCAAGTAAATAAACATTTAATGAACACCACTAAGCATTGTTAAAATAACCGCGAATGTATCGTGGACTTGAAACTGTTTGTGTTGGAATTGAAAATGTGCAATTGAAAAATTTACTGTTAGATTTTTATTCGCTTTGCTTTTACGTAGCTTCAAAGAGTCACGTAGACGATGTTGCTGATTTAAATGCTTCAAGCCTTATTTGCTATCGAAATATTTACAGAATATTTTAAAATTTATTCTATGAATGTCACGTCATGTGAATGCTGAGCTCATCATCGCATGTCATCGACGAAAGAAAAGCCTCGTCACATTTATTTGAGAGTAGTTGCGATATTTTATTTATTTTTGATAAGTTAGACAAAATTACAAAAAAGACTGAGATAAGTGTCTACATGTGTTGAAAATGTCGCGTGTCGTATCATCGTTATGAAACGACACACATAAATCTTTGAGTTTTCATTGTAATTAGTCATGAATGAGGTTCTATCAGTGGTGGTCTATGGAAACTATGACAGATGTTGTCAGTGTGGTGGCGATTATTCAATACTTTTGTTGAACACTTGAAATCTAAAATTTTCTATTAATTGTGAACTTTTATAGTTTCCTTGATTATTTTTATAATTAGCGTTTATCAGTAAACTTTGCCTTGATCAAAGTCGTATCAAAATGTTACGTTATGTATAAAACAATTTGGCAACGATGCGATAACATTTCACAAGCATCTCGTGTTACTTTCTCCCTTTTTTTAATATTTAAATGTGTTACTTATTGACTTAAAACTTTTATGTCATCAAAAATGTTGAGCTAAATGTAGAAATTTTTATTGGGAACAAACATTTTGTGTTTTTGAGGCTTCTTTATTGCCTGCGTATGCACTATAAATTTCCAGGATAAAAGTTTATTCAGGGAAGTGGTAAATAATTGTGCAACAGCTTGACGATGCTGTGTAGGAAATCTGAAATCCTATTGCGACACTAAATATTGAGGTCATGATTTATTTAACCGATGCACTTCTGTTCCCCACCTGGTATAATAATTCATGTTAAATGAAACTAAAAGTGGGCTTTTCGTTGTTTGTTTCCATTCTAGTCGAGGTTATTTGTATTTATTGCTGTTATGCAATTTTTTTGTTGCTTTTTTCTACTTCAAAATTGAAAATAAAAGTAAAACTCGTGCTGCAGTAAAATGCATTTCAGTATTTAAAAATGTACAGGCTTACAAATGCAAAATACAATTCTCTTTCATAATGTTTCATTTATTTACTTAAAAAAGCTAAAAATGTCATGCCGATACGCGATACATGAAGTACATTCACACATTCAAATATTTTGAAACAACTTCAATATCTTGTCGATAATTAAAACTGATAGAAATATTTGAAAGAGCTCCTCGCCTACACGAGTCATTTATTGATGAGATTTCTGTATGCTTCTCAGATGTCATGTCAATCAGCTGTGATTACTTAACGTACAACGTAGGTTGACTCACTTTGTTTTGTCTAACACATAACAATTACAAACCGTGTCTGCAAATAAATCACTGCAATGATTTTCAGTTATTTTATCCCAAAAAACTAAAACTCTGGAATCAATCAAGCAGTAAATTTGGTTTGCAAGAAGCAGAAAAAAAAACACGAAAAATTATTTCAGTCGACGAACATCATTCGGACGAGTGCATTTCATTGACCGCAAAGAAGTTGATTGAACTAACAGACAACAATAAATATCTACAACGAAAACCAGTTGAATTCTCTCTTGTTTCAAATCATTCTTTATTTCCATCATAAAAATCTCACATTTTGGTGACGAAAAATCAAGCGAAAAATGATCATAAAGCGTTTTTCGTACATGGGTAAACACTCCTCTGTCATTTATTATCGACAGTACTAAAATCAGCTGATTTCAAAGTGATTGTTGAAGAATAAGATTTTTTTTGTTTGGTTTTGTTTTTGTCTGCTTCTGCGACATTTTTATATGTCATGAAGTAAATTGCAATAAAAAACAACGAAGATTAAACTGGTTTCATTTACGTTTGTATGTTTTAAAAGAAATAAAATTGCTCTGGTCATTTCCATAATATTCCCGGAAAACCCCTAAAGCTATTAAATTTGTAAAATATCTTTGATGGCTTCCTAGATTTTCCACAGTTGTAGATTGGTTTTCATGAAATTTCATTTCCTACAATAACAAAAGTTGAATTCTAAAAATAGTAAAATACCCGCAAGTCAACTCATGGGTTAAGTATTCGAATACTGTTTACATGAGAACATATTTTCCTCAAACTTTGATATTTTCCATTGCATAATGAGTAACCGAGGCGATGGAATGTTTACATGTGTCGTACTTTCAGTAACGTAGTGAAGAAGAAACTTCAACTACATCATCAACACACCGTTCATCGGAGTCAAACTCAAAGAAGAAAAAAGCAGAAAAAAAAACATTTAAAAGTCCCAATCGTAGCCTTCATGTGTGTATAACAAAGTTTGTATGTACGTTGGAGCATTCATTCTTTCTTTTTTTTTCGGGCTGGTTCGTTGAACCTCACTTGCGCGCCTGTGTCTATGAAAATTGAGCGTTCATATTGTTGTTGGAGCTCTGGTTTTTTTCATATATTTTCTTCTCTTTCTTTCTCTTGCGTATTAATACACCGATATTTTCAATGCTCATCATTCCCGTTTTTACTCAAAGTGTTGTGTTGTTGTTTTCCTGATTACATTGAAAATTAAATAAGAGAAGAAGTACAACAACAGAAGAGAAGAGATTTCCTAATGGAGACTTTTAAATAGATTCTATGGGAAAAAGCGAGAATTTACAAAGTTTTCTGGTAATGGTAATGAAAATTGTCGGTGGTAAATATCAGATGTCTCGAAAGAAAGAAACACGCTTCGCTCGAAAAACGATTTCATTATTGTCATCATCCATTAAACTTTAATTGTGTTAAATTGCTTTGAGAGGTATGAAGTTTAACTTTCTAAACATTTTCACTTTAAAATATTTATATTCGCAACCAAATTTAACATAATTTGAAACATCCGAAGTATCTGTTCATTTAGATGAGATCATTCAACTCTCTGTCTGGATTTTTGTTGACTTGAAGTATAAAATAAACCTTTAAAAATATTTGTTTTTTTATATCTCATAAATAGCTAGACTAAGAAAAAAGAAGAATCATTCCTGGCTCCAAAAAGCAAGCACACAATCAACATGAGAACGTTTTCGTGTCTATTTCGTTTCCTTCTCGTACGTGAGTTTACAGCTTATTTTCTTAATGGCTGCATTTCGGTCGATAGGTGAACAAAAAAATTCGCGGAAATTTTTATTGTGGTTTCTTTTCATGCCGATGTGGTTGAAACGAGCATGCGAAGTTTATATTTTTTTTTATCAAATTAAAATTTCATTGCCATTCGAGGGTGCAATGGTCTTATCAAGAAATATTATTAACTTCAACATGTTGTAGATATTTGTAAATGTAGATTAAATATTTTTTGTTTGACTCACTCAAGAGTTCAATGAAGTGGAAGATTTTGATTTGTGCTTTCGTCTTAAATATCATTCAACGAAATCATGTCAATCAAAATTTTTTTCTCTGTCAATGCTGTAATTGACCTCATGATCTCAATTCTCTCCCACATCAATTTATCTAAATCTACATCACCTCTAAAATGTAACAATATTAAATGCTTCCGAAATAAATTGGGTCAACTCCATCTGCATATATGTAGATTTATATTCAGGATCATCTGTTCAAACACATAAAAATATTGAGAAAAATCTTTTTAATGATGATAATGGGATGAGTGCCAAATATTTTCTTATTTTTTGGCAGAACTCTCTCATCTCAGCTGTGAATTGAATAAAACTTCATTAACTGTTGCGTAGGGGAAACCCTTAAATTTATTTTAGACTTGCACAGCAAGCGTCAAGATAAAAATAATTCGATGTAACTCATTACGTCAGGATTTCCGTTTAATTTTCCCACCAGCATCTTGCATAAGAAAGTCTATTTAAGACAAATACTTCTTATATTGTTAATCGTCCTTAGCTGTATTTCATTACGTTGTTTTCAAAGAACCTTTAAGATTAGAGAAACATGATGAAAATTTACATAACAAAGGAAACCATCAGAAGCTGCTACGTGTGCAAACTCTGCGAGTCTCAAGGGGTTGGAGATTTTTATTCTCACTTCCTTCTTCATTTCAATGAAACTTTATAAAAAAGCAACAGAACACATTTCATAAATAAAATAAAAGGCAATAAAAATGCAAACACATACACACACGAGTCTCTCCCTCCTTTCAAATCATCCCTCGACCAAATGCAAACTCTCGGCACCATGAATTTTCAATTTTCAATTTCGAAGACTGTGGGAAAGTTTTATTTTTGCTTTATTATTTTTATTTTTATTTAGCTTAGAGACTTGAGTTGTCGTCAACATAAACTGAAATTATTGAATTAAAAATTAAAAAAATGTCACATAGAATATCGCAAGACATGCTAATGCATGTTATTGCTGCTATGCACATAATTTTACAATTGTGTGGAAGAAACTTGAAAACCAGAAAAAAAACACCCTTGAAAAAAAAGAAATTTCTTTGATTATTTGATGATAACAGAAAACAAGCTGTTTGAATTCGCGATTTTGCGTGGTGTAGTTGGGATAAATGAAAAGAAAAAATTCTGGATATGTTAAATAGAAAACGAATGAAAGTCGATTTCTTTCCCTTAAAATACTAACTGATAATTGCTCGATTAGCAACGATTGAAATCAACATTGCATGGTTCATAAAAACGAGGAAAAATTAATGTTTTTTTTCTTTTTGATTTCCGGACACTTTGTCGCTCGTTTGCTTACTGCCAAAGCAATTATTCAATTTTTCATGACTTTTGTTTTCATTTTCATACCGATTCTTTTTCGAGTAGAAAGTGATGATTTTAACAGTAAAATATTCTTCTGTGTGTGCGTGACAATTGATAAAAGACTTGCGTAGAGAATCCTTGAATCGAAGAACAAAAAAAAATGAAAGAGGATAAAAGCGGGAACGAAAAGGAGCGACGATAGAAAACTTTACGGCATTTCGCTGTTTTATTTATCCCGTTTATCGATTATTTTCTTCTCGGTTCTCTCCTATCGTCCATCCACCCTCGATTCACTAAAAGAACGAAGTAAAATGGGATTAAAGGAAATGGGAAGGGGATGACAAACTAACTTGGTGTTAATGTGTTGGTGTGTGTAATCAAATGAAAGTGGATTCTTCACTGATGTCAATAAACGAGCCCACTTTAAGCTATGTTGCCAAACTTTAAAAGATTGAAGAGCTTTGCGCGCTCTTTCACGCGCATATGAACCACATGGAATGAATGATTGTAAAGAAAGAAAAAAACAATACGAAAAAGCGTATTTTATTTGAAAAAAATTGCAGGAATAAGAAGAAGTTACGTCTGTCGGAGTTCACCATGTGTCTGGGACGACGAATAAATTATTTATTGAGGGTGGAGAATGATTTTCATTTAATTCCCTAGACTTAATTTTTGTTGTTTTCAACGTCATCTGATTTTCTGTTGCGCTTTAAATCTCAATTGTACAATCAACAAATGAGTAGATTCAATTATTTATTAAATATTTTAAAATCTTCATGCTGGCTTTTATGTCCATTTCACATCATTTTTTGAATAATGTTTTAGGATTAATTCCAATCGTGGGGAAGTTCTATAAAGGAAATAAAAGCAATCGAGTGGCTCCGACAATTTGCATGCATAAAAAGAAAACTCAATGCAGATTAAATTATAAATTACGTTTTATAGGACAACGTTGCATGTCTTTCTAGTTTCTAACACCCTTGACACGCTTTTAAATTACTGATATTTTTTTTTTCACGTTTGAATTGAATCTTGTATTAATCTTAACGTCATCTTCGCACGTACTTATTTATAAATAAATAAATATCAAGGAAAGATCCGATAAAGACGTGCTGAAAGTATTGTATGTTTAATTAATATTTATTTGCTTGCTAACTTTACAATGTATTGTTTCCGTGCTGATTTTATTTTGTTCTTATGATCGAAAGAAGAAATACTCAAAGGAAGAAAAAGAGAAAAGTTTAAAAGATTATTTTGAGACAGGTCAGGTTTTTGCTGCTTTTCAATTGTTTTCAACCGAGAGAAGAACAAGAAGATGAGAAATTAAAAATAACTTCAAGAAGAAAAAATAAATTTGAATGTCTAAGAAATGTTTTAGAAGATTTTTCACAAAAACGAGGTCAATATTATGATGTAATGAATAAATTTAATATCCATTTAAGCACCTTTCACAATGAGATGTAAAAATTTAATTATCGCTAAATGCACCTTGTGAATCCAATTGAAAATGTCAATTAAATGGGATGATCTCTTGCAGGTGTTAAAACGCCTTTCCCTATCAAGAATGACACGATAAATTTAATTGAATTTTTGGTAAATGTGCGGAATCATAGCCTTAAGTGCTATTTACACACTTTTAATACTCTCCGAAGTTTAAGCTTTGGTAGTAAAGAAATTGTTCACCGGAAAACAAAAAATATGTAAATTCATGAGAAAAAGAACCTCTTTAAAAAGCGATTAAGAGGTTGTTACTTCTTCCAAGAAATTATTTTACTTCTCGGTCATAAAAACGCATAACTTAGTAATGCACCGAAGAGAAAAATTTCTTTCATTTTAAATATTTTTACGATCACATAATTCATGCAAAGAAGAGAAGTCATCAAGTTGTAAAGTCTTAAAAAGGGTCTTAAATGACTAACTGCAGTTACTTTAAGTTGTGAAAGATTGAAATTGTTTCATATCTCATTTGTGAGAAGATTTAAAAGCTAATTATAATGCAATGACGAGTCATTCAGTAAATCAAAAATGAACTTCAATTTCTATCATAGGAAAAATGATTTTCCATAACTAAATTTGTTGAATAACATTGAATCACATCAAGGAAATGAACTTTTAGCAAACGTTTTAAAATAAATAAATATGACATTTAATATACATGACACGACACCATTGCGATCGCGTTGAAAAATGCAGTAAATTGTTTTTCTTTTATTTGAATTAATTAAACAAGTGCAATTTTGGCATTAAAAGTAATTAAGAAGTAAATGTATGACCACGTCAATCAATTAAATCGACAAAACGATTTATCACGAAGGGGGGTTGTTGTAGTTTATTCAACGTTTAAGTCGCCAGTAAAACTAAAAGGGGTTAATTAAAGAATCATGCGAATTAACTGCAAGTTTAATATGAAGAGAGCAGTGCGTTTTAATGTTGTCCAATAGTAATCGTAAGAAGGCGATCTTAATCGTAATAAAGTTTATCGAAGGAAATAAAAAATTATTTTCGTGTTAACGTGCTAAGTTGATCACAAATTCATAAAACCTTCCTGACCTGCATGTAACTGTAGCTTGCTTTGGTGCAATTTTATTTCGCATATAATTTAATTATGGGTAGTTTGATCGTTTCAAGTGTGTTTGTTTTTAAAATCATATGCATTAAAGAAGAAAAAAAACGTAATGCGATCAACAGTTTATTGAATTGTATGTGCTGTTGACAGTCAACATCAGTGATCAACACTAACGATTTCTTTCATTGTAATAACCAGTTTTTTTAATGATACCACGATATATTAATAACTACCATCGGACATTGAAAAAAAGAAAAGAAGAAGAACAAGAGGAAGAAGCACCTGATAATTGACGATTCAAGTAAATCGAGTATTGAGTTCATGCACCTTACATTTCGATCTGAAAACTGCGACTATCGTAAGCAACCCTCGATCGTATTTTTCTACCCGAAGACATTTTTTCCTTAATTTGTATAATTTATGACCGGTGTGGGGGAATTGTCGATATGTATAAGAAAAATGTAAAGGTGAAAAGTGAAGAGTAGCAGTTGTGAATGTTTAGTTCAGAAAAGTTTTTCATTCCTAAGTAAATATAAGACATAAATATATGTTACACAAAAGCAGCATAAGTTTTCTTATTCGAGTCACTTAGAGACGACTGGCAGGTGGTGGATAAGGTCGTTGTTGAAAATAATTCTCAAATGTTAATCACGTAGAAAATTTGTAAGACGTTTGTTGTTCGATCCCTTCCATTCTACTTAAATGTTAAAAAATATAAAATACAAGAGAAAGAATGTTCCGATATAAACGAGAATTGAAAAGATGATCCCCAACAATAAGTGCATGAAAACTTGACAGATGTTTGGTAATCTTTGCTAGACGAAACAAAAGGAAAGAAGTCTTGAGATAAAGAAAGCAATAATCGTTAACAAAAATGTCATTTGCGTTTGATGTAACTTTACACACAATTTTTATTACAAAATTTCCGACAAATATCGCCGTTTGTTTATCATCTCACCGTCACAAGCATTGTGCTTTAAACCTAATTTCACTTTGATGTTTTGGCCCAAAAATGGAATTGAAAATATAACAAAGATTCAAGACGATTACTTACATCAAATATCCGCGTTCGTTTTTATTTTCAAACAACAAGATATGTCATCGGACGAAACAAGTTAAAAAAGATAAAAAAGAAACATTATTGCTGATGCTTCGACCATGGTCATGGCAGTCGACAATAAAAGATTAAATGATGTAAAGAAGAAAAGAAAAAAACTGTTATTCATGTCGCGAATGAGAGGAATCTTCAAAGATTCAAAAACTAAAAAGTGATCACGATTGTTTTTTATTCATCGGCAACTTGCTTTCTTCGTTGGTTGTAAGAAATGACATCGTGCGTCGTAGATTGAATAAAAAGAATTATGGAAAATAAGAAGAACATGTTTGTTGTGTAGGCTCATTCACCCGACCGTTAACCTTGTGCAATAGGCAGTGAAATGAGAACGTTTTCAATGATATAAATACAAATAAGTAAATAAGTCTTCTACCTATCACTGCACTGCACAGTTGATTCTTCTTTTTATTATGCAAAGTTGCTTTTTTTCTTGCCTTTATTTATTCAAATGCTTACTACAATTCTAGTTCTTCTTTTTCTCATCTTCACACTTCATAATTTAGTCACCCACCTTTTTTGTACCTCATTTCTGAGAAGGTCTCTTCATGAAAAGAATATTTTCGAAAAAATAAAAATTAAACGAAATACAAATTAACACATCACATCGTCTGTAAATAATTATTGTGAAGGTTACTCAATATTTACAATAATATAAGTTTTATTAACATGCTGTTTCTGTTTTGTAATTATTTTTAGGTCTGTCAAAGCCTTTCAGGAGCTACTCTATGTGAATCCCGACTTCCAACGAGCAAATGAAGTTCATGTTCGTCTCGGTTTTATGTTTAAAGTGATTGGAGATTATGAGAAATCTCTGAAACATTATAATTTAGCATTACTTGATCAAACGTCATCGTGTACTTTTACAACATTAGAAAGTAAGTCATTTAAACTTATTTATTTAACCATAATAAAACTGTAATTATTCTCATTTATTTTCAGTTAAATTTCATATTGCACATTTGTATGAAGTACAGAACAACTATAAGAAAGCAAAAGAAGGATATGAGCAGTTGCTTGGTGATAAACAGCTGACACAGCAACTGAAAGCGGATGTTTTTAGACAATTGGCATGGATGCTTCATTGCATTGATTCATTAGGTGAAAAACGGCAACGTGAAACTATAGCTATCAATTGTCTTCAAAAATCAAACGAATCAGATCCAAAATCAGGTCAATCACTTTACCTTCTTGGACGTTGTTTTGCTGGCGTAAATAAAGTTCATGACGCTTTTATAGCGTACAGAAATTCAGTTGAAAAGAGTGAAGGAAACGCAGACACATGGTGCTCTATAGGAGTACTTTATCAGCAACAAAATCAGCCTATGGATGCGCTTCAAGCGTACATATGTGCCGTACAATTAGATAAAAGTCATTCAGCTGCTTGGACAAATTTGGGAATTTTATATGAATCGTGTGGACAGCCACGTGACGCTTTTGCTTGCTATTTAAACGCAACAAAAGGTGATAACAACAACTCAAAAGAGATTCAAAACGTGTCAATTACTTCCTCATCGAGTAGTTTAAAAAATTGTGTTACGACGAGTGGAGGAAAGCCACAAAGTTTAACGCAGAGAATTAAATTCCTGCAACAACATCTGTCGCAGGCTCCTATGCCATCAATCACATCGAAACGTCGCCAGTTACCTTCAATAGAGGAGGCCTGGAATCTTCCGATATCGAATGAAATGAGCTCGCGACAACAGCAAAATCAGCAAAGACAGCAGCAATATCAGAAAGGGTTTGGTCAGGTATGTAACTATCGAGTCTATTGCCATAAAATATATGATATTCTCTCTGTTGCCATAAAACCATGTTCCGCATCTTTTCAATCTTCGCATCTTTCTTTCTTTTATAAATTTTCGTCTGGGCAGACATTATCGGAAATCTTAAATTAATTTAAAATGTAGTTAAATACATATAATAATTCCATTTAAAAGGTAAAATAATGTTATTGAATATATAAATATTGTTTTCCAAATGAATCATTCTCGTTTTAACGTGTAAAGTACAAGTTGCAATATCATATACCGGCAAAACTCGTGTCTCGACATGTGCTTTGAAATTTCTTATCATAATTTTTTTTCATAACCTTTTAGCAAGCTAATGTAGCTGCTCCACCACCCTACCCATTACAGGCGGGGAATAATGCTATACCAGCAAAGAGATTTAAGCCTGGTGAGGAACCGGTGCCCCAACAACGTCCACCGTTTTATCTCACTCAGCAGCAACTTCAGATGTTACATGTTCTTCAACAGACAAGAAATCTTACGCCACAACAGCAAAATGATTTGCAACAACTTACACATCACTGTAAGTTGATGCAGCAACATCAACAACAGCTTAGATTACAACAAGCACAATTAAGAGCTGGAACTGGACCTGTACGACCTGGACAACCTCAACAATTTCCTCAAGGACAAGGAAATTTCCCACCACAGCAACAACATCCAGGAAATAGAACTCCACAAGGTGGAACAACAGCTCAAACTGGCTTTGTGAACGATGGAAACTTTTCTCCAGCAACTGGGCATACTCAGCAGACAGCTGGCATGCCATTTAAATCTGCTGGTGGATTCCAACCACAACCAATCACAGCAGTTGGAAATAATCAAGATTTGAGTAAGTTTTGATGAAAAAAATTTTTAATATCCAACATTCGTTAGTGTTTGAACGTCTTAATGGTTCTATTCACTTCCATAATGCTGGAAGATGATGAATAAGTGAAACAAATAGAGGTTCTACTGTTTTAAAACTTACAATAGAGCTGTAGATATTTTCATACATTCAAATCTCAATTAAATATTTATAAATAGAAATTTGCTCTAATTTCAACATCTTAATTTAATTTTAGATGTTAGTGATCAAGAACTTCAAGCATTGTTATCTCAGCGCGATCTCACAACAACTTTCGCTGAGAATATTTTGAAGCAATTTGAAAATGAAGATCCAATTGATTCAAAGACGAAACTTCATGAATCATTAAATGTTGATGCAATGAACAACAATCAAAGAAGCTTAAAATCACCGACAATTAAATGTGAAGCTACATCAACTGTAGTAACACAAGCACTGCTTAATAAGCATGATATTAAGTCGGAACCGGTTGTGAAGATTGAGAAACTGATTGAGTACAACGATAAGATTCAATTTAATAATCGAATGTCAGCGAAAGAGATTTATGAGGCGGTGAAGTAAGTTGAAGGTTCTTTCTTTCATTCTTTTCTTGATATTAATCTCTTATTTCTTTTTTAATATTTTTAATTAAAGATCTGGTGATGTAACCGAATGTCCAGCAACGTGTTCGATTTTGGCACCTGATACACCACCACCCACTCCACCTGAGATTCCACCTCAGAAATTATTGCGTGAGCAACTTCAACCACCAACACCATCAGTATTTTTAGAGAATAAAAAGCACGCGTTTAGTCCACAATTACAAGAGTTTTGCTTAAAGCATCCAATTGCAGTTGTTAGACAAATGGCGTCAGCTTTAAAATTAGGTGAGTTATAAATTCGAACATATTTCATAATTACCAACATCATTCGGAAGTATAAATTGAAGAATATAAACTTTTTTTTGTAATCCACAATGTTGGGAGAGTAATGATTGCAGTTATGCTCTCTGAAGAACTTGATTTGTAGTTCATTTGGTGTTATCCTTTCTGTAACATTTCAATCTTTAAAAATGGAAATAATCTGACTTTTCTCTTTTGTATTTGTCTTCAGATTTAGGATTATTCTCTACCAAATCACTCGTTGAGACGAGCCCTGAGCAATCATGTGAAGTTCGAACACAATTAAATCAATCAGCTGATGAGAATTGGGATCCGCAACATAAAGAGAAGGTGTGGGGTTGTGTATCACATCGATCACATACAACCATTGCAAAATATGCTCAATATCAGGCGTCAAGTTTTCAGGAAAGTCTCAAGGTAAGCTTTAAATAATTGATGATGTGTTAAAAGTCTTCAAATGATGTTTTTAAATATTTAACTTTCGTTCTACTGAAAAAATCCTTGAAGAAAGCTTTTTATGTTATTTTCTGATAATCTTTAATATTAAACATTAATCGATAAATCATTTTAACAACAACGACAACTGATAATTTTTCTTTTTATGATTTATAGGAAGAACGTGACAAGAATTCAACGATTGCAATAATTCCCAACTCCGATTCAGATTCGAAAGACTCGTTTACGAATGGTTCGAATGGAAAGAAGACAAAGAAGCTGAAAAATGGAGCGAAAATGTTAAAGTGAGTTAAAATAAATGATGATGATTTGTAAGCAATTCTTAAACTTTCTTGTTATGGCACATAATGTCATGACACGGTCAACTGACTTGCAAGATGAAATTTATTGCTTAGTTTCGCTAACACCATTCGCGATTCAATTGTATGGAGTTTGATAGTAACTTTTGCAACAAACTTGTTCACAATGCAATCGTTTGTTTGAATCTTCTTCATTGGAAATTCATTAATGAATATTCTTCTTTGTATTTCTTTTTAAGGTTCGGCACAAATGTCGATCTATCTGATGAGAGAAAGTGGCGCGCACAGTTGAATGAGTTACAAAAGCTGCCACCATTTGCTCGTGTCGTTTCAGCATCAAATATGTTATCACATGTTGGTCATATGATATTGGGAATGAATACCGTACAACTTTATATGAAAGTGCCCAACAGTCGAACGCCGGGACATCAAGAGAATAATAATTTCTGTTCAATTAATATAAACATTGGACCGGGTGATTGTGAATGGTTTGCCACGCCTGACTCGTATTGGGGTGGAATTCAAGCGCTTTGTGAGAAGAATAACATAAATTATCTTCATGGAAGTTGGTGGCCGGGACTTGAGGACCTTTATGCAGCTAACATTCCAGTTTATCGATTTACTCAACGTCCTGGTGATCTTGTTTGGGTTAATGCTGGGTAAGTCTACCAAAACAATAAAATTCCTTATCTTCAAATGATGTTTTTGATTATAACTTTCGTTCTTCTGAATAAATCATTGACAGAAAACATATTAAATTAATCACTGATGAAAGAAATTTCTCAGTGTTTTAAAAATTTCTCTTTTATTTTTAATTTAATGCTTTTTTTTATTTTCTTAAAGATGTGTGCATTGGGTGCAAGCAATTGGATGGTGCAATAATATTGCATGGAACGTTGGGCCACTTACAGCACGTCAATATGAACTTGGCGTTACACGTTATGAGTGGAACAAATTAGAAAGCTACAAATCAATTGTCCCAATGGTCCATTTAAGTTGGAATCTAGCAAGAAACATCAAAGTATCTGATCCTAAATTGTTTGATTCAATCAAGTGAGTGTGTGGGAGTAAAATTATTTATTTCCTATATTAATGTTTTTTATCTTTTTTTAATAACAGGAATTGCATGCTACAAACTCTCAAACATTCAATACAAATTCTTGAGTATGTGAAAACAAAGAACATCGATGTGAGATTCCATGGTCGTGCTAAGAACGAAGCTTCGCACTATTGTGGACAATGCGAGGTAATTTCAATCAAAGATGATTATTTTTTAAATAAGGAAATTATAATTTATGGTTTTTTTTTCTTGTTTGTTTCATTCGATGATAGGTTGAAGTGTTTAACATTCTTTTCATTCGTGAACAAGAGAAACGTCATGTGGTTCATTGTATGGGATGTGCCAGGAAACAGTCGCCGTCACTTCAAGGCTTCGTATGTTTGGAAGAATATAAATTAACAGAGCTCATGCAAATTTACGATGCATTTGTACTTCATCGTCCAGCACCTCAACCGATGTTCATGCCTCCACCTCAAACACCTCAACCAATCATGCAACATCAGCAAGTTCCATCCGTTTCATAAATTATTTTACATACGAAAACAAAAACAAATAAAATTACATAAAATTAAAGCAGAAGAAGAAAAGAAAGGACCACGATGTAAGAATAAAAGAAAATGAAGAAAAAAAATGTGCAAAATGAAAAACGATTACCTCAGAATTTTTCTACCAACAAACGAAGAAAGAAAGATAAAAAAGAAATCTAACAAAAAATGAAATGCGGCAGGAAGTTAGAAACTAGAAAGCTTCACTGTAGAAATTCTTCAAGTAAATCCAATTCGACTGTGTTCATCCAACAAAAGCATGAAATTTCAAGGACTTTTAGTTTTCCGGCTTAATTTATAAAAAAAAGAACGACTTTATGTTATTTTTAACTTTTTCACATTTCCTGAAGCAAGATTATGAATTTCTTGCTCTCATCAAAAGTTAACAAGACTAAAGAAAGAAAAAATCATTTTTATCGTTTGCTAAATAAACCAAGAGAGAAAATTATTAAAAAAAATAGAATGTAAGTAAAAATCGTCATTTTTTCTACTTAAACACTGCATAAAAAAAAAGAAACTCGAAAACAAGAAAAAAGAACAGCCTTTAAATGAATTTTCCTTGTCGTGCCTCAAAACAAAAACTTATCAAAGAAACCTTAATGAAGATTGAAAAACGTTTTCATAAAACGTTGAGAGGTGAAAATTCAAGAAAAAAGATTTTCTATGCTTTCATTAAAATGTCGATGATAATGAAAAAGAGGTCACATTTAGATATTTTTACCGTGGGAATTTATTTTCTCGTTCATTTATTTGTTCTTTGACATACATATAAAAAAAAATTAGGCGCTGTGCGTCGATGACTGTCTGAATTAGAAGAACTTCAGTCATTTACAGAATGGCTCCGTCATATTATTGTGTTCGTTTATTCTTGTACATAAGATTACATTTAAAATAATATCATGTTGCATAAAGAAAAACAAGAAGAAGAAAACCACCGCTTTTGATAAGATGAGAAGAATCGTGAAGGGTTGAAGATTTGTAAATTTATCATGAATACGAATGGATCTCACACGAGGATGAAGTCACTTCTGTCGCTTAAAAGTGATTAGAAGTGAAATCTTTCATACCATTTTTTTATTTTAAATTTTATTTTATCTGTAGATGTCTTTAAAAGATAAATATAAATAATTGGCGTACACTTGAGATGAAGCTTCTTTCAATTAGATTAAAATTCAATCATAATAATAATAATAATGATGATAATTTATTATAAAATTTTGATGCTTCACTCAACATGAACACACGAGACTTAACAATTCCATCAATAAGTAAACAACATCAACTTTATTTCGTTTTTTTATTACGTAAAAGAGGAAGAAAAATAAAATTAATTCACAAAAGGTGCTCATTTAGTTTTTAATGGCAAATTATTCTGCCAATCTCCGTCTTGAAATAGTTTATTAATTGTGTAACTTTTTACGCTTTTCTTCTGACTTTGTATTGTTTTAAATTCATCGTGTAAATTTTTAAAAGGAAAGAAGAAAAAGGACGGAAAGGAACAAACAGAAAAAAACCAAATTTTCTTTAAGTTAAAAAACAAAACGAAAAAAAAAAACAATTAAAAGTTGAAAAAGGGAATGTTGAGGGCTTTGTTGATTAAAATTGTGTGCAAGTGAGCAATTTAAGAAAAGCTCGAAATTGTGTAGGATTTTGTTGTTTACGTCAAAAGCTCGATTAATTGTTCACGTAAGTGATGTTATACACTACGTTACGTACGTAAGGTTTTAGCATGAAAGCAGACGTAACATAAGAATCCTACATAATTAATGAAAATGAATGCTGTAGTTGTTCTAAGAATGTTTAACTCATAATCGGCTAAATAAAAAATATTGGAATAAACTTTCAATCAACTACGGACATATTCAAAATTTATTCTCTCTAATTAATTCGATTCTATAAAACAAAACAAAGAACCTTTATTGGATAAATAAATTCTTAGACGTTGAGAAAAATTGTAGGAAAAATTAAAAATGCAAAAACAAAACGATGAAAAACCAGTTATTCACTGCCAAGAAAATGAATGTAATAACAATAACAAAAAATCTTTCCGGACTCGGCTGGCCCTCGATTGGCTTCGATTGAGTGAAGGAGTTGTAATCGGTAAAGTAGAATGCATTGTAACTTAAGGAAAATTTCGGTGGAAAGCTCTATGGCGACCCCATTTCTTTGTAGATTTATCTCCCCAAAAAAAATTATGTTTTTTATGTAACCTGTAAAATATGATTGATTTGATTGTAATCAACGTTTTCTTATTAGTTAAAAGAAATTTTTTATTTTATGCTCTAAAAGCGTGTCGAGAACATGTTTTAGTGTTACAAATTTCATAAGTTAAGTTATAGTTTTAATTTGAATTTCTCTATCGATAAAATTTAAATAAGTGATAATTGAATAAGTCTCCTAGTTTCGATTTAGAATGTATTTTAGATTTCAATTTTGATTTGTGAATATTAGGTATTCTCGCGAACGACGTTTAATGTTTAAGTAAATAAAAATTCTATTATTGAAAAAAAAATTAAAAAAAAATTATGAACATACTTAATTAATCCCAAACTTCACTACATTTATTCGAAACCGTTTTGTGACGTAATTAAACACATTTAAAAGAAAAATAATTTCATGAATACAGATGAATGATGAAAATGATCAGCAATAAAATGCAAACAACAAAATATTTTGAAAAACCAAAAAAAAAAACTTATTTTATTATTCCTTTGTTCATTCTACTCCCAGGTAGATTTCTAGATGCTAAACACAAGAAAGAATTAAATCCCAACATGATAAAGCAAAGGTAGGTAATTAAGTTTAATTATTGTTTATAAACATCTGAGGTATTCATTTATTAACAGTGGTTGGTAAGACGTACTTGAAACCAAATTACGGTTGATTCATTTTAATCGAAGTTTTAAATATAAAAAGAACAAGGAAAGGAGGCTCCAGATTAATGAGAAATTTTCGTTACATTCCACAATTTAATTGAGTTCAATTCTTGTTAACTCTTGAAAAGTCACAAAGAAAATATATTAAGTAAAAGGTTAACATCATTAAATAATTTATTATCGTGATTAGTTTCACATATCAAGTTACGCTTTTTATTATTTCACTAAAAGCTGATTCATGAACAAAGCGCGACTAATTTCCAATCGATTCTAAATTAATTCGCAATCAAATTTCTAAATAACTCATAGAACATTCAAGCAATTCTAGTTGCAATCAACAAATCCAAACCTAACATATTGTAATCACAGCAATAGTTTCTTGTTTCGTTTTTGCCAAGGTTTCATCGAAATAAAGCATTTAAATTTAAAATAAATTCAATTGAATTCAATCAAAATGTTTAATTCCCGCATTCACAGAATGTAAATACTGTACGACGAGAATTAAATTGTTTTTTTTTTTTGTTTCTTATCGTTTGACGTCTTAGAAAAAAAATAAGGAAAAGATTAAAGATTCAGTTTCGAAGACAAAATAAACAACTGATGGAAAATTTTAGTTACAATATAAAATCAATTTAAAGAACAAAAACCATTTAACTTGTTTAATTTACTTATTTAACCATCTCAAGTCACGACAGAAGACGAACCATTTCATTTAAACGTTTTAACCAGCAATGACTTTAACTGTCGACCGAACCATACCAGCCACATTATTAACGACTTCGCCTGTCCTACTTATGATTCTATCAATTGATCTTCGGAACGGTCTATTTCCATTAGGAATAAAAAAGTTGTCGATGAGACTCGGTTGGAAATCAGGTTGTGGTTGTTGTTGTTCAATCTAAGATGAGAACAATTGAAGAGAAGAAGAAGAAGAATTATTGTGATTAATTTGAGTATTTAATTACGTCATAAATAATTTCTTACTGGGCGTCTTTGAATAGCCGGTAAAAATGGAATTCGTAGTCGTGGTGTTGGTGGTGGTGTAAAGATCTTCGTTGTTCTCCTAAATGGAGGCTCTGTTATGACAGAAGTTCGCACTGTTACTGGTGGTGGAACTCGAATTGGTGTTACAGAAGCCTTCGGTGGTGGTCTGACAGTTTCTTTAGTATTAGCATTCGTTGGTTGATTAAATGACGGTTCAGTGATGACAGAGGTTGTTGGTGATACTCGGAATGACGTTTCAGATGCTTTTGTTGATGGTTTGAAGGTTTCTTTATTTGCGACATTTGTTGGTTGATTAAATGAAGGTTCAGAAGCCGACGATGGCCTCACAGAAACTGGTAAAATTCTGTAAGAAATTGATGACGATGTTGATGGAGTTTCCGAAGTTGTCGATGTAGTTGTCGTCGTCGTTGCCTTAGGGCATCTAAAATCTCTACTGCCAGGATAACAATCAGGTGGACATCTTTGATCAATTGATCGAGGCTGACAAATAAAACCTGAAGATTCTTCTTTGATTGTTCTGATGGACGATGGAGCTTCAGCTTTTGGTAATTCAACAAGAATTGATGGACTTTCAAGCTTCACCGTTGTTGCTGGAGATCTTTGAATGAATGTTGGTTGCGTAATAGGAACAACTGAAGGTCTTTCAGTTGTAGTTGTTGGTGGCAAAGTTCTAAGCGTAGTTGTTGTTGTTGATCTTGGACATCTTTCATCGTATGGATTGGTCACACAATTTGGTGGGCATCGTGGGTCTGTTGATCCTTCTGTACAAATGAATCTTGTTGTTGTTTCGATTCTTCTAGTTGTAGTTGTTGGTTGAGTTGTTGTGGGACGTGGGCATCTGGGATCAAACGGATTTACAAAACAATTTGGTGGACATCTTGAATCAGTTGATCCATCAAAGCAAACAAATCGTGAAGTTGTTTCAATACGTCTTGGAGTTGTTGTTGGTCGAGGACATCTCAAATCATTGGGATTAATGAAACAATTTGGTGGACATCGTGGGTCTGTTGATCCATCAATGCAAATGAATCTTGTCGTTGTTTCGATTCTTCTTGGATTTGTTTGAGCAGCTAAAGACGCTGTTGGTATTGGATTACCTCTAAATTGAGGTTGAGTTGTTGTTCTGACACTTGTTCTCAATGTTCTAAATGTAGATCGTGGTGTGGGTCGTGACGTTATTCTTGCTGTTTGTGTTGTGATCCAAGTTGATGGAATTCTCGTTGTTCGAGAGTCTAATGAGGTTTATGTACAATCAAACATTATCGTGATTAGAAATGATAATAAAAATGTACATGGAAATGCTTACTGTCAATTGTATCAGATGGTCGTGGCTTCACAGCATTTTGTTCATCAAACCAGTTCTCAAAATTTTTTGTATATTCGCCTGTTGGGTCATAGCGTGCAGCCAAAGCCGTGTACAAACGTGGATGTTGATAATAAAGTCTTGTAATGACGTCAAGTGCTTTCGTTTTCTGAATTTTCGTACACTGACCACAACGTGTTCGTAATGCATCAGGCAACACTCCTAACACAAAAATATTTTAATTAACAAAAAAAAAAGGATTCAACAAGTCTTAGACTCAAATGACCGTGAAAGTGACACTAAAAATAAATCTGCAAAAGTTGTCGTCAGCTTTGACATTTAATGTATAATTGAACGTGTTGAATTGTCTTCTTTTTCATGACATGTATCTTGTTGCTATATTTAAATTATTTACTTAATGATTGCGTACATCAAAACTTCCTATTTCCACATCAATACTTTCAAACATGAAATTATGAAATCTTCTTCAATAAAGTTAATTTGTTATATAATTTTGTTGACCATTAGAGATTCTTTAGAAGTCGAAAAAAGTACTTTGATCTAAACAAAACTGTTTTGTTATTTGCGCAAGTTAATTCTTCTTTTCAGTGTGCAGCACACGATTTTCAATCTTTGTTTGTTGCTTTACATAGAATTCTTCTTTCGACCTTGATCAGATGAATTCTGAGGCGAACCAGTAAATAAACAAGCAAGTATTAAACTTACTTGGATTGTTATCAATCGATGTTTACCCTCAAAATGTTTTGTTTCATCTTACAATGTTTTATGTTTCAATTAAATTTTTATTATGGTAATAAATTTGCATGAATACCTTCTCAACAAAGACGTTTTATATACGCACGATTAATCGCGTGCATTTTGCAACTTACTCTTCAAATCTTTTCCTTCAGGCGGACATGGTTTCCTGTCAAGCAAGCAGTCAACGTAATTGTTCAGTAATCTCGACTTAAAAAGCGCATCGACATCAAGTGAATCGTAGCGACTGCTGTAATATTCTTCTTGACCGTTTGTTGCCGGTATAAAGTTCAACAAAACTATGCTTAAGCAAATAACATAAGACAGAACTTTCATGTTTATTTTTCTTCTTCTTTTTTAATTTTAATTAAATGTTTAAGAAATCATAACTTAAAGTTCATCGAACTATGATCAAGAGTGCTGATTGTGTAACTTCACTTTCGTCAGCTTATATTTCAAAAACAGTTTTCGATTGACATTCACTATAGTCAATAATCATCACCAAAAAAGCCAAAGTAAACTTCTTCAATGTTATTACAAAACTTCTCACTTCACAATTCAATTTTTATTCCTCCAACACTGATTTTAATTTATTTATTGCAATATTCAACTAGCATCGACCACATAAAGTTGTAAACTAAGAAGCAAAATAAATTACGAGCGTTTGAAAAGTTATTTTGACACGACAGATATTTAGGTAAACAGCTAGTTGTAGATGTCGATACGAAACCGAAACGTTTGTGTTGAATCAAACCGAAACGTGAAGTGTTAAAGTGACTGGAAAAGAAAAGAGAGAAGAAAATCACTGAGAGAGTTGTTAGTATGGAAAGATAGTTCGGCCTAGACTTGTGTACATGTATAAATATTGAATAATAAATTCTCTACATCAACAGTAATAAAATCCATTGAATTCAATATTTATTCATTGCATTTTGCAATTGATGATGTTCTTTCAATCAAAATCTTTTCATCTCGACCCGTCTCAGCTACCAATTTGGTCGTTAAATTACTCACCGCACATGTCCTAGAGCATCAATGATTCATAAGAAACAAAATTTATGGACTTGTCTTTGTTGAATCTTCTGACTCAATGTTTTTATTTTAATTTGGCCATATAAAAAGAAATTTGTATACGAGCTCGCAAAATGCAAGTGATAAAGCATTTAAGAAACAAGACCATGAAAGAAGCAAAGCAAAAAAGTGCAAGTGGGATCGTCGCCTTGGATATCAAGATACGTGTTTAAAATCGTTTTCAATAACTTTTTTTTACGAAAACAAAACTCAAAAAAAACTTTAAGTTCACTTGCAGATTCACATTCAAACTTTCCGCCTGTCAAAGCTTGTATCGGGTTGATTATTATCATGAGAATATTTATGGGATTTAACTTGGTAAGGCAGATCAATTCATCGTGAATTAAAAATAAATTGTTGTTATTTATGTGTGTACATTTTTGCTCGTTTCAAGCTTTTATTTATTCCAATGACGTCACAATACAAAACATTGGAGGACAATAATGAAGAGAATTCTCAGATGATGATGATGATGATGATGCTGATGATCATGATTCATGATGATTGTTATTGCAACACCATCAACTTCTTTTCTTTGCCTTTTTTCCGCTTATTTTGCCTACAGCAAGATCCATAGCACTTCTTTTCAAGGTCATACAGAAAGAAGATTTCATCACAAGTTGAATGCATTATTTTACGAGTTTAATTGCAAAGATTGAGATAAGTGGAGCATGGTTGCAAACAAGAGTAATGTTTAAAATGTGTGGGATTTTGTACGATTCAATGGGTTAATTAAACTAATTTTTAAACGATAGTTTACTTTTTATTATTTTATTAAGAGATTATTCAAAGCACAAATATATGAAACAGTTTGAAATTTTTATGTTTAAAAATTCTTTTTGAAATTCATCATAAAAATGCAACTTAGAATGTTTAGAAATTGTAGAATACTTGAAATTATATGAAACTTGTCGTTTTATCCATTAAAACATTTAATTTCGTTTAAATGTTTCAAGGTTTATAAAAACGTTTTTAAATTCTTTAAAATGTTTGAGAAGAAAAGAAATATTTAAGTAAATTTGTATGAGGCTGAGAGATTCTTATATTATATTACATTAAACTTATGCGTTATCCCATTCATCATCAGATTCATATTTTTGAACGGTTTTGGTTTTAACTTCAACATTCTCATTACTCAAATTCCAGCCGTCATCAGATGGCGGAATTGGAGATTTCTTTTTCGTATCATTTTTATCTTTAGTGGAAGGCAAATTCCATTCATCATTTTCATTTGGATTACGTTCTAACGTAACGAAAGCCTTTTTTGGAGCTGGATTATCGTCCCAATCATCTTCATAACTTACTATCGGACGTTTAGCATTGACTGAGTTATTATTTGTAAGGGAATTAGAAACTTTAGCCTCAATTTCATCCCAGCCATCATCATCATTCGGTGGAGGTGGAGGTGGAGTGTGACTTTCTTTCTTATCATCCCAACCATCATCGTCATTCGGTGGAGGTGGCGTGTGACTTTCTTTGTCACCATCCCAATCATCATCATTTCGTGTCTTATTAGATTTTTTCAAAGCTTCATAATTTGATTTCTTAGGAGGTGCATCCCAATCATCACAATCATCATTATTGTTGTTTTTATCTATAAAGCGTTTAGTATTTTCACTTTTCTTTGGTGATTTTTCTTTCTCATCATCTGACCAACCACTTGAAATAACTTTAGTTACAGCATTTCTTGAGTTACCATAATTTCTATCGCGATTATTGTTATAGTTTCCACGATATCCTCCTCGGCCACCGCGTGAATTTCGATTATAATGAGATGATGAAGATGAAGCACCATCAGCATCACCCGATTTTGGTTCTTTACAGCGGAAACATTCTGTACGGAATCGGAAATTGTTAACAGAACATTTGGAGCAATCCCAGTCACCTTCTTGTGGTTCACGTTTTCCTGATGGTCGTGATGATTGACGATTGTTAAAGCTTCGATCACTTCCTGAGCTACGTGAACCCTCACGACTATTATGGCCATTAAAGCTTCGTTCTTTATCAGGACGACGAGAATTATTTGGATTATAATTTGAAACTGGTTTTGAAGTCTCTTCGTCTGACCAATCATCGGATTTCAATTTCTTTGAATTAACTGATGATTTTTCACCATCCGACCAATCACCGACATTTTTTGTAGCTTGAGTGGAATTAGGTTTAGTGGTGATAAATTCATCCCAATTAACATCATCAACTGCTTTTTTGGTGTTTATATTATTATTATTATTTGAAACATCTTCATCAACATCCCAATCGTCACCATTCACTTGAGATTTTGCAGGCTTAGATTGAATTGTTGAATTTTCTTCATCATCACTCCATCCACTACTGGTTTTTGATGGAGCTTTATGTTCTTGCTTTCGTCTGGGATCAGAATTTCCTTGAAAACTTGCACTTTGATCGTAGTTTCCTTCTTTAGAGCGTCTGTGATCGCCATAAGTGATATTTGCTTTCGTTATTTTAGGTTTTTTATAACTACCAATCTCTGGCATTTCAAATGAACCATCAAATGGAGGCAACGATGATAAATCATATCCTAAAGACAAAGGATTCTTATTCTGAGCACCACCACCAGCTTCCATAAGACGACGCTTATATTCAAGAAAATTGAAATATTGTATAGAATGATATTGTTGAGTTATGATGTCGAGCTCTGTTTTGGTTTCATTTTCTTTTCTCATTGACTGTCCAGTGTTCCATGTATCCATAGACCTAAATGGCGCAAACAAGAAAAAATGTTTACTTATTTACATGCACCATTAATACAAGAAGAAAACAATAGCATACTGCACTCGATATGTATTAATTTCAGGTTCTTTTTGCTTTTTATTGTAATTGTAAGACATCGTGATCAGATTTCTTTTGATGTAAGCAACTAATAAAAATCTTTTTGCAAGAGTTAGGTATTTAAAAAGAAATCAAATTTATTTAACTCTCAATTCAACTATTTTTTTAGGAATTAAAGGAAGTTCGAATAATTCGTAACAGTAGCACTTGTTGAATAATTTTAGTTTCTTCTTATAACTTTAATCTTTCTTTTTTATCGTAGAAAAGAAGAAATTTAAGAAACAATTAAAAATTGCGCATTTTTGAACTTTTATTTTATTGAACTTTAAAAGTGCTAAAAGTAAATTTTATGCAAATTTTTTAAATTTGATTTAAATACGTTGATTCTCAACGTTGAAAAAATGTATATTTATTTAAGATATTCTTCTGCTCTTTCATAGCAGCTTCTATTCACTGTGCAAACTTGACACGGACTAGTATCATAATTCTTAAAACACTTTCTGTTTGTCGTAAATTATTCCCAACAAATTTTCGTAACATTTGTTTTTGCAACATGTTTAGGTAGAAATTTCATTTCGGACAATTTTTCTCTTATGAGAGCAACAGAATCAGCAAAACATGATCATAGCTATGGAAAGAATCTTATTTTACATATATCTGATGAGCTTCAAACAGAAATATAAACATTTATCACTTTCTTAAGAAAACCATAAAAAATCATATTGGAAGCATCTACATAAACTGAAACGATATTTGAGTAAATAACATCAAGTCATAATATTTATTTGTATATTCTGTGTTGTGTTTCTCAATGCCATGAATTGCATCTCTTATTGTATGTAGATTCTATTATGTAAATTCTTTTTATACCTGAAATGTTATGTAAACATTAATGAAAATCATTCAGATTTCTTCTATTTTGTTGAATGATGCGGATCTAAATGTATTGAAGAAGAACTAATTTCAAACATTTTTATCAGTAAACACAATTTATCAGCATTTTTTTATTGTTATCATTAGATTCAGTTTAGATATGTTCGAACTTATAGAATCAAAAAATTTATTTTTCAGTTTTCTTTGAAATGTATTCAAGATACCCGATAATTTGTTTTATATTTTTGGGCTTGTTGCTTGTTGTTTCAGGGTTACCGCGAAATCTTGAAACTCTTTCAAATCTGCACAAAACTAATGATGCTAGAAACTTCATTGTTGGAGGTCGTAAAGTAAAGCACAAAAGAAGTGATCGAATGTCACTTGATTTATTGAGAAGTATTAAAAGCTCATTTGATAGTAAGTTAAACTTTTTAGGCAGCTGAAGGCCAATTTCCGTACCTTGTTTCGTTGAGAACGCCATGGGGTGCTCATTTCTGTGGTGGTGCTATCATAAACGACAGATGGATTTTATCAGCAGCACATTGTACATTTTTCTTTGACATCCCCGAGATCATTGCAGGGTCGGTCAGATCTGACGCAGGTGGTGAACGTTATGCAATTAAACGCATTGTTAATCATGAGAATTTTGATTTCAATCGCGATCCATTCACTGACGAGTAAAAATTGCATTTCATAATTTCCTATTATTTAATCATTGCATCAATTTAATTTTAGTATTTGTTTGCTTCAAACAAATCAAACAATTCAATTCAATGATTTAATCCAATCAATTCCATTAAGTCGTAATCGGATTTTTCGAAGTTCACGAGGTGTTATTGCCGGATGGGGATGGAACGAAGGTGGACTTCATTTAGATCCAGAAAACTTTTTCCCAGTCGTTTCAGAAGATTTAAATTACATCGAAGTCAGTGTTTTATCACATATTGAATGTACTTCGCGACTTTGGTTGTTTGCAATGTATTTACAAGTAAATCATGTTTGTACGTTTGCTGGTAGAGGTGCTGGAGTTTGCACTTTTGATTCTGGAAGCCCTGTTGTTGTTGATGGAGAGGTTGTTGGAATAGCAGCTATTGTGCTTCCATGTGCTACAGGTATTCCAGATTGGGGGCCTCGCGTCAGTTCTTATACAAGATGGATTGATGCAAATTTAAGAAATTTTTCATAAAAGCAAAATAATTTACGTCAAATAAAATTTAAAATATTGTCTGAAAAGCGAAGAAACTCATCATGTTAATTGAATTCTTTATGCATCTTTACCATATTTCTTAATGGACAGATGAGACAACTAATTTATTATTATTTTTCCTTTAAAATTCATCTTCTAAAAATTATTCGCGAAATGAGTAGAGCGAAACAAATTTTTCATTTATTTATTCTTGTTATTAACATACAAGGAATTTCTTGATTGACCAATTTTTCATAGATCGGAAATTCTCTCACAATTCAAAAGATTAATGAATTGAACAGATTTTTAAATTTATTTTGATAAATATTCGAAAAACATTCACATCAGTTGTGAAGATCGGATAAATTAAACATGAAGTTATGTATGAGATGCTAAAACATTCACGTCATTGAATTTGTTGTAAATTTTATTGTTGTCCATTCACAAACTTGCCCAAACATTAACTTTCAGCTGCCTAGTTAGGTGTTATAAAAGGAATAAAAATAATCATGTCATAAATGTTAATTGAGAAGAACAAGCATTTATTTTAATCTTCGTCGTAAAAGCCAACAAATTTATAATTTGTAGGAATCAAAATAAAAAATAAAAGCATCGCGTTCAAATTTTGATGAATGCATTATTGTTATGAGTTTGAGACAAGTTTAGATGAAATGAGACACAACCTTGATTCATTGAAAAAAGTCTTCACAAATTATCTATAACAACAAACGAGTAGAAACAGTTTTAAGTTTTTTATTTATAAACACGAGTTTTTCGAACCGAATTAAATAGCGAAAAAGAAGAAGAAACAACTCACCTGGAGTAAATTATGCAAAAAAGTTTAAAAATATCGTGATAACTTGATACGAACAGCTCTTGAAATACATTTTTAATAAAATGTCACTAAGCAACATTTAGATATTCAACAACAAAATTAATGTTTGTCTGAAACTTCAAACATATCCTGATAATCAATCCTCGAATTTATTCTTAAAATGCATTTGTTTGTAAGTCATTACATCCTCGAGATTCATCTGCGTAGGCACCTTGAAATATTCCAGAATTGGATCGTAAATGTCAATGGCACCACATTAGATGGCCGACCTCAAATTTTATTATCGTCCAAAAACACGCAGAAGAATCTTGCAGAATTCCAACGAGATTGTGGTTAAGGAGAGTCATAAATATTAGTCAAAAACAGATTATTGTGTAGGTCAGTTCCGTTCGCTTCACTCTCCATTTAAAAAAAAGAAATATCGCTTCGTTACAAAGAAAGAAAAATTTATTCAAAAATGAAACTAAGACTCTGCAAATTGTTTTGCGATCAACAGTTAAATACATATTTCCACTCCACTCATATTTTAACTTGTTGATGGAATTAATTGAGGTTTTGTACACATGCACCACTTTGGCTTTTCTTTTCTTTTTCATCCACTTCTTATAAGAGAAGCATGATATTGAGAGTCTCGACTTCTCTCTGTCGCTTTCATTCCAACAGTACATAAATCTTGATGTTTATTTAATACAAATAAGTAGATATGTATATCTGAACAACAACAACAACATCAAACGCAGTAATAAATTGACACAGAAGTCTCTGCTATGTTCATTCGCTCGCGAGTGATTTAATTTTTCAGTTTGCAACGTGATTCCATCGACAACAGTTGAATATGTAAAGAAACTCAAACATTTTTTTTGGCGAGTTCGAAACGAATAAAAAAAATTTGTGTACATTAGGAAGTTAAGAAAATATTTTTGTAAAAATATCTTTTCTATTTTTTAATTCAGATAATTGCAAATCAATTTTGAAGTGATTTGAAAATTCAAAACAGAAGGAAAAAGAAATCAATTTTAATCTAGATTTCAAAAGAAACAAGCAAAAAAAACTTAAGAATTTATGAAATCAAGAAAACAAAATTTGTTTAGTGATATGTAACAGGTTGTGATAGTTTATTAATTAATTCTGAAAGCGATATATCTATTTGGCCAACTTATTGTTAAAATGAAAGTTTCTCTTGCTATACTAAGCTTGTGTACAATCTCATTACACTTGACACCCTCAACGGTGGCTCAGAGTGCTGAGAAAAATTATTATAGTCGACGATATGATTCACTCGATGTTAATTTAATCTTCAGAAGTTCAAGATTATTAAACAATTATGTTGACTGCTTATTGGATAAGAAACCATGCCCACCAGAAGGCAAAGATTTAAAACGTAAGTGTTACGCTTGACATGCGGGATGTTTCATAAGTCGTCGTCAATCGTAAAAGCAACCAAATTCATCGGAAGTTTCTTCGAACGATGAAAATTTAAATTCATTTAAATTTCAATTTCTAGATATTAAATATGTTTTTGAGTCGCAATAAAAATTCCTCGAGCTTTTGCGAGAAAATTTCTTATGCAAATAATTATTTATTTTTTCTTTCAAGTCCAAAAGTATTTAGGCCAATGAACATATAAAAGTTATCTTTGTCAGTTTAATATAATCCACAATTCGTTGGGGATGGAAGAAGTGTTGATTAAAGGCCATTGCTGATGAATCTTGTATGGAAAAATATTTTTCTTTGCTATTCAATTGTTTGACGCTTTTGTCTGCAGTGTTTTAATACCAATCAAGGTTGGTTTAACTTCGTTTAACTTAACCACAGTTATAATCTTCAATTGTCCAAGCTTCTTTTTAAATATTCTTATTCAGAATGTCTAACAAAAGATATCATTAATTACTTCTGTCTAACTTTTTACAAGGCTTTTATTTTTCATTTAATAATTTTCTAGCTGGTAATAGAATAAAATAATATTTCCACTTAATTATTCAATTGGAATTCTCATAAAGTTACTGGAATTAAATATGTTGATATAGGCACTTGTTAAATCTCATGTTTTGTTCAACCAACTGTCATTTCATTATCATTATTAATATTAATTGTTGAATCGTGATTCTATTACGTTCTAGCGTTGAAGTCTTTTATTTGTTGAATCAATTCTGATGACAACAAACTTTCAAAATTTGTCATCGCATGAACTTCCATTTTCAATTGAAATGAATGTGGAACAATGAACTGGCGCGTGGATTTTTATTATCTATTCATATGAGTTCTGTTGCGGTTTCATAAGTTAAAAAGAGAAACAATTTGGTAATCTTTTACACATGAAATGACATCAATGTCACCTTCATGACATGAACCCTAACAATTCTTAAGCTCATGATTAGATTTGTCTTTTTTATATTTTAATCTCATAACATTTTTCTTAAAGGGGTCTTGCCTGATGCTCTACGAACAAGGTGTGCCCAATGTACAAAGCTTCAAAAAGGAAAAGCCTTGGATGTTATCACGAGACTTTATTATCAATATCCATCAATTTATACAGCTTTAGCTGAAAGGTATGATCCAACCGGTGAATATACAAAAAATTTCGAAAACTGGTTTGATGAACAAAACGCTGTGAAACCGCGACCACCAATTCCACAAGATCAATCACAATTTGATGGTAAGTAGGAATTTGAAAGAACATTCGTTTATAAAAAAATACTCTAATCAACAGTACCTGACAATGTTCAATTAGGTCAAGCACCGGGAATTGAGAATGTTAAAAGAGACGATATATCAACTCAACAAGCTGTTAGAAGAAGTCCAAACATTGGAAACTCAAATGTTCGACCGAATCCAAATGAAATTCCAACGAAACGAACCAGAATTCCTTCAACATGGATTACAAGTAGTACAACAACCACACGAAGACCTACAACAACTAGAGCTCCACTGAGAACATCTTCACCGGTCAACAGACCCATCACCGTTCGATCTCCATCTGTTACAAGCAGACCTGTAAGTTTTCTAAGTAGAAATTAATACAACTTCAAACACTACATCAAAATCATTGACATTTCACATTGAAACCTTCCTACATTAATAAACAAATGTCTATACAAATCGTTTTTTTTCTCTTTTAATTTTTAAAGCCACAACAATCACCGCAGACAAATTTCTTGTTTGAGAATATTTTTGCACCACGTCCCGAAGGACCAATCACGAAATCCATCAACAGATTTCTTGACACCACTGGGAAAGTCGTTAATGATTTTGCTGGAATGTTTCGAACGACATTTCAAATCATTACAGGAACCGGATAATTGACATCTTATAACTCTATTATATTTATGTATATAATATTTATGTAGTGACTTCAATTGTAATGATTCATCAGAGTTGATTAAATATGTAAGTCATGTTGGTGATTTTTAAAGAATGACGTCAAAAATGTCGGAAATGAAGGTGCCTTTTTTATCCAATGATTTGCATATTTGATATCTTTTTGTTAAAACTTTATGAAATGAACACTGACATCATTTATGAACACATGACAAGCAGAATTTTTTTCTCTTATTAAATATTGTCATGTCTATTTTAAATAATTTATTCCATGACTTGATCCAGAGATATTATTAAGTATGTATTACTTATCTAGAATTTTTTCGTTGTTGCCTTAAGCTGTATTTATTTTCTCTTCTTCTTTTTTTTTAATGCTTCAATGTATAAAATTAATGATTTTTATTGATTACTTTAATGTAACTCTAATTTCAGCAGCAGCTAAATCTAACGCCGAAATGGGTTAATCTTAACTCAAAAGTTAATCTTTAGTTAATCTAACTCTTTCTTTTCTTCAATTGCCTATATCGACTTAATTTACTAATTAGAATCTTCATGAAGTCACAACAAATCTAAGATGAAAGTTTTCCTTATTAAAATTATATCAACACCTAGAAATTAAAAAGTCATTATTTATAAATTTGAGTTATAAACTCTTTTTTTATTTCTTTTTCACAATAAATCAATTTTTTTTACTCGTAAAATTATTAAACAAATTTAAATCAGATATATTGAAGCTGGATATATGTGTATTCGTAATGCAGAATAATAAAGATTATATTTCCACTTTATGATTCTAACAAGATTCATTTTTTATATTCAATCCTTTCAACTTTCACCTCTTGTGTCGCCAGGTCAAGTTGGTACACATAAGTTACGACAGTTGAGCTTTGAATGTCCATGAGAACAAATGATGGAATGATATTTGTATCTAAAGCACTAAATGCACCAGTCGCTGATCCAGGATTTATGTAGAATTTGTTCTCATGTTCGTAGGCTTCAAATTTGTGAGTGTGGCCACTGATAAGAATGTCAACGTCGAGTTGTCGCTGAATCAAAGCTAATGCATCGGGACTTCCCCAAGGAACAATCTGATGACCATGACAAAGACCAATCCTGAATTGTCCAACAGTCACTACTTTTTGTTCTGGGTAGCTTAAATTCTAAAACACAATTTCATAAAGTTTCCGCAAACACAAACTAAAAATTATTTACATCATCAAAATCTCCACGGACGACGTGAACGTCACTTGCTAGACTTTTTAAATAATCAAAGGATTCTTTTGTACACAGATTTCCAGTCACTAGAATATGATGAATTCTCCCAGGAACTAGAAGTTTCTTAAATTTACTTGGAATTGATTGTGATCTGATGAAGAGAAAAAAAGTTGTTTTGAAAATTTCTAACAATTTTTGTAAATTCTTGCCTGAACGGGATATGCAAATCTCCTAATACCAAGACCAACTGAAACGAAGTTTTATGTTACACATTGCAATAGTATTTGAAATGATATATTTCGTATTTACCATGATTTTTTAAAATAATAATTTGATAACAAATAATTCTGACGATTTGCGGGGAAAGGCGATTGAATTGAAATTTTGAACAAAATAAGTTCAAAATGTTTCTGAACTTTAAGATCAAAAGTTTGTTGAAAACCCTTACAATAGATGGCAGTAGTGTCCTATGAGTTTCGAATCAAGAAATTTTTGATGATTTTAGAGATTTATTATGTAAGCTAGTTTTTCAATATACATAAAATTAAACCACTTCTCATTATTGAATTAGAAAGTATATAAATATTTTAACAGAACTACAAATGTTATTAAAATGATTGAAATTGACAAACGATTAGCAGTTGATGTCCTTGTCAATTCTTGATATGGACCAATTTTAGATGCATAAGCAAGAAGAATTGGAATATTATTTTGTTCATAATTTCCTGCAAATAAATGTGACCACGGGCCTGAGGAATATATGCCAACATCTTCTCCAGTGTGAGTTGAACTAGACCTTGGAACATTTGAAGATGCTTGTCGTTGTGGATTCTTCATATCAATAGTTGTTAAATCAATTCGAGATACTGAATCACTCAAGACTGTTTGATAACCTGGGCCGTTGCCATAAGTCAGAGTTTCATAAGGTAAAAAGTCAACGTCACTTATGCCTGCAATCCCTAATATATCTTTACCTCTTTGCGGGTAACCATTATAAGCCATTGGATGACTGTGATCAGAGGTCACAACGATCAATGTATCTTCTTCATTGGTCATATGACGTGCAATATCGATTGCTTTTGAAAATTCAGCTGTTTCTCCTAAAGCTAAGTGTGGTTTGTTGTCATGATGTGCGTGATCAATTCTTCCACCTTCAACAAGCAACAAAAAACCTTCCTTATGCTTTTGTAACATGCTTATTGCTTTGGCAGTCATGTCAGACAGTGATGGCTCTTGATACTGAAGACCATTGTTGTCAACATCTATCTGATACCTGCAATGAGTATCTTCAAAAAGACCAAGCAAGTAATCCGTGTTGTCACTATCGACTTCATTCAACTCTTGTCTATGTCCAACATATTTCGCTTTACCATTTTTATTCCTTTCCTCCAACCATTCGTCAATTAAATTCCTTGCATCACTTCTCAGCCCTGGTCTTCCTTCTTCATCAACAGTTGTTGTGTTAATAAAACTTCGTCTTCCGCATCCCAAAATTACTTTTACATTCTTGCCAACTTCATCGTGAATTAATTGATGAGCGATATCAGTAACGTTTTCGTATTCACGACATGCAGATGTAATTGCAGCATTATGCTCCCAATCACGATGCGGTACATGACTGTAAGCTGCAGCTGGTGTTGCATGAGTTACTCGTGTAGATGTTACAATTCCAGTTGCCATATTTGATTTTTGTGCCCAATTGAAGATTGAATCGACATGATCTTCCTTATAAATCAAACATTGTCTAGTAACAACATTTGCATTCACTCCAATTGAATTGTAGTTTGTTTTAACACCAGAGAGAAAGGCAGTTGCAGTGCAAGCTGAATCACCGACTTGTGCGTTGACGCAGTAGGTTTTCGCCATCCCAAAATGTGGAAACTTCTCAAATGAAAGTTCTGTTTCTTCCCCTCCCAGATACATTCTTGTTGCAGCAACTGATGAAAAACTCATTCCATCACCAAGAAATAAAATCACATTCTTTGCTTTATTCATGTTAATTTTACTGTCTAGTTTCATCGTGATGAAATGTTGAGCTTTATTTCTCCAAAATTCTGATGAACCTTCCATAACATTAATAACCGGCGGTGCAGATGCAACGGCTTTGCTATGAATTTCGTCTTTGCCCGAACAAGTCGAAACAACTAAAAGTACAAATAAAAATACTTTCATAGTGCTCGAATTCACTTTTACCACTGAAGAATTTTTCGACATATTTCAGAGTTTTATTTCATTCAAATTTTAACTAAACCATCTCAGACGGATTGTAAAGTACAAAAACAAATCTTTGAAAAAATGATAAGAAAAAGTTTAAATATCATACACGTGAAACACTAGAAACTTTTACAATCACTTATGTTTCACGAGACTGCCATTTACTCAAATAAAAAATTGTTGATTTTTCCGTTTCGTGAAAGCACAGTTGAAATCATTTTATCTCAAAATACTAAAAAAACGTGATCTGATAAGAGGTTGCAGCTTTGAAATATTCTTTTAAATATTGATGCATCAGATAATTGTTTTATAGATCATTCAACTTGACGGCAAGAAAAATAAAAGAAATGATAAATGCATAAAAATCATTTCAAGCAAATTGCTAACTTCGACATTATTTAATGTGTTTTCTATTTATTGCAATACTTAACTAAATAATCACTAATTTTCCACGAAGTAGTCAGTTACTCAAATAAAATTGTAATAATTTTCTTTTGTATATCGCGAGAGAGAATCTGTAGACAAAGCATTTGATTGGTTAGCTTGAAGTTTTTTTTGTATACAATGAAAACAGCGTGATCTGATAAGAAGCTGACATTTTAAAGCTGGGTATATAATTTATTGAAGTGTTAATTGCGTTATAAATCATTTAATTGAACGGTGAAAAAAAAACATTAAAAGCTTTCACAATGGAATAAACGAAAATCATTTCAAGTTGTTCGTTTGCTCTAACAACGCCAAATATATTTTTTAATTATTTAAATATTCACAAAAAGTTTTATTTTAAAAGCTTCATAACTCCGATCATTACAATAATAAGAAGAATTATTGGAGTAAAACTACATGCTGCACATTTCTCATCGACAGCATAAGGACCAACTTCTAATATGCGAGCCATAATTACTGGGATTTCACTTTGTTCGTAATGACCTTTGAATAAATGCGCCATTGGACCAGAAGCCCAAACGCCAACATCTTCACCACCGTGAGTGTCTCTTTCTCTCAGAACCAATGAAGGATATTGGAAGAATGGATCTGTAGTGTCATAAGTTTCAGGATTAATTCGATTTCCTTCTTCATCATGGGTAATTTCAAATCCCGGCCCATTTGCATACGATAATGTCATAAATGGAATGTCATCTACATCAGAAATGTCAGCCATTCCGAAAACGTCATTACCACGAGGTGGATAGCCGTTATATGTGAACACATGACTGTGATCAGATGTTACAACGATGAGAGTGTCTGACGTGTCTGTCATATGACGAGCAACATCAACTGCACGTGAAAATTCTTTTGTCTCGTCTAAAGATAATCTCGAATAACCATCATGATGAGCTTGATCAATCATTCCACCTTCAACAAATAAAAAGTAACCATTTTCTTCCTTTTGCAGCATTTTAATAGCAGTTGATGTCATATCTGTAAGTGTTGGTTCTTGATGTTCCAAGTTTCTATTAATAACATCTAAATTGTATCTCATGTGTCCGTGTTCAAACAATCCTAGCAAGTAATCAGTTTTCGAGATATCAACATTTCTTAAGCCGTTTTTATCATACACGTATGTTGCTACACCATCTTTATTTCTTTCTGTCTTCCATTCTTCTATTAAATTTCGTCCATCACGACGATTCCCAATTTGATTTTCTTCATCCAATTCAGTTTCATTTCGGAAATTTTCGCGACCACCACCAAGAATTACTTTTAAGTTGCGACCCTCGATATTGTACACAAGTTGTTCAGCAATATCCATATGTTCTTTGGAATCACAATTGTCACGTTCCATATTGATGTCACTCTCCCATTCACGATGCCCCATATGAGCGTAAGTTACTATAAAAAATATTTTTATATTTAATTTAAGATTTCTTTTTAATCAGTTTTAAATATACCAGAAGGCGATGCATGCGTGATTCTCGTATTCGTAACAATTCCGGTGCTTTTACATGATTTCTGTGCCCATCTTACTATCGAATCAACGTAGCTTTCTTCATCAGTATGTGCTGTGCAATTTCGTGGAGTTGCTCTTCCATTAAGACCGATGACTTCATAATTTGTTTTGACGCCGGAGAGATAAGCTGTAGCAGTACATCCCGAATCGGCTACTTGAGCATCGATACAATAAGTCTGAATGTGATAATATTTCATTGAAGCACTTGAGTGTGAATTATCTTATCTTAAATTAAGAATCATTCAGTTAAAATTACCTTAGAAAATCCAGTATACGGAAACTTTTCAAACGATAATTCGATTTCTTCACCACCCATGTAGACTCTTGTAGCTGCAATTGTAGCAAAACTCATTCCATCACCCAAGAAAAAAATAACATTTTTAGCTTTATTTGTGTTTTCTTGTCTGTTTAATAATTCTTTCAGAAAAAGTTGTCCATGTTCCATCCAATATTCAGGTTGACGTTCCTTTTCATCCTTAAATGAAAATGTTCTGGGTGCATTATTTAAAATTCTTTTATGATGGTATTCATCTATTGTGTGAACTGGAAAATATTAAAAAAAAGAGCTTAAAATTAATTCACTGAAAAAAGAAGATAATAAAAGTTACCAGTTGATAGCCAGCAAATGGTGATTATCACAAAACTCATAAATGTCTTAAAAGAATTCATTTTCATTATGAATGTTGACTGTTTGGAAATTAAAACAAAACTGAGATGTGGTTTGTCGTTAAAGCTTCAATCCATACAGAGGTAAATCAAGTGGTTTTCGATAAGCTTTTAACAAGCACATAGATTAAGTTGGTCGTGATTTCGGAATTCCCTTGTTGATTTATATATCACGTCTTTATCATCAGAAACGACAATAAAAGTTTGTGGGGTTTGAGATAAGAATATTTAACTTAAATGGTGTCCCATTTAAAAGATCTTTACGTTTGTGCACAAGTTTAAGAAACTTTTATATTAAACGTCACTTTTTTTTCTAAAAACAAAAGAATCTTTCATAATTTGCAATTAATGTTTAACATTGAAATATTGTCCATGAATTAAAATTGATTAATACGTACTTTGAAGCTGTTTCAAGGCTCAAAACAATTAACAAATGCAATAAAACAAAGATTAAATAATCAACATCAATCATTCAAAACTTGAAGATAAGCTGAAAAGAAAATCCCCATGGAATTTAAGTTGCCACTTAGGACGCGTGGGTGCTGTTATCGTCTTCCGTGCTATTTAACAACACAAAGAGCAGATTAAAAACATTTTCTTAGGAATACTTTAAGACTTTTATTAAGCACCTACTAATCAAAATCAATAAATTTTTCATGGTCACATTCACTCTTCATCGCACATTGTCATGCCATTACCAACGCAAGACGCATATCCCATAATATGTGGAATGACATGTTGCTCCATTGTTCCTTGAAAGAGATGCGACCAAGGTCCAATAGCCCAAAGCCCAACATCTTCACCTCCATGTGACTCAAAATTTACGGGTAATGTTGATGGGAAACGGAAATTATTTTGTTTCCATTGTTCGCTCATGGTGTTAACATCAACTCGTTTACCGTCTTTGAAGTGTTGCGTATATCCTAAGCCATTAGCATAGGATAAAGTCATATAAGGCACATCATCGTCTCCAATACCAGCAACTCCAAAGATATCATTGCCACGATCCTATTCAAGAAGTAAATTAATTATTTTGATAACTTAATATCGATTAAGAAACTTACAGCATAACCAGCTATTGTCATAACATGACCATGATCAGCTGATACAACAACAAGTGTATCTTCTAAATTCACTTTCGCTAAAGTAGCTTCGACTGCCTTTGAGAATTCAATTGTTTCATCAACCGCATATCTTGCTTGGTTTTGATGATGAGCATGATCAATGCGACCACCTTCGACGAACAAGAAATAACCATTTTCATTCTCATTAAGAATATCAATTGCTTTTAAAGTCATATCAGTTAATGACGGATATATTTCTTGTTGATTTTCTTCCTGAATGTCAAGATTGTACTCAATATGTCCGCCATTGAAAACACCTAAAAGTTTTTTCACATCCTCAGGCTTAAGATCCATTAATTCTCGACGATTATTAACGAAGGTTCTCGATGGATCCATTGCCCTCCATTCATCAATTAAATTTTTACCATCAGTTCGATTACCAAAAGATCCATGCTCGCTAAATGATCTGTCAATTAAGTTCATTGATCCACCACCCATCATAACTTTAAGTCTCTGAGCAGCTTCATTGTGAACTAACTGTTCACCAATGTCATCAAGTAAATCAGAATCACATCCAGCTATTTCAAGATCGATATTATTTTCCCAATCGCGGTCAGTGATATGAGCATACATAGCAGATGGTGTTGCATGAGTGACTCTTGTTGTAGTGACAAAACCAGCATCTTTTCCCGCATTCATTGCCCAGGTTGCAAACGATTCAACTTTCTTACTGTCGTCATTACCATCTTCGCAGCTTTTTCGAATAGCTCGTCCATTTAATCCAATAAGTGCGTCATTAGTCTTAACACCTGAGAGAAAAGCTGTTGCTGTGCAGGCAGAATCCGAAACTTGAACATCAACACAATAAGTTTTGATACTCGCAGTGTGGGGTAAGTCTTCGAAGGATAATTTCATGCTTTCATCGCCCATCTGAATGCGAGCTGCTGTAATAGTAGGATGAGACATTCCATCTCCAATAAATAAAATAACATTCTTAGCTTTTCCAGTGTTATGAATTTCTTTCAACTTCATTTCTAAATGATCTTTAGCTTGATTCAACCAATATTCGCTGGTTTTTTCATCTTCATTCATTTTTGCACTTCGTGATGATGAGAATAATTTTCCTGTATGTGAATCATGATCAGGATGCATATGATCATCCAACATATCTTCAAGGTATTCGCTTTCAACTTTATGAAAATTTATTCAATTAATTTATCAACTATTTATGTAACATTCTCTAAACTCACCATATCGATATTTATGTGGAGTTGCGAAAGAAACAGAAACAAAAAAGAGAATTGCAAAATGTTTAAGCTTCATCGTCGATTTAAAACTTTTCTTTTCAAGCAATGGAGAGTAACTGGAGTTGATTCTTATTCAAAACTTAGCTTATCATTTGATAATGAAAGTACTTCAAAAGTTTTGAGGGCTATTAACACATTTAAACAAATAAAAATTTGAAGTGAATTCTTTTTCAGTCTTTTTTTATGATTTGGTTTTTGTAATGTTTGAAGCGTGATTTTCACGTTTTCCACACTAAGTTATTTTGAATATTGATCTCGAGCAGACATCATGACAATTAAACAACTCATGATGGTTTTAAGAAAAGATTTATAATGCTGAAAATGATTTGATAATATTATCATTGGGCATTGGCATTACTGATATTAAATACTCAAGTTTGTCATGAAAAGTTATCAAATTTTGAATGCATTTACAACACCAACGTGACATCCACGTTTAAACTTCATTAGAACGATGTTTTGTGCTCACAGATTAAATTTGAGATAAGAGAGCTGATGGAGACTTCTTTACATGAAATAAATATTGATTTTATCTTACATTTTATTATAGAGCTTTAAAAATTTATTGTTACAAAGATAAAGTTTTGTGCTCATTTCTGCATAAAATTCCAGACGAAAATATTTACATATTCGCTTTTTCAAATATTAGGTCATGACCTATTTAATTCCCTTTGTCACGAAAAGCTGTAATTAATTTTAGTCTCGTAATAAGACTGCAGAAGAATGCGTTGAGTTTTGGTGGAATCGTGACAATTCCATTTATTACCTTTAACCTACCCTCAACTGTCAATTGTCCGTTGTATCACGCCATCCAGGTATGAAGAGAAATTTAATATCTCAGAAATTTCACCCTCGGAACGAGACCATAAAGAAATTTTAATGGCTTAATTTTGTAGACATTATCCTCAAAATTATAGCTTAATTCACATAACGATAACCACTAAGCGCGACATCTCTCGTTGAATTGTAATTAAAAGTAAACAGCACCCACAGGGAATCTGAAAACTGTTGTGTAATGAAAAAAATACGCCATAAAGATATTTAATTTCTTCCCATTATAAAAAATGGTTCAAATTTATTTTTCATTTCTTTTTTCTGTGTTTTATAATGTTGATTTGAGTTTCTTATTTTTTTTTTGCATTAAATAGATTTTAATTTCAATATTTCTTTACTGTTTTCTTAGACAATTACGATTAAGTTTTGTTTTATCTCATTTGTATGGATTCAATCTCTTTTCAACTTCAACTGTACCATACCAATAAAAACAAATGTTAATTTAAAAGGCATGAGAAGAAGAGTAAATTTTTCTTTGGTAACAATAAAAAGGTAATCGGGATAAATTTAATTTATGGTTAACGCATTTGTAACATCGTCATGAAATCTCGAATCGTTTTTCAACTAACTTAGCGTGATATTCTTCGATTCAGAAGCATTTTTATTCGCAACAATTCGTGCAGAACGAACACACAACCACAATCCGTAAATTCCGCTTTCTGCACTCTGATAACAAGCTCACACTTAATTCGCTGATTGATTGTTGATGATAAGACTTGTTTTTGGTTTTGCTTAGCTTGTAAATATTTCACTGTGTTCATAACTGTTTTATTTTAAAAAGGGAGGATTTTTTTTTATAAATTTCTGTAACAAAAATAGTTTAACAACAACATTATTATCGGAAACATTAGTTAGTGTTCAAAAATAGTTGTAATCTGAGTTATAAATATTTGAGGAAAGTCTTTAACAACATGCAAAATAAAATATTTCCATTTTTATGATAATAATTAAGTGCTTTCCACAATTAATGGAATTAATAAAATCTGCCGCATTGATTACTTCAACAAAATCACTTTACCTACGCACTTCTAACTTTTCATTTCACTTTCTATTAATATCAGAAATCTCAAGCTAATCAAACAATTTCAAATCACGCACAACCCACGCCTACTTTCTGATCATTTTTCAAAATTCACTTTGGTAACATCAGCAGCACGACATACTCTATTCCATTTTTGCAAATAGATTGTTCATTCATTTATGTGGACAAAATATTGAATATGAAAAACTTTCAAACGAAAACTTATTTTCAAACTAAAGGAAGGAAAAATCTTCAATTTCCATCTCCACAATTTCATTCTTTGTTTTAATGAAGAATATCATTTAACATTATATTAAAAAGCCGAGAATATATTTCTCGATCTAAGTTCCAATTTTGTTTAACTCTGATTTTGTATTTTCTTTGTGAGCTTTTAGAGCTTTTTTCCTTTTGAGTTTGTATAAATTCATTGAAAGTGATTACTTATCTATTTTCTGTTAAGCATTATACTCGACATTATACGCTTTATCACTGATTTATGTAAATAGTCAAGTTTTCAAATAAATTAACTCAATTATTTTCCGAAATATTTTTTAAAATACTTAAAATTCAAATCATGAAATATTTAATTAAAATTCCGAACATTTTTCAAGAAAATTAAAAGTAAACTTTTAAAGATTGTGAAATTGAAAAAAATTAAACTGCGGAAGATTCAAAATTCAGATGAAATTTTTCATTCACTTGTAAACCTAGAAAATCTTAACTGTGATAAATCTAAAAGTTTATTTTGTATTTTCGAATATCTCCGTACGTAAGCTAAGCCTTCAGGCTTTTTTCTTTTTCATATTTTGTTAAAATAAACTTTTCAAATTTGGTCAGGAAATTGTTTATCTGTTTCAAATGTTTTTCAGATTTAATCTTGTTTTATATGTTAGTTAATTATTTCTTTTGATAATTTTTTCAATTTTTTTTCGTGTTTATATTTCCTTAATTAAATATAAAATTATGTGTATAGGCAGATATCTTACAGACTAACGAATCATATTTCAATAACTTTAGTCATAAATTACAATATTATAGAGGAGAGCTTTCGGCTTATTTTTCGTAAATTAATTTTAATTTCAATCGTCGAAGATCAATCAAATTTTTTTTTCTCCAATTATGTTAATCAACCGATGCGTGAACTTAATAATGTTAAAATAATATTAATGAAAATTTCTGTTAAGATTCTAATAAAATCTATGGTGATGTTAATTTCCACTTTCATTTTGCATAATTTATTACAAGGGGAAGAATTAATTTCTTGACTACTGCTGACACCAATATACACTGTTACTTAAATATTTCATTGTTATCTCACTATTGTGCTTTCATTAATATTTAATAATAATTCTTTGATTATATTTGACTCTAAAAATTTCATGCGCATTATTCGATTTCTAGTTGCAAGTTCCATAAGCTAGATTGTAGGTGTAAGGAAGAGATTTATCAATATCTATCAATATGAGTTATTATATTTTTTATTTAAATGTCAATAGTATAAATTTGAACTAAAAATGTGTCGAAAAATACGAGAGAAAATTTATCATTTTTCATCTTTTCATGGTTTAAATATTTCTTTCTTTCTTCACGAATTTATTTTATCGAAAAATAAACGTGATGTGACGCATAAACGTCGACTGTCGGATTTCTTTAATACGGTAATTTGTTTAAAAATGTTTTCTGTGTGTCCTTGTTTGTTTTCGGTTGTTTTGGGTGGGATAAGCTTTCATAAATATAAATATTTATATATATTTGTTTTCTTTCAAATGTTGGTTTGCAATATCGAACGGTGAAAACAAGTTAGGTGAGAAAATTGAAAATTATCTAGATAATTAATCTGGAATGTTTTTCTTTTCATTCATAAATACATAAATTTCTTTTTTAAAATGCTTTTCTATTCCAGTTTTTTCCGTCACTTCTTGCTTTACTTACATTCAAATTGGATGATTGAAGAGTCATGTTTTCAAATTATCAAGAAACTACTCAAAGCTGCATCTTTGAAAGCGTCCTTAGTCAATCAAGTTTGTTGCATTTGTGAACAAACTAAAATGTCAGCATTGAAATAATTCATTTGTAAGGACACATTTCAAGATATTTCCCTGGTATATTCCCTTTGCTGACTTCACTGCTAGTCAAGCTTCATCATTTCTTCTTCCACACTAACATTTAAACATTCATAACACAAACTATTATGTGTTTCAAAAGCGCAACTGAAGTGAAGTTTGCTTAAATTTTTTATATTTCAATTTGCCTTTTCTTATTTTTAAAGCTGTATGCTTGAGTTGATAATTTTTTAACAACAATTTCTTTGAGGAAGAATCGAAAAGAAGCAAGTTTAGCATATTTTTCTAACATCCGAAATTACTTTCATTATGAAACATGATTCCTTTGTGAATTATCTGGTGGGTGACTTTTATTTTTATTTCGTCTACAGCCTTTCCACCTTTGATGGATATTTTGTCCGTTTAGTATCTTGTTTACACAAATGGAAAAATTTTTACTATTATTTTCATCTAGAAAATGAAGTCGTTTCAATTATTTTATGCATGAAGTTAGTGTCTTTATATTTACTTTCTTTTACAATCCACAATTGAGTGTTGAGCGAATTTTTTTCAACACATTTTGTAGTTCGAAATAATAAATTTTATGTTCTGAATTCAAAGAGAATTTCATTTTATGATTCATGATGTTTTGTTTCATATGCTGAAGGTGTTGGAGCAGCGTCAGTGGAATCATAAAAAGTTATAGTTTTTAAGATGAATGGAAAACTTTTTTCTTGTTAACTTAAGTGAAAAAAAAGTTACGAAGACTAACCAACTGTGTTTGTACTTCTAAATGATTCCACTTACGCTTCAGTTAATCTGAATATTTTTTCTTTATCTAATGACAGCTATGTGCATTACGAAAAATAGTTTCATCGTCATGCTTGTGCTTGTTTTTCATTCCTGTTGTTGAAACTTCAATTCAAATTTTCTCTTTCAATAAAAATATGTTTTGTATCATTTTTTACCAAAAATAATATCGTTCCTGGCGCCGTCTTTTATAATTTGTCATTCAATGATTTTTATGTTTAATATTTTAACAGAATCATAATCTTGTATTTTCATCCAATTTCCTCCATCGATGATGCTCCATAAAATAATGTTCATGTCTATGTTGATCCTAAAATTCAATGGATAATTGAACCAGTCGATCATCAATTTGCTTATCATCGGTATCATAAACTTGTTTATGGCAAATGTAAGTAATTTAACAAGATGTTAAAAGTATAATGGATAATCTCAATGGAAAATCCTACAAAATGTTATTTTTTCTTCGGAGTTTTCCATCATAAAATGGAAAATCCTTTTCTCCAATTCAAAATTCATTAATTAAAGATTTATTCAAATATTTTGTTTATAATCTTTGCATCACTGAGATTGTGCGACAAGGTTGAGCTCGTGAGAAAGATCAATGAACAGGCTTTATGGGGAATGCCTGTTCACAAAGCTGACACTAGGTTCTCGCCATAAGTATCATTACAAATTCTATAATTTGAAAGAAGACAAAAAAAAGCAAAACATAAAACTTGGAAATTTTTTTGTCCAAGCTATTTCTTAGATTTCATGAAACTTGCCATCGTAGTTGACCATGCCATCGCCATCAACATCCGCTTCTTTTATCATGTCTTCAACTTCTTCATCGGTCAACTTTTCACCCAAATTTGTCATTACGCGACGCAATTCTGTCGAAGTTATAACGCCATTGTTGTCTTTGTCAAAGACTCTGAAATCGATAAATAAAAGAAGATTAGTTTTGTCATTTAGTGTCGCCTTATATTCACAGATATAAAAGCTTGTACAATGGGAAGCAATTGAATGGGGGAAAAGGATTATCAATAAATGCGGTCGATTTATTATGATGTAATTAAACTAGACAACAAAACCATTTACAAAATAGCTTTTCTTATATTGTTAGCTTAAGATTGTTCTTGAAGGGTTTGTTGGGTTCAAAGAATCGTCCAAAGTCATCATTGTCACAATTTTTATTTCCCAAATATCAATAAATTTAATTTAAATTAATGTCATAATAATAAAATTAAATCTGGTTAAAGATATTTTCTACCCATATTTTATTCGTTCTTAAACTTTTCTGGCTGCATTACGATATGACAGAAAATGAAAATTAATGGCAGCTGAAATCGAATGGGTAAGCAACATTTCATTTCATTTCATATCTGTGCTTTTGTGAAAGCAATTGTTGGCAGTTGCTGTCGCTATTCCGTTTGAATTTTCTATCTTTCAACTCCTTTTTCTGTCGACCCGTTCATGCATGCTTATATATCAATAAATTGAACCGTTGGAAAAACAAACAGCAAAAATTTGCTTCCTTCATTTCTAAATATCCCAATATGTGCCCTTGAAAAATTGGGTTGGGTATAGAAGAAAAAGAAAGAAAGGCAAATAAAAACGCCAAATCAACTTGACAGCTCTTCGAATGGAAACAGTCGAGAATTTTCCGATGAAATTTATCACCAAATCTGCAAAAATGGAGACACCAAGTCTTGAATTCTACTTGAAACAGCATCACGCAATAACAAAGAAATCGTTTTTTGCAATTCGAAAATTCCTCTTGTTTGCTTCCTTCATTGAATTACGATTTTTTTTCATTCTCTTTCTCATGGTTAAATGATATTATCTTTTAACTAAGATGGCAAATTTGGAATAAAATGACATAACAGTGACTTCATCTTTTTTATTTATTTTTGCAAGCACATCAAATTCTGATATTTATGACGATTTCTGCTTTTTGCTTTACTCGTTTCAGCAATGAAGGATATCAAACTAAATATCTGATAAATTATTATTGAGATTTTTTGTCATTTCCTTTATGCTTCTTTAATATTGAATACACTCGGAATGACACAAAAACTTCTAGTTGAATGATAAGATACGAAAAATCTCATGATAATGATAGCTTTGCTACGAACTGACATAGATTTTGTGCTCGTTGTTTATGTAACTGACAAAGGCAAAAGTAACCTTCACTTACAAATGTTACATCATAATTTGAATCAGATGATCCTTTTTACAGATCATACTCCTACAGCACTTCTTTTTTCTTTTGCCAGATGCTTTTTTTATCCAACGCAGTAAGACTTTGTAATGAAAAATGAAATTATGACAACATTCATGTGTAATGTCACTTACAACAAACACAGAACTCCATATGGCGCAACTTCAATAAACTTTTGAATGGAATGAACTTAAGCACAGTTGTTTTCTCTTTGTGAATATGTAAGTGACACTAATGATGTCATCAATCATCGTCAAATCAGATGTCACAATATGATCTTTAATTTATACTTGAGTTAATTCAATTTAAACGTTAATAAGCAGAAATCTCTGTTTTCAAAAAAAAGAAAAATAAAAGAATGTTTTTTGTTTGAAAAGGATTTTAAAGAGTTTAGAAAGATTTACGAGGAAAGCCTTATAGAAATCTTTTCAATGTCAACATTTTAAGCTGACGCGTTTTCTACATACATTCAAACATTTCAGCAAAATTCTATTAAGAGAAATCAATTTAGTCTTCCGGAGTCATCTGTCAAAATATAAAAACTTCTCTCGATGAAAAAACCAATTCACAATGAACCTCATCTCATTATGCATGCTAAATCCACTATTTTCTGATATTAGAATTCAAACTCACAGAATTTTTTACTCGAATAAATTTTTGATGTTGTGCTTGGTTTGGATATCTCTCGAGAGAGTCAAAATAATGTCGTTTGCTTTCATTCGATTCCGTTTCAGATATTTCGTTTGACAACAAACAGAAACAAGATGTAACGATATTCAGCATAATGTTTTCGTTAAGCATATCATCATTATTATGTTTTTTCTTGCTTTTTCTTTTTGTCACATAATAGATAGTATGTAGTAGGAGGGTTAAAGACTGACAGCGGTTTCGACAGATCATTGTCAAGATTGAATAAATGAAATTGAATGATTCTTCTGTATACATGATCAAAAATACTTATCAAAACGGAAAATAGAAAACGAAAACATCACATTAAGATAAATCCCTTGTTAGAGGATGTTGAAGAGTAAAGGAAATTGAATTATTGGATATGAAGTCATTGGAGGTTTTGTGTTTCTTATATAATTTTTTGTCAATAATCGATATCGATACTCACTTGAAAGCTTCCTTCAGTTCGTCTTCACTGTCACCTTCGCGCATTTTCTTCGACATCATTTGAAGAAACTCGTTGAACTCAATCATTCCGTTGTCATTCTGATCGACATCATTGACCATGTTACGAAGTTCAGTTTCTGTTTCGTGGAAAATATAAACTTTGACTTAATTAAAGTAATTGAGTTTATTGGATTTTTTTTTGGCATTCTGTTATGTAAATTGGGTGAGTTAGATTGGAAATTAGTATAATTCACTTCAATAAATTATTTTTCTAAAAAGTTTTTTTCATGTAAAATGTGAATTAGTTTTTTCGACATGGAATTAAATCAGAAGTCAAAAGAAAACAAATTAAAGTCTTAAAAGATTCGAAAAATGGCAAATTTACCTGTCGGACGTTGTCCTAATGAACGCATAACAACTCCAAGTTCAGCCATTGTTATCGATCCATCTTCGTCCTTATCGAACAGCATAAAAACTTCCTTGAATTCTATCAAACGAATAATGAAAAGAGAATTGAAAGAAAAGTGTTTTTCGTCACGGTCATGAATCCAACAAATGAGTTTTCGAAATTGAATGTTGACAATAAAGTTAAAAAAAAAAGCAGAGAAGAACAAGAAAAATTCTAATTGGATTGGAGTCGAAGGCGTCTGATGGTAAAGTTTTAATTTATTCTCTGACTCTGTCCACAGTCACTTTACTAGTAGAGTAGCAATTTTATTGAAAATGGAAAATTCTTTTCCTCTCGCTTTCACAACTGATTTGTGCTTTACAAAACATTAAATTCTCAATATTTAATGAACATTTCTGGCGAGGTTTAAACTTCTTCGTTGTCCTTGCTTTACTGTTCGTTCATTTTTTATTTAAATAAACTTAAAATTGTTCTTATAAGAGTGACGACAAAAACTAAGCGATACTATTTATTTTTATTTAATATCCGGAGCCATATTGGGATAAAACAGAAGATGAAAATTGAAAATTGGGGCCAAAATTTAATTAAAAAATTGAGCTCAAGGTGATTCTCTTTTTTGATGGAGATACTGCAGGAAAAGCGGCTTGAACTGATATCATTGTAAATCCAAACGAGGTTGGAAACAAGATTCACTTGTGGGCGTTGAAAGAAATTTATTGCATTTTCTTCCAACTTTTCCGTATTCAACAGAACACAAGAAAATGGCAAACAAAATGTGTGTCAAGTGAAAAACATTTCGAAGATTTCCCATTCCAAGGTGAAACTTCCATATAAAAGTATGCAACATAATTTTGTTTTAAATTTTTCTTGATAAGAAGGTCAAATTGAAAATAGAATTTAATTGCACGTAACTTGAAGTAGAAAAGTGAAGTTGCATAACAAATAAATTGACTGCTTTACAATGTTTTTATCTAAGAATTACAATTTCTTTTTGCATAATTCCCTTCAGCGTTTGCATAAATTTATATGACAGAAGTATTTATGAGCGCAAAATAATCCTCGTCTAATTTAATGCCAAGGTCTACAACATGTCAAGTCCAAAGAATATCTTTAAATGTTTAAAAAACATATTTTAACGTTCATTAAAGTCTCACCTGCGACTTGTTCCTCGGTTAAACCATACTCCGACTGCAATTGAAAAGAAAATGTAAAAATACGCATTAGCATTGTAAATTTTCACAAATCTTCATGGTTAATATAAAAGTTTCTTCATCAGATGCACGCATAATATCAAAAGAAGATTCTTTACAAAATTAGGAAAATTTTCCACTTCCATGGGTGCAGAAATGCCTGAAATCAACGAGGTTCGTTGAATATTGTCAGCTTGCAGTTGAAAGTTTCTTCTTCTTGTTAAGTAATAGAAAATAAAAAGTTTTAAACTTTTCTAAAGAGACACAGACGCTTCAATTGCTCGTAAAATCAATAAATATTAAACATTTTGATCCCATCATGAAAATGTGTTGCATAAGAGCTGAACTTCTTCTTTTGCTCATCACAGGGTTGACTTGAAGTTGAAGGCAAATCAAGCGAGTAAATCACACAGATGATATAACAATCGAACCACATGTGTGATTACGAAGCACGTACTTTCATCGTTTCCTCGACAGAAATGTTTGAAGACGAAAAAGAAAAAGAGAGTAAAAAAGCATACACAGTGAAAAAAACTTACAGATGTTTGCCGCACATACGCGCTTGACACAAGTGATTTGATGCGAACATATTCACGTCTGTAGATTTCTTCGTCGGCTTTACTTTGAGTTGCCATCGCTTATTTCTATTTATTTTCGTTTATATTTAAAGGAAGTTTCTTCGCTTTGCCATTCAAGTTCAATGAGAAGAAGAAAAACTCAACAATTCAATAGCAGAAATAATTACAAAGAGTCTGTGGGCACTGCCAAATGTGATGATTTAGAAAGTCATTCAAATTTAGCGGAAAATGATTTTCACATTTTTATCATTTGACTTTGACATTCTCGTTCGCACTGTTTTCATTGTTTGAACCATCAACCAAAAACTTTTGTTCCTGATAAGAAATAAAAAAAAAACTTATTGTCACTCGCTTTGTGAGATTTTTACGCTTTTAGCGTTTCAATTCATGAGATTTTTTCTGCTGTTCATAAACAACAAATGACGCGTCACAAATTTAAGTTCGAAGCTGTTGTTTGTTGCACGAATGAAAATATATTATTATGATGACTTCATTAAAGTTCATTGACAGCACCGGAAGAAGTTTTCTGTTTTAATGTCACCAGCGGTATTTTTGGAATTTAATCAGATTGACTTCTTGCGTGCTTCAAGTTTATTACTTTTCATAGAAAAGAAAATTAAATTTTCTTTTTTTAGCTCGAAGTAATAAATTTAACTTATTAAGTTAATTGAGAGGGAAAGTCAGCTTAATCTTTATTTTCACAATCAAGTCTTCAATATTTTATTATCTCGCTAATTGAAAAATTTTCCACAACAAGTCAACGCGAAAAGAAAAAAATCAACACTGAGATGTTCGATTGCTGAACAAAATATATCTGAGCATCGTTCTTTAACAAAAAAGTTTTCTCATTTCCCGCTGTTTGTGATATATTCCCGTCATTTTATTGAATATATAAAAATACAAACGAAAATTTTCGCTGTAAACAACATGCCACTGTGATAATAATGAGCGAGAAAATATCAGTTGTGAAAAACAAGAAGAGAACGAAGAAAATCGTTTAACGATTGAAAACAAAGATAGAATGCGATGTAGACTGCTCAAAACATCGAATTTCTTGCCATTCTTGTCAAGATTTTAATTTGTGACTACACATCAATATGAAATGATTATTAACGAATATTTTGTATTAATTTTCCGACGGATGAGTGTCAGTTTCAAAGCAGAAAAATATAAGAAGTGATGATGTCAAACATTTCTTGTGAAGAATTCATTATGAAAAGTTTGAAAGCGAGAAAGACACAATGACAATCAACGTCAGGAATGCTGTCTAGACAAGCAAATTCAAGATTTTAATAGAAAAACTTCTACTGAAATATTATTAAGGTAAAAGTTTTGATTCGTTTCGATTAAATTATTTCATGACTTTCCTTCATACATCTTTTGAAAGAAAATTTTTAAGAAAACATTTGATAAAATATTTTATAACAATTATTAAAATTCTTTTAGACTGTCTACTTTGAATTCCTTCACCAGCGACCTTCAATACGAAGAAGTTCATCATTGTACTCGTCAAAGAATGTCATGTTTCCTCGGACTTCGAAGAGAAGACCTCTTGTCCTTGGAGGTTCCGGCACTGAATTGTTAAAGCATTGTTGGAGTGATTGATTCACTGTTTCAATTGTGACCACATCATTTAGCTCAAATGTTTCGTCGACGCAGGCATTTTGGCTTAATCCAAGGTATTCCAAGTTGGGTAGATTATCAAAAGCATTCGGTCCAATGGCATTTATGTTGTTGTATTCCAATCCAATAAATTCAATGTTCCTGTTGTTTGCAAATATTCGTCCACTGAGAGTCTCAAATCGATTGTCTGAAGCAAGGAGAATCCTTAAATTTGCAAGTGGTGCCATCATTTCTGGAGTTAGAGCTTCAATGCTGTTACCAGAGATTGAAAGATATCGCAAATTTACTAGTCCAAAGAAGAAAGTGTTTGCAATGAATTCTATTTGATTAGAATAGAGATTTAAATGTGTGATTGTTGATCTAACAAAAAATGGTGATCCAGTAAGTCTTGGCATGATATTAGAATTTGCAAAGACGCCTCTAATTTGAGTAGCAAATGTAAAGTCTGGTGGATTTATTCCAGACACACCAGCATTGGCACCTTCAATTGCTACAATGTTTGGGAACACTTGAAAGATATTTGCAGGAATGGCGTTGACATTTGAACTTTGAATGACAAAATTTAGAACATCTGCGTTTGTTCTTTCTGATTCATGTTCACCTTCGATGATGATGTAATAAAAAGGATTGCTAAAGTCGAATGTAACGTTTCTCACGATGCAAGCGTAGTTGAAAAACTCGTTGATTGGGTACATTCCAAATTCACAAACCAAACGAACTTCAAAAAGTTCTTGAGAGCTGACATTGTTGAAAAAGCCCACGAATAGCAATATCAAAGTTAAGCAAGTTTTTGTCCACATTGTAAGTGACGACGGGAAGAACAGTGACTGGTCTTTGTCAAAAATTTATCATCTGCTTTTATACTTTAAATTTCTTATCGATAAAAAAAAAGAAACAAGACAATAATATTTACAAGTAAGTTAGTTGTCATGTCGTTCTATCTCATTACAAGCTCATATAGTGAAAGTAATGCTTTTGATGTACAGACTATGTTCAAGTCTTGTTATATCATCAACGTAACATTGAATGTGCTAATTGCTTGTAATTATAAATGAAAATTATATAACCATTAAATATCTTTTATCTCAGTTTTAGACTTCAATATTAGACGACTGTCATTTGTTTTTAACACAATGTGAAGAACAAAAGTTTTTGATGTCAACAAATGGATTTCATTTATGAAACAATGCAATGCCCGTGATATTCAAATAATTAATTTAATGTCATGAAAATTTGAAGAGGCTTAAAACTTTTTATCTGTAATTTAATACTGAAAAGTAGGTAAAAATGATGAAACAAAAACATTTTTCAAACCAAGCAAGGAAGTCAACAGGGAAATTTGACTTAGCTTATTCATCTTCTAGAGAATATTCTGAAAATTAACTTTGTCTGTTAAGCTATGATTACTATGACAATGATAATCTTTTATTGAATTATTTATCAGTCTTTTATTGAGGTAAAAGTTTTGATTCGTTGATTGGATTATTTCATAAGATTTTTGCATAGTTTGTGTTTGATATAGAAATATCTAATGAAATGACCATAAAATTCTTTTAGACTGTCCACTTCGAATTCCTTCACCAGCGACCTTCAATACGAAGAAGTTCATCATTGTATTCATCAAAGAATGTCATATTTCCTCGAACTTCAAACAGAAGAGTTCTTGTTCTTGGAGGTTCCGGCACTGAATTGTTAAAGCATTGTTGGAGAGATTGATTCACTGTTTCAATTGTTATGTCTTCATTAATCGTGAATACTTCATCGACGCAACTATTTTGACTTAATGCAAGGATTTCTAAGTTAGGAAGATTATCGAAAGCATTCGGTCCAATGGCATTTATGATGTTTTCATTCAGTCCAATAAATTCAATATTTCTATTATTCGCAAAGACACGTCCACTGAGAGTCTCAAATCGATTGGCGGAAGCGTAAAAATTCCTTAGGCTAACTAGCGGTGCCATCATTTCTGGAGTTAGAGCTGCAATATTGTTACCTTCAATTGAAAGGTAACGCAAGTTTAGTAATCCAATGAAGAAAGTGTTTGCAATAAATTCTATTTGATTGGAGTAGAAACTTATGTCTGTTATTGTTGATCTAACGAAAAATGGCGATCCAGTGAGTCTTGGCATGATATTCGCTGAAGCGAAAATCCCTCTCAGCTGATTAGCGAAGGTAAAATCTGGTGGATTTATTCCAGTTATACCAGCATCAAATCCATAAATAGCTACAATGTTTGGAAACACTTGAAAGATATTTGCAGGAATAGCGTTGACATTTGAACTTTGAATGATAAAATTTCCAACGTCTTCATTTGTTCTTCCTGGTTCATGTTGACCTTCGATGATGATGTAATAAAAAGGATTGCTGAAGTCGAATGTAACATTTCTCACGGTACAAGCGTAGTTAAGAAAATCGTTGATTGCGTACATTCCAAAATCACAAAACAAACGAACTTCAAAAAGTTCTTGTGAGCTGACATTGTTGAAAAGGCCCACGAAGAGCAATGTCAAAGTTAAGCAAGTTTTTGTCCACATTGCAATTGAAGTCAAGAATAAATGTGACTGGTCTTTGGCAAGAGCTTGTCATCTGCTTTTATACTTCGAAAAATGTATCGATTAAAAAATTTTTAATAAAAATTGAAAAACAAATAAATAAACAACATAAACACCTGTCATGTTATGTCATGTCGTTCTATCTCATTACAACTTGTAATAGTGGAAGTCATGTTCTCAATCTACAGACTAATAGTTGTTAAAGAACTTTTATCGTTAACATGGACAATAAATGTGCTAATTGCTTGCTTTGATAAGTAAAAATTACGTAAGGTAAAAAGTTCTAGAAATTAAATGTTTTTCATCTTTGAACAGGACATACATAATGATTCTAAAACATTTTAGTGTTTATTTATCAGTTACTAAATCTGTACAAACATATAGTTTGACCTCTAAACATCAATTGAATGTTATGCAATTCCAAAAATACTTAAAACATTTTAAACTTTAATAAATTATTTTTCATCAAAATTTCAAATAACAGAAAGAAATACAAAACTTCACTAAAAGCTCAAAAGTTTTGAAAGAAAAAAACAAATCTGTAGAAAAACTTGTGACTTTTGTGCAGCTGTGGCAATTTCTATTGATTTTCTTTTTATTTCTTGATCTGTAAAGTCACTAAAAGAATGTAACAAGCAAAAATTTTGTAACTCAGAATTTTATTTAAAATTTCAGCAAAGGAAAATTATTCAATGCGAGTGATTAAATTATCATTTTCATCGAAAATGCTCAAACTTCCGACAACAGTTAATGAGACTTGAGTTCCCCAAGGGGAGTTCCTGAAACATTCTCCTAAAGCTTCTCTTATGGCAGTCAAAGTGACGTTGTCGAAATTTCCGTCAATGCATGCATTGCCTGAAAGTCGAAGTGATTCCAAATTTGGGTTAATATTCAAAAAGCTTGGGCCAATAGCTCGAATGTTGTTTCTCTCAAAATGTGCAAGTTCAAGATCAGGGTTGTTGGCAAACATGCGACCTTCAAGTTCTTCAATCCGATTTCCCGATGCAACAAAGTTTTTTAAGCTCAGAAGCGGGCGAAGCATTCTTGGAGTTAAAACGGTTATGTTGTTGTTTTCAATTGACACAAAAGTTGCTCTGCCAAGATTAATAAAAGGATTTGGTCCAAGGCTGTTCATTTGATTCTGATACAAAATCAAGATTTCAATGTTGAATGCGAAAGTAAAAGCAGAGTTTCCCAGCGTTGTGATGTTGTTATCAGCAATATAAACTTCTCTAAGACGATCAGCAAAATAGAAATCTGGTGGAATGAAGTTGATAGTACCACAATTGATTACTTCAAGGCCTTCGACATTTGGAAAAACATTGAAAATATTTGCTGGAATTCGATTGATTGTTGAGTTCCGTATGCGAAGATTGATGACATCTGCGTTGGTTCTACCTTCAAGATGTTCGCCTCCAACTCTTATAAAGTAAAATGGTGAACTGAAGTCATAATCAATATCAGTCAGCGTGCAAGTGTATCCGAAAATGTCCAAAATTGTTGCATCTTCATACAAACAATCAAATTCGAAACCCAATGCTTGTCCATTAACACAAGCCACAATGCTTATTAGAGCTAAGAAAGTAAGACTCGTCTTCGAACACATTTTGAAGTCAAAAGAGTGAAACTTAATATTTTCATTCGCTTGCACATCTTCCTTATATATGCTCAAGAATGTTATCAGTTGTCATGTTAACAAGTCGATTAAACTACTCGTATCATTCTTACAAGTTTGTAGACATGTTCAAAAGCAAACAATTTAGTCGCATCGGACTAAATTTTCATAGACTCTGAGATAATTTTCATTTGTTCGTTTCAGTTTTGTTTCTCTCTCAAAACACGTATCACGCTTCGTGCGATGATACATGAACATAAATAGAAACGAGGAAACTAACGATATTAAAAGAAAAAACGATGACGTCTCTTGTGGTTGTCGATCAACATGAGAAAAGTGGGAATAAACGGCGTCAATTTTTTTCTCTTTCTTTTCACATTATAATCTCTCCCCGCATTACAAACGCTCTCGTGCTTCGAATACTTGTTTATAAATCCTCAACAGCGGGTAAAAACCTTTCGACTTCAAAAGAATTTTCATTAACACAGACGTTTTGTATGTTGAAACTTTTTTCTTCTTTTCTTATCGTATTTTTTGAAATTTTGACTCAATTTGTGTGGTGAAGAGCGAAATCTTACAGCTGACTTCCACTTTAAAGGTCGGGAAATTGTTTATGAAAGAAGAGAAATGGAGATAATTCTTTTAAGGAATCGACTCGCATGAATAAGATTTAAAATTGTGGTGTGTTGATAAAAACAGAAGTTTCGCAAATGTCAATCAAAAAACCTTTCTTTCGTTTCTCGACGATTTTCAGATATTTTCAGATTAATAAATTGAAAAAATGAGAAAAATCATGTTCCGTGCGATAGCTTTTTATGACTTCCTAACAAATTTCATTTTAATATCGTGGTTTATAAATTAATTTACTTTTCTGAATGATGTTAAACATGTGGTCGAAAAAGAAAATTAAAAATAGGAAGAAAAAATTAATTTCGAATAATTCATATTATGAAACATAATGGATCGTTTTCATCGTTTACAAAATTCATCTTCTTATTGTTAACATCAACATGGGTGGGGATGGCAAAAACAAAAATCGATTACGATTTAATTAAGAAAATTTGATGATTTTTAGCTTTTGTTGTAGCTGCCTAAGCTTGACGGCATTTAATCGATTCTCCATTTCGGACAACTGTGTGAAAAAGGTTTCGTAATTTTTCTTTTTTTCTTCTTCTTACCAAACCATTATTTCATTGAATGATCTTAGATTCAATAAATTAATGAAACAAACATAAATTGAAAGTAGTAAGCGATAAAAATTGTCCAACAATTACATCGTTTAAATAAACGGAAGGCATTTCTCCACCCACGCTTGAATAATATTCAATTCAGCCTCATTCATCAATTGAATGTGACTTTTGATGTATTTTTAATGAAATAAATTGTTTTGATTTTACTTACAATATCGATTTTGACATACAAGTCGTAGACTTTCTTCTTATTTTTCTTGTTCCGTGCACCAGCTTTTGGTGGTGGTGGGAGATACAAATCGCGATCTGAAGATGGAGTCTTCTGCAGTGATCCTTTGGAAAGCGAAAGACTTCCATGCTTTCCTGGAGGTGGTTGTTTGGCTGAATGTGCCGTAGCCTTCGCTTGACCATGACCACCTTTGTGACCTGGTGTCGGAGTTTTCTCACGTTGCTTTAAGTGACTACTTCCATCTGCTGGCTTGTTGCGTGCCTAACAAAGCGTATAAATAGAAAGAAAATATTTTTGTGTGTTCGATTAGAAATGTCTTAGATCGATTTCAGGATGTTTGTTTAAACAAAAAGAAAGCCATTCCAATTCAAATACATAAATTTGTGATTGTCATGGTCAACATAAAGTTATATAAAAGTTTATCCAGATGATGCACAATTTCTTCTTTTTTTATTTATGTCTACTACAAAAGGTTAGAAGCTTTTCAACCAATTTTATTATGCGATGAAATTTTATGTCTCGTTCGAATTTTGAAGCATCTTTCATGACATTTACTCTCTGTTATGCTCGAACCTCGAGAACTCAGTAGATAAAGAAAATTTATTGAGTGACGAACATAAATTTCAAACTCATGAATGAAATTTTTTCTTCTGTGCGATTTTTCTTGAGTCATTTTTTCCAAGAAGAAAAATAGCCGAGAAAAGACCCGACCGGAACAAGGTCGGTGAATAAATTATGAATTAATTTTATTCTTCTTTCACAGCTCTCTTAAGGATGATAATTTTTTCGTCATGTTCACCTGATGTATTCTTTATGAGGACGATACAGATGAAGAAAATTATTTATGTGAATCGCTTACCGGAAAATGAGTCCAGAAAATGCACTTTGTGGTTTTAATATTAATGACGTTTTTATCATATTTAATCAAGCTCATAAAACATTGTTTCGAAAGCTTACAACATTATCGCTGTTGTATCAAATAAATAAATATGTATAGGAAGAAACAACAAATCGTATGATTGCTTCCATTAAACCCCAGGAATTCTTTCAGCTTAAACATTATTAACGATTGAAAGAATTTATCGTGGAATTTTCTGCTCGATGAAAGCAACGAAGAATATATTTTAATTACAAATTTTTTTTTCCCATGATGAATGAGATCTCACTTTTAATTTCATTTCAGAATTAATACACAAACATCTCATTCATTCACACTCGAAGCTCTTTATTTGGGATTTAAGCAAATCATGTGAGACATCCGAAGCGTTCGTGAACTTGCGACTAGAAAAAAAAATCATCAGACATTCTCAAGCATTCCTCTTGGCGCTATAAAGCAAACACAAAAATATTTGTTACACATCTCATAAATAATAATAAAATGTGAGAAGAAACACAAAAATTTCTATAAGCATTTTTATACACGAAATAATCACAAACATTTTGTTCAGATAAAATAAGAGCAAAATGTTAAAATGTATCATATTTACGACAATTTTTTTTATACATGAAGGTTTAAGATGTATCAATGAGATTAGATTTTTCTTTACAAATCTCATACTGTTGAAAGTGCTTGTTTAAACAAAGTATCTTCATATCTTGATAATATTTCGTTACTAAATCCTTACGTTGCGGAATTATTTTTTCTCCTTCTCTAACACAAAATATAAAAGCAACCACACTAATTAATTCATTTCCTCATACTAAGACATTAAATATAGAAAGAATGGGAAAACATTTTCAATGATTCGTTTGTATAAATAAAAGAAGTTCTAAGCGGAAAAATATTTCTTTTGTAACTTGAAGCGCCATCAACATTATCAAGTTTCAAGAGACTTTTCGATTCTTTATTAAAGCGAACAAATAATAAACACAAAGTGAAATTAGGTACTTCAATTTCTTTTAATTAATGAAATGCTTCTATATAAACATACATACTGAACTGTAACAACAGTTAATCAATTTGTCAACAAGAACGAAATAATGTGGCGAAGGGAAAAATTGTTACAGTTGTTGGGTGATAATAGAGACGTTTATTTCATTTCACTCCATTTTCAAATACAATTAATGTTCATTGATGTCGGCGAGATTGTATTCCTTCGTTTTACAAGATGTTTATACCAACATTAAGTTACGATTTGTAATTTTATAATTTGACGTGTTTGAATGTCGAGATTTTTCCAACTTAATTGCAACCCCAGCCATAAATTCTATCTAGTTCTAGTTTGCGAAAGTATTTTAAGTAATTAAATGACGCCTCAACTTTAAATAGCATCACGATTTCGGGTTGTCTGCCATCATTAGTTTCATTTTAAAAGTTATAAACGTGTCTCCACCTTCGATTAAAATCGACTGGAAAAAAATATGAAGAAGCGAACTATATGAAGCTGGTTTTTCTCTTTATCCACAAACGGCGAAAAGAAAAGAAAATTGTGATGGCTTTGATTGTGTTTAAATATAAAATCCAAATGAAAATTCAATTTTTACTTCAGTTGTACAGAATTGTTTGGTTGACTATCAACGTGATCTTCAATAATTTTTTTTTTATAAAAAAGTTGTGTCTACTTTTTGATTGATAATAAATTATAGAATTTTCACATCACCATGAGTGCAGTTAGTAGAGTAAAAAATATTTTTTATTAAATTAAAAAATAATAATTGAAATAAAAACGATAAATTTAAAGCAAAAAATGTTTAAACAGCATAAAAAATTGTTTTGTAATTTTTATCTACATAAAATTTATCTTTTTTTATTTTTATGTTACAAAAAGGAGCTGGACGAAGAACAAGTCCAAAGTGAGTTTATTAAAAGTGATCATAATTAGTGATATTGTTTCTAAAATATAAATTATTATCCTTCGATTTAAAGTGCTACGACGGGCATTTTCAATGTTTGACTCGAGTAAATCAGGAAAAATTGAGAAGGAAAAAGTTCGAACAATTCTGAACACATTGGGCCATACTTATGACGATAGCGATCTTGATGCTTTGCTCGAAGCTGAAGACACAGAAGGTAAAGTCGGAACCTCCACACCCATAATTTAGTTCTTGCAATTAATCATAGAAACGATTTTTATATGCTTTCGTTTTGCAAGCCCTTAATGGCTTCCACATTCTACAAACTTACACAAAGAGATGAATAAAATGTTTTATGGTCGCCATCCTTCTTAACTTTTTTATTCGTGAAATGATTAAAAATTATTTCGCCGTGACATGTGTGTAAAATTATGGGTCTAATAAATTCACTTCACGGAATTTTTGTCTGATTGTTCGATTGAATGAAAGCCGTGAAGAATGTCAAGGAATACGAAAACACTTTCGTGCTGATGAATTCATCAGATGTTTTTGTTTTATAGGGAAAAATGTCATTTGACGAGAATGGTTTCATTGAAATTGGCGACATAACTTTAAAGTATTTCATACTTAGAAATTCTGATTCTAGTAATTTATTGACTTTTTTTATAAATCCCGAATTCTTCTTACAAAAATTTTAAAATGTCTTAATTTTTAATTATTTTTTTATTTGAGTTTGTCGTCGATTAGAGTGCCAGAATGTCGGATTTCTTGTTTTTTCTTAATTCATGACACACTTTCTCAGAAATCCACTTTCAATAATTAAATAAAAGAGGAAAGCAAATAAATCACGAATAAACAAATATCGTCATAATTGGTTGTGAAAATTTCATTGCAACTGAAATTGAACGTATGTTACAAATTGGGTTAACTCCTGCCACATTTATGATGACTCAATTTTTAGTTTTAATGCAAGCTATTTTCCTCATGAAAAACTCTTCAACGCTGTCAAAAGCTTCATTTTTTTTAATAAGTGCACTTAAACGAATAAAATTTTCATGACTCAAATTTTGATTCACAATTTTTTTAATTGGATTTGTGTTGAAAACGAATGAAGATTATTTTTTAATAAACGACACACACGCTTAAGCAGTTCGACATAACTGGAAATTTGTAACCACTTCATGGCATAATGGCAGGTTTAATTTGTTGTTTTTGATTTGTGAAGTTGTCATAGATTTTGTACATCTAATTTGAAGATTGATGTGCGTGTTTAGTTCGCATAAATCAGACAATATGTATCTTTGTCAATAAGATTAATAAAATAAATTTAGGGAAGATAAGTTATTAATCTTATCAGAAAGGGATTTTGAGGGTAGCACTTTAAGATTTAAAACTTTTCTTCTCAAAACTTTACAGATTTGTAGCTTTCTTAATTACCATTACGCTATAACTTATAGACTAAGTATTAGTGCTTCGATGTCTCTATCAAATTCAATATATCGAAAGACTAATTTCTTCAGGCATCGTGATACGAGCGGAGAAGTATTCTCAATTATGGAAATATATGAGTTTTTCTTCTTTATCAATCAATCAATCAATCTTATTTGCTTTCCTATCAACTTGGTTTCTTCTTTCTTTTTCCTATCCACAACTTTTGTTCATGTTTAGTACTGTGGAATATTCGAGAGCGAATCAAATTAATCATAATTCATTGGGTTAGTCATCAATAAATCAAGACAATTAGCATATAAATGAGAGAATAATTAAATGGATATTGGACGAATCACTTCAACGCTTGATACGCGAAATGGTTTTTTGGAAATGGATTTGCTGTTCATCTCAAATCATTTTTCATTATGTCAATAATGTTCCTTTGATTTCATTCCCCTTTGTTGTTCTTATACTAAGTTCTTTTTATTATGGCGTTTGCCTGTCGACACCACGCTTAACAGTTGGCATAAGAACAGCATAGCTAGGAAAATATTACCACGAAATCACTTTCCAAACACACACGTTCATTATCGATTTTGGAGGATTGTGATAAGAAATTAAAAGATTTTTTTTTGGTTTATTGACCTTGAACGTGTCGAAATTCCAACAAGAAAATGTGAAATGAAATATCACGAAGAAAACATTCTCTTCAGACTTTTTTTTCTTATTTTTCTAAGCCTAGAAACGCTTCGTCAGTTGATTTATTATTGTTAGTCAAAGTGTGAGAGAAAATGATTTACTTTTGTGAACATGTGTGTGTGTGTGTGTGTGTTAGTAAAAGTTTTATTTGTACAATATAATTTTACTATTCATCCCAAATTTAGGGAAGCAAAATCTTTTATAATTCCATTACCTAGATTTCTCAAACATAAAAACATTCTTCCTTATTTCTTTCTTTTCTGACATAAAGAAAAATTGGGTCACATGTGAATAAGTGAAGGCAAAGAAGTGGAAAAATGTCTTATTGGTAATAGAAAGCATCACATAATATTCCGGATGTCGGAAATTCTATTATTCAACTCAGCTCGACAAAAAAATTCCACTTCGTCTTGTGTAACATTTTACAATTTTTGAGACATTTTCGATGGTCAACATCCATCAATTTCATTGTTCGTGTGAGTGAATGTTGAGTTTTGTACTCGAATAAATAGGAAACATGGTCTGTCACTGATGAGTGAATTGTGGTGTTGCTCTTGACGCCCCAGTTTTTTTTAACTTCCTCTTTATAAAGCATGAAAATATCGAGGAAAAAAAATAATTAAATTTCGCATCTGTTGATTTTTTCACAAACAAGTTGACGTGATATGACTCCAGGAAATTTCTCTCGTACCTTGTCTAACGAACGTTTAAACATTTCCATAACTCAGTTTCCGTTGTGAATTTGTGATGTAATAAAGTGGTTTGAAATTACTCCTAGACAGAAAATAACTTTGACCTAATAAAAAGTTTTGCAGCTTTAAACGATGTTATGTTCAACAATGCATGCATGTACTTCACTTATTAAGTTTTAAGCAGATTGGAGTTAAATTCATGAGCAAAACAATTCTTCAAAAGCTTTGGTTTTAAACTTTTGTGGTATTTTTTAATGTACTTGAATTGTTATAGCCTTAAAAGGATTGCTTTTAAAACGCACGATAAAACTTTCTCGATTTGTTTATTCATTTTGGGAGATTCAAACAAACTGAGATTTCAAAGTTGAATGTTGCAAGCATTCATATTGCATGATGATAACCAACAATGAAATTTTAAATTGAAATTAAATTCAACATAATTTTGTGTTTCTTAAATATCGTTTTGAATGTAGAGCATGAAAACTTTCGACATTGAACAAAACCTTAACTCATTTAGAATGACATAAATGAAACGTAGACAATTTTAATCTTCTTAAAACTGTTATAAATATCTTTCATTGTCTTGAGAAAATATGAGTGAAAAATGGTGATTTTAGAAGGGAAAAGTTTTAACTACATAGGAAACGAAGTTTTTGCTTGTACAATAAATTTGACCTCATTTAATATTCTTGCTGTTCCTTGTAATATATTTCGTGAGAACCCATTCATTATTTAGTATCGCAAAGCGAATTGATAGCTTTTCATTTTATGCTGACGCTTTGAAGTTTAGTAGAAATGCATGACACTCTGAAATTGTGGCTTAGAGTGACAATAAAATTAACAATATTAAATCGTTTTGTTTTACTGATCTCTTGATATGTAACATTAGCTTGTAATGAAACGTAACATTTTGTTGAATTAAATTGAACTACATTCATAAGTCACGTACACATTCTAAATGAAATTGATCACTTTATGTTCTAGCTTTGGGAGGTCTGGGAAGCTTTAAAAGTTCATGAACTCAAAAGGCCAAAAGCTTTTCACCGAATATTTCATTTCATAACTCAAACTTTATAAATTCAGAAATCAGACAGACGTGACTTAACTATGAATTGAACCCTACTCAAATTTAAAATGAAAGCTTAACAATAGCAACAGAAGCTTGTAAAGTTTTTTTTGTGATATCTAAAATGAAATAAATGCTCCTTTCCTTTATGCCTTCGCTCCCCTCCCTTCCTACATCATTATTTCTATGAATACGCAAAATAGAAGAGATGAAGGCTTTTTTGAGAAATCAAAATGATTTCATTTTTGATATTGAATGAAATGTGCTACATTAAGTCTAAAGTTATAATTAAAACTTTCCCCTTCAAGGTTAAAAATGTTAACATTTCAAAGTCCAAACAGATAGCAAATTCTATCTCATATTTAAGTGAAATTTGCAAAACAAAATTTGCTTATTTCGAATGATGAAAACTAATGAGAATTTTTGTGAAAAAAGAAAAAGAAGCTTTCTGTTTGCTTTTTTCAGCTTCAATTTATCTCAAATTCTTTTGTTTCAAAAGCCTTGTTTTCATGATTCTTTGTTCTTTTTTCTTTTCCTTTCCATTTATAGGAAGAGGCACCTTAACTTTTGATGAGTTTTGTCGAGTTGCTGTTCACTTTTCTGACGAAGACGACGAAGCTTTGCAGTAAGTGTTCTGTTTGTGATGTTAAGGAGAGTTTTCGTCTCTTCCGTCACTGTCAAGAAATGATTTGTGATATAAGACGATAATAACATTTCATTTTTCACACAGAAAAGAGTTGAAAGAAGCCTTCCGGCTTTACGACAAAGAAGGTGAGAAACGATATTGAAGTGGAAAAAAGGTTCCAATTTATAAATCATGTCAAATTTCCTTTAAAGGCAATGGTTATATCCCCACATCATCCTTACGAGAAATTTTAGCTGCTCTTGACGACCAACTGACTAGTGATCAGCTTAATGGTAAAATGAAACTTTCCTGCCACTTTTTGCGACTTGAAGCGTCAATCAAAAGTTTCTTTTACTTCTTTTGTTTCATGTTTTTAGAAATGATTGCAGAAATCGATACAGATTCATCAGGCACAGTTGATTTCGATGGTAAGCGTTTCAATTTATTTTAATTAACGCTAAAGGTAGAAAAAAGTTTAGTGGCAAAAAGTGCCTGAAGAGAATGAAATTCTTATCATGTATTTGGGAAACTTTTATAAATTATGTATCGAACATTTAACGTAATGTAATTCAAGAAGCGCTGGAAACATGAATATTTTACAAGAGAATTGCTTTTGAAGCGGATTATTTGAGTTCTACGTTTACAAGCTTGAAATAGATTGAAAATTCTTCAGAAATAGTTTCAACAAATTAACTTCTGAGAATACAAAGTGAAATTATCAGTACGTTTTGAGTTCATGTTACTCATTCTCTGGAGAGAAAAATATTAAATTTCAAATTAGAACTCTTGTTTATGCTGAATTTATTTTTGACAACAGCATTCTCATGACCATTGGCAGAAGTTTAGAAATAAATTTACTACAAACAGAGCAAATTTAAAGAAAGTCCGAGTATGTATTATTGTTCTTACTTATCTGACCTCGAAAAAATTGTTTTGTAAGGAAGTGGAACTCAATCTTCATTCATTTTGGATAAAACAAAAAGCAGGGAATGTTGATGGCTTAATAATTATCAACTGTTTCATCTGTTGTTCGTTTCAGAATTCATGGAAGTGATGACAGGAGATTAATGACAAATGATGGATGCTAAAGATAATCCATCAATTACTTTCATTTATCTTTTATGTATCAAAACAAAAATCTGATTTATGTACTTTCCTCCTACATCAACGATAATTTTATTTCTTGACTTGATATGATTTTCCTAAATTTCAATAAACGTGCATCAACATGTGGATCAAATTTAGTAACCTCCCTGCATATTTCATAGATAGCCATTTAGAGGCAAAGAGAGAGAGAGAGAGAGTTACATACAAAGACATAGTCTTGGTTAAATTGAGTGCAACAAGAAAGGTTTTTAAAGGTTTAATTTTATGTTTTATGTTCCCTACTTTCACCTATACAATACGTTGGATGTTGCATGAAATGTTAAACAAACGATGAAACAACTCGTCTGTCTCATCGTCAGTAACTTCAAGTCACAAGTGAGAAGATGGTGTGCAAAATCTACTCGCTAAACAAGCTTCAATAAAATAAAGTTTACGATGTGATCTATTTCTATTCTTGTATATTTAGATGTCGTTAATTTGTGGACGTTTTGATGTTGTAAACATTTTTAATGTTTGGCATTTTATTATTGCCAAATATAAATTTGATCCTATTTACGTTTCTTATGGTTTACTTTTTATCGTTTTAGAATTTACGGAATTTATGAGACCGGAACTTGACATAGATTACTACAACTACATTGACGAATTACTGATCGACACTCCCGTTATTCAATCAACAATATATTCAAACTTGTCAGGTGCAAGGATGAGTAAATTTGACAAATGTAAATCCTCTATACTCTTAAGATCCACAGGAAGAACGATAAAGTCATAAAAAAAATCTCCAAAGTATTGACTACTGTCACTTTTTGTATCTAAGTTATATATTAAGATACAGTGAACTCTTGATAAGAGATCTTATCGAAACAAATTTCACTCAATAGTAAAACAAAATTTCAGATGCCTTCAACTGTTTTCTCATCAGGAGTTGACTGTATATTGTTGAAAGCTTTTGGATTTAAAAGCTTTCATTTTTTATGAACAAAATTTTAAGTTTTTCTTTCAAATATATTTGAGACATTTAAATATCACCAAAGCTATGTTCATTTCATGGCCGATTTCATATATTAAAGAGTTAAAGTTATCTTAAAAAATTTTCATTCAATGAATAAATTCAAAGTTCAATTAATGTTCTTAATTTCCTGGGTTGAAATTGAACTTTTTCAATTGTTTAACCTTTTCTGCCTTGCTCTTTTAATAAAGTTTATAAATTTAATCAACAAACGATAACCACATTGATTCATATGTTCATTTCTTTTTTCTCCTACTCAGGCATCATCTACTGATTATACTGGTTTGATCATATAAATAACTTATATCAATTACAACCCTGCCAGTAGAAAGAAATATTGAATAAATTAAAGTCAAACCAAATAAAACAGAAAATATATCTCATTTATGCTTAAGGTTCCTTTCATTGCATAATTTATGTGAGAATTCATTAGACACGAGATCTAGAAGAGTTTCACAAGAGTTTCGACTTTTCGAAAGTAAAAGGTTTATGTTTGCTACTGTAATATTTGAAACTCACGTAATCGACTTTCAGAGAGTTATTTTGATCTTTATATTAGATTTAAATACTTCAAAGAAAGCAAAGAAATCATGCTTATTTGAAACAGTAAATGGAAAAATTTTCTTTTAAGTTAAGCTTTCAAAATTTTCAACAAAAAATTAGAAAACTTTTAACTTACAAAACTCAACCAACTTTAGCGAGAATCTTTGATATTTTACTTACAAAATGTCCATAATGTGGATCACCCTGTTAAAAAGTAAATAAATTTACCGGGTCATAAAAAGGAAAGAAGAGAAAAGAAGAAAATCTAATTAATCAAAAACAAATGAAAAATAAGTGGAAAAAGTTTCTTAAAAAAGAAAACAAAATTGCTGTTTTAAAAGTTTAATTTCAAAAATTTTGTAGATAACTGCTTACATAACAAATTTTTTAAAAGATTTGTTGTGAAATTTCAGAGACTTGGTCCGTACTCTTTGTTGCTTTTATGAATTTTCCAGAGCAAAATTTTATCGATTCATTTAACCCTTGTTTAACGATAAAAATGACGGACCAAGTCCCTTGTCATAGTCTATAATTAAGCAAATTGTCGGAAGGTAAAAGAAATGAAATTACATTTTTCATTAGCATTATTTAGGAATGCATTTCAGAGGAGTTTGTAGCTTAAAACTAGACCTTTAATGCAGCTAAATAATTTGAATAAAAAAAGAATGGTTTGCCATCCAATTGTACTTCCTTCCGTCTCAATGACCTTACCAGAATGGCGAGTGAACACTTAACATTTTTAAGAAGCGAAAAATTCAAATATAAAAAGAAAATTCTTTCCAATTTTTCGCAGCTACTCTCTAGAGTGTCGAAGAAAGGCATAAATTTTAAAGCCAAAAGAATTTTGCAAGTTCGTATAATAATAATTTTTTAATTATGCTCTCAATCATTTAAATGCTTCCTTGGGAATTGCTCAAATGGGGAAGGGGCGTTACAGCGACTAACAAATGTTTCTTCAAATCGTGGAATTAAAAATATGCTTTAATGCTTATTTTCATCTTTGCAGTTTACTTTGTGCTATGTGATGTTAGAAAAATTATTGCCAATAAAATTGTCACATGAAAAGTTTTTTGAAATTGTTCATAAACGCTAAAAAATCGTTTGTGGTGGTTATGTGGAAAAAATTATATGAAATCCACTTGATGACTATGTGAGTACTTTTTATGTATCAGCTGTTCAATTTAAAAGTCTCAATTTTTTATTTAAGATTTATCACTTCCGTCATGCCTTTGCAACGAACAATAAAATATTTAATAACAAACAAATTTCATTCAGTAATTAAGCTCTGAATTAAACAAGCATTAAAATTGTTTTAAATATTGTGATCACTTTAGAATATATTGTGATACGTTTTAATTATTAAAATAAATAATGAACTTAAACAATTTTCAATTTCAAACCAATTAAAATTATTAAGTTATTTTCTTCTTAATGAACTGTGGCTACAACATTTATATTTTGTGAAATTTAATGTTGCTTGAAAAACCATAACTAAATATTTGCTCAAACAAAATTAAGTTTTAGATAAATATCTAAACAAATGAACAAAGTGGAATGTTATGCAGTATCTAACAGCAATGAAATATATAAAAAAAACTATTTAACTCTGACAATGAAAAACTGGCAAACAGGCAATAACAATTTAAATTTAACTAATAAGGGAATTTTGTAGATTGATAGGAATGTGGGTGTGAGTTTATGATTCATGGAACAGAACCCATATCACTAAATGTTGTAGGTGGATAATATCATGAAACCTTTGTGTAATTATGTATGTGAGATATGAAACCATAGTGTCAAGGTTTTTCTTGCTACCAAAATGAGCTGAAGTTATTTGGGAAAAGAATCTTTTTTTTTGAGTCGTGCTAAAGGAATTGGTATCAAATGAACTCCAGCAGCTAGTAGAGCTTTAAAACTAATCTAAATGCATGAAAACTTTGTGAATTTTAATCAGTAACGAAATTTTTAACAATGGAAAAGTTAAGTTAACAAACAAGTATAAAATGTCAAGTAAATAACATGAACAATGAAGAGAAATCGGTTAAAAAAATCTAATATCAATAAACTCGCTATCAACTACAAGAAGGAAATCGTAAAAACACTTTGTTCATTAACGTTGCAAAACAGCTTTGACTTTTCTTTTCTTTTTTTTATAGCTCTTTCTTTCTCAGCAAAATAAACATTCTTGAGTTTATTTTTGTACCTGGCTCAGAGATCTAAAGCTACTAGTGCTGACGCTCCTGGCCTGCGAAAAGATGATAGATTAGAAGAAAAAAACTTAATTAAAATTATAGTTTTTCCTAAGAAGAGGATAAAAAATGATAAAACAAGGAGAAGGATAAGATTACGGAAAGATTTTTTTTTTGATGAGTTACCAAAAATAAATGTTTGATAAAGTTTTTAGAACTGGGATAAACTTATAAAGTGAAGATGAATGCGATGAGATTTATTTAGAATGAAGGATAGAAGTTGTTTCAATAGGGAAACTTCAAATGAACTGTCGTTTCTCAGCATTAAAGAATTTACCCGAAACAAAGTAAGGAAAATATGTTTGAAAAGGCTGATTTATAACTGGAAAGAGGCGTGGAAACTTCAGCAAAACATTGCTCTCAAACAAGGTCATTCGTCTCGTATTATTTATGTATCGTGTCTGTGACATTATCAACAAAGTATAAAAGGACAAAATTTATACACCTAACAATAATAGACGGAGCTTTTTCACACAAAATGATACAACAACAACAAAGACTTAGAGGGAGAGAAATAAACAGAAGTTGTAAGCCAAAAATAATAGAAGAAAAAAAAATAGAAAGCTTTTCCACTGTTCATCGTTTACGATTTTTCTTCTTGATTTCTTGAGGGCACGGCTACATACAACATTCTAATGGATATTCAGTATATATGTATACAGATTGCACACTTTGTGTACGTGAAAAGAAAACATTGCGTGTCTTCACGCTTTCTTCAAGGTTTCTTTTTTAAGTTAAAGCTTGCAATAATAAAAAAAAAATTTTGCATTATCAACTTTGTTTGTATTTACAAATCCATCACAACAAAATGTCTAAATACATTAAGGTTTGCAACGTTGAAAAAATTTACAACATAGAAAAGCTGAAAAAAGAGGCAAACGCTTGTGATTGAAGCTCATGATAGAAAGAGAAAGCGAGAGATAAGTATTGAAAGGAAGAAAGGCTGTTTATTGGTGGATGATATCAGAGCTAATTTTGCATCTGGGCATTTGGGATCATCATCATAAATATTTTTACTTTCAAGCTTTTCTGCTCCTTTCACACTTTATGGTTGTTTGCTTAAGATTCGGTTACAAGGATAAAGTTAAACTAAACAAAAGGATTAGTAAAGTTTACATTTCTAATTTTAAGCCTTTGAAGGAAAAAATCGCTTGGGGAAAATTAATTATTCGAATATTAAGACAACGTTCTTCTTATGTTGAAATTTTCACATGTTTGCTTCATGAGTGATGATAGTGATTCATTTTTAATGAAGGTAAACTTTCTTCTTTCTTCAACATTCTCAGCTTTCACGTAACATTTTAAACGGTGACGTATAATTTCTCAGGTAAACATCATCGAGGTTGAAATCTCATTTTAATTTATTATTATCGCTGGTGTAAACATCTTTCGTTGTGTTTTCTCAAGTTTATCAAATATGTAACGCTTCTGGAATCTTAGGGATTAAGCATGGAAAGCGCTTCTGGCAAATAGTTTGCAAACGTGACATTACTTAAACACTTCTTAAGAACCAAGCGTAAGACCAAGCCATGAATATTTGAATAAATTTGTCTTCCTACTCCACTAAACTTACCCGCACCCCGTTTCACTGCCACATGTTAAACAAAAACGAGAACAAAAAGAAGGGGAAAAAATATTTGTAGAAATGTAACAGAAGTTGTGTCTGCATTTGTTCACTTGTAGTTTACTTAAATGCTGAATTTATAATAAAATGTTGTTTCTCAAAGTTCTACAAATGCTTCATTTAGCAAACATTGCGACATCAGTTTTCCCATCATTGAGATATTTGCGAGAATATTTCAATTTTCTTTATGACATCGCATGTCATTAAACCAAGACGTTTATGTTTAACAAGTAAGAAGAATTAGAAAACTTTTTCTTCTTCGACGATTTATAGAGTTTTTAATCAAGTTGTTTGTAGAATCAAGAAAAAGAAAAGGTTTAACACGCAATTCTGTTACCAAGCAAAGTGAAAGTATTGACGAGAAATGTTTAAATTTACACCTCCTCGAATGATATTGTCAGTTGTCATCTTTACCTGTATGAATTGTTAAAACAAAAACTTTCACCATTTTGCTTAACATCATCATCCGTTTTGTAAGAACAACAAATGAAATGTTTATTTGTGCGTGGTAAGAAACAATAAGGCAAACATGTCAAAGTAAAAGGATATAAATGTGTGTCACGGTTTATGAGGATCTACCTTGCTTCGCGTCCTTGGTGGTGCAAAATCTTCCTTCGACTTACGTCGCTTATCTTTCAGAATCATACGAGCTGCTGCGAATGCCATTGTTGATGAAGTCTCTTTGTTTGCTTAAGAAATTTCGTATTTTTTTATGGTTGAACCAAGAGAAACTTTTTTATGAATTTCTTTTTTATGAATTTTATTTTTTCTTCGTCTTTGAATTTTGATGTTTCAGAAACTTTTGATATTTAACGTTTATTGCCCAATTTCAGTTATGAGAAGCAGATAAATATTTAATTGAACAATTTTATTATCTCGAAAAATATTGCTTTTCGGTTACTGTTTTCTTTTTCTTTATTCGTCACTTAATCAGTTATTTTTATATCACTTGTTTTCTTTGGAGAAAATAAATATTTTTGATTGACTTTGAAGGGAGAAGTGGCGAATATTATCACTTCTTTTATCACTGGAAATATTTTTTAATATTGACATTAACGATTTCAGATTGAATTTGATTACTTCTTCTGGCAACAACCAAAGTATTTTCTTATCGAATGTCTCGTGTTTGAGATAGATCAGGATACAATACGCACAAAACTTTCGATGTCCAACTTGTTTAAGCGGCACTTTTCGACATATTCGTTTCTGTGGGATTAGATGAAATAAATCAGAGAGGAATCATTGGTGAAATAAAGCTTATTAGCTTTTATCGATCGTTTCTTTCAAAAGAGAAAACATTACATAATGCTAGATACGTATCTGACTTTTGCTGTTGAGAGTTTTAAATCCAACTTAGCCTTGACATATTTTTTTGTGGAAAATAAAGGAAACCAACTGCAATCATTATCAATTGCTACATTGACACAAAATCGTTTGTATTATTGCCTTTCTTTTTTTCTTGGAAGTGAAAAACTTTAAAAATTGATGAAATAACATAAACTCGAATCTCTTCATAACATTTTTTGTTGTCTTCCATTTTGGCAGAAAATTTTTCTCATTGTGAGAATTCTTTTTGTATCGTTCGTTCTGCAAGCTAAAATTTTATTTTTATTTTTGTGGAATTGAAGACGAGACTAGAAAAACATAAACTCATTTGATCTTTTTCGTGACTAGATAGCTTCATTTTCTTATAAATAAAAAAGCATTATACTAAATATATGAAATGCCATTTTCCACGCTGTGATGCCATAACGAGATTACGTGGATGAAAGATTTCATCTCTACTAATGCATAACTAGTTATTTTTAAGGTGCTTTCATGGCTCTCTTATCAAATGCAGATAAAAGGATTGGCGTGATTATTATCAAAATTGAATTTATAGAAATCTTGACACTTGAAGTGACGTTTAATCTTTCGCCTTGTTTCTCAAACGTTTAGAATTGTATTTAACATTAAAAATGAAATGCAATAACATTTTCAGATTCAAATATCAAAGGAAAGTTTTTTTTTGATCAATAAATTAACAAAACTTTTGAAAAGTTGCAGTTGCTTGCAACGACGATATAGAGACATAAACACGATTCTCTGCATAATAAACTTTATGTTCGAAACTATGAGTGTCTCTGCTTTCTCGCCTTTGTTTGTGTGCCTCATATATTTTATGCAGAATTGCAAATTCATGGATACATTTGAGTCGTTAAAGTTTCATTTTATGTTTAAATACAATAAGACAGAAAAATTTTGAGATCTAAAAAGTTTATGTCGTTAGGAAACCAAATATTGTAAGCTGAGGATGTGTCAGAGAATTTTAAACTTTCAAAGCTTTTATTTAAGCTTCAAATAATCACTTTCTTTGGTTTGCAAAAAAACTTCTCTAATTTTGATTCTATTTTCCCTTTTTTTGGTTTCTTCTTTTTATCTCTTCTCTTACAAACATTTATTTTCAATTAGAACGAACAAAGCCATTTGTTACGAGTGAAATGTAATAAAATCAAGCTCTGCAACACTCTGAATAACGAACGTTCGTGATTTGTAATAATTTATATTTTGGCGGTGCAAACAAAAACAGGAAAGCGAACAGCACAGCCAAACTTAGCCAATAAACCTTGTTTACGTGTCTGCTGTAACGATCACAATAATTTTTCTACCCTCAACAATGATTCAACAACAGGAAAGAGAATCTTGCAATATATTCACATTCACAAAAAAACTCTAAATGATTTAAGGGTGTAACTTGAAACAAGTCATTTGTCTGTTGGATATTACGGCGAAAAACGAATTGCAATGATTATCGGTACCAAATTTTACAAATGTGAATTGTCAGAAAATTGCTAAAATAAAGCGAAAAAGATTTTTTCTGCTGCTTTATTTGTGTCCAAAGTGATGGAAGGCTTTCATTTACTTTTCAATGTCAACGATTTATAAACGAATAGAATGAGAAAAGGAAAAGCCGAATGAAGTAACAAAAACGATAATGTCAACGATTTAGATCTCCCTGTCCTGCTACAAAAACCCACAAAAAAATGCAATAAAAGCCATTCCAAATGTTTGGAAGCAAACGACTATTCTAAATTTATTACGCGATCGTAAAAAAAAATTTAAACAACATAAATTTGTCATGTGCGATCATAAAAATACATGGAAATGTTATTTGCATGAGACAAAACATTGAACATCGTTTACATGTTCAAAATGTTAAACATTTTCTTTTTTTGCGCCTTTGAATTTATTACAAATTTGAATCATGGCATAATCACATGGAGCTCATTTTGAATGTTAGTAAATGAAAGATAATTGAATGAAATTGCCTGACAGAGACACATCGTTTCGGGAATAATCTCATGTAGTCATGTGGCCGTCGCTGAATTGACATGCTTTAGTGTCGGATTGCTTATGTAAAGCAGGCAATTTATCCAGCAACTTTATCGTGAAGTAATTTATTTCATTAAAGCAATGATAAGAGAATAATTTTCATGGACGATGTGGAAAAGGTCGTTTAATTATTTCATTCAAATGAACAGACATTACAGTCAGACTTTTCTTTTTCATTTTCCATGATAATTTTCAAAGCCTTTCTATCATGTAATTATTAATTATTATATCTTCTCGAATGCAAACGTAGTTAAAAGGAAATTTTGTCATGAATGATTATAAACAAATAAGTAAGCTTTTGAAAGCTTCCGTTCCATAAAATCCATTGAAACATTTAGTGTGCAAGGGAAAACTTAATAATACTGCTTTGCATTTAAATCTGCAAATAAACACAGTTTGAAGGCGTTAGCTGTTCATAAACTCATTCCTCGTGTTAATCCTGATAACAAAATTGAGTTTTCCTTATCATAAATTTGTTTTACTTTTTCCTTTCCTCATAAACATTTAAAGGAAAATAAAACCTCTTCTTGTTATTTAATAAATAACTTACGTCAATGGAAAAAATGAAAATCTAAGCTAATTAATTATTTTCTTCTGATTTGTAGTTAATTTGAAGCGAAAACTTTTTCTTAAATACCTGCTTGATTGCAACAAAACCGTGTTAAATGCCTGGAGCAGGAAATACGCTTTCATTAGAAATTTTTTGAGTGAGAAGGCTCTCAATGGAGTTTTGCAACCCATGTCAAAAGATTGCGTGCTTCGCACTTGAAAAACGGTTATAAAAAGCCATCAAATGCTTTTACTTTCAGCAAACGACCATTAGCGATATGAGAATAAAAAATTGTTCTTAGCTTTGCGTTTGTAATGGTGTTTTATTCACATGAATTACCTCACCTAAGTTTGAAGTTTTCAAGCAGAACAAAAATAAAACTTCACGTTTATGATAATAAACAAAGGAATATAAATTATTCGAGCTCGAAGGCAATTTTTGAGATCGTAACTTTCATATTTTATTATAACAAAAATTTTATAATTTTGTTTTTGCTCGAGAAACTTTCAAAAGCTTTGTAAAGTTTTGTTATGGAGTCTTGTTAAGGTCTAAATAATCCGACATACTGAACTTGCTTTCCTTATAATAATTTAAAATTTAATAAGAAAAGTTCTGAAAAACACTTTCCTTAATATTTGTAAGGAAAAGTTTATTTAACTTTGATATGCATCTTTTAACTAGGGCACGTTTATCCTTAACAAAAAGGAATAAAATGTGTTAGATGCTTTAGTGAAAATAATTAAAAAAATCCTATTTACATAAATTTATTCCCAGTTTAGCATCATCATACCGTCGCCTAAAATCCTTTCCACTTTTCATATTTACTTAAATTATTTCAAGAAGACAAACACAAAAACATTGTTCTTGTTAGTGAAATCCTTTGGTTTCTCTCCTTTTCTTGTCTATTGTGGTGAATGGTTTAAGGAAAAGAACTAAAGAAATTAATTGATATTTTTTTGAGTTGTTTCGCCAACCCATCCCATTTTTTTCTTCTCTGGTTATTGTGAGGTCGATTTTATCTTATGCTAAGAGCAAATTCAAACACACAAAATGCTGATATAGCGAATAGTTAGAAAAGCTTAAATGGCTTTTAGAGAATAACTTGAGAGTTAAATTAATTTCCCTAATTTCTTCATTTAGATCTTATTCACGTCCGTGTCTGTAAAAGAAGTGAAAGTTTTAAGAGCTTTTTTTGTTTTGTTTTGTTTTGTATTGGGATGAAGAAGCTATACACTATTGAGATTAACTTAGAAGCTTTTTGAAAGAAAGATAGGATTAGCATTCCTTCTGCTTCGTTAGATAATCAGGAAACTATACACACGAGCTCACACTTGAGTGCAATGCACACGAGAAATAAACAGAAAAGCATTCCTAAAGAGCTTTGATTACGTGATAAGAAAGTTTGAAAATATTTTTCGTAATATTTCAAGTTCGCAGAAAAGAATGAAGAGCCGGCAGATTTGAAAAAAGTAAGCTGTTTTCTTTGTTTTTCTATCTTCTTCTTTTCGCTAGAAAATCTCGCACAGACACCATTAAAAATCGATATGAAGGTCTCTTCTCCACTCCCATTCCTATTTTTTCCCTTTCTGATTTCAACGGAATTAATGCTTTTGCTGCTGAATCTGTTTATGTGTGTGGCATTATTCAAAGGCAAAGTGGTGTTGTGATTATAAAAAGCAAGCTTGATATTTTATAACAATAAAAGCTTTTTTCTGATTGAATGCACGCAAACCATCGCAAAGCACGAGAAATGCTCACTAAATGAGTCTTAATGGACTCGGTTTTCATTTGAGTTTTTATGCGCGGATCAGGTGTGGGTGGTAGCGATGGTGGTTGTAACATGCTGAATGAAAGGCATGCGGCTACATTTTGTATTGAACCCTCAGCTAACATTGCAATAATAAATCAATTACGACAACGATAGAATTATTGATAAATGCTGGGAATTTACTATTTAGAAAGGGACTAATAACTTTTCAATTGATTTAAGGGTATCCCAGCGTTCTTATTCTAAATTTCTACTCTATATCATTTTGGAATTCAGCCAAAGGCATCTTATTGATCGAATAAAATATTAGCTCCACTATTCCAAACAGCTAATTAAAAAGATATTTAAGAACACGAGTTGTAAGATTCAAGGATAAGTTCCAAATGAGCTATTATTGTTGATGGAAAATAATTTCTATGACCTTCTAAAGGATCATGTAATAGATCACTGGAATGAAATCTGAAGGTAACTTTTTCTTTCATTTCGATAGAAAAAATATTACGTAACGTTTTGTAATAAACTTTCCTTTCTACATCAGCATTTCAGTTTGAAACTTGAATACTTCCAAATAGCAATTCATATTGAAATCGAAGAAAATTGTATTTGAAAATTTGAGATTAAAATCAATAGTGAATTGTTTGTTATCACGAATAAAAGCGAGTTTTATTGATAATATAAATTGCGTTTAAAATGGTATTTCTTGACTTCGCTTAACTACCAATGAAATCGATAATAAAATTAAACTTGGAGGTTCGAATATTGTTTCGTAAGACAAATATCAATTCATGCGATTGTTCAAGCTTATTTAAGTTCAATTGTGTTCTTTCAATATACACAGAAGTTGAAAGAATTTAAAAGACTGGAAAAAATGTTTTCTTATCGAGAGAATTTCTCTTATTATAGCTTCTTATATTAAAGACAAGAGCACATTATATGACAGTTGAGTGATTAAAACTAATTCCTAATTATTGCTCCGAGAGACAATAAATTATGAAGCTTAAACATTTGGAATAAGCATTTCTCAAGGCTGATGGCAAAGAAAATATAAACTCATTTTCCAATTTAATGAGCACAATTCATACGACGCAAACTTCAACGTTGATGTGAAATTCAATTTCTTCCTCAACATCATGATTAATATTTTCTTAAATTTCAATGCAATTTTATTGCTTCGAAAGTTTTGAAAAATAAGTTTTTGAAAATGAAGGAAACCTCATTAATGTTGGAATGACTTGGTGGGAAAATAAAATAAAATGCAGAGAAATAAAGTTTTGAGATGAAAATACAATTTTCAGTTCAGTAAAAGAAGTTGAAAATTGTTTGCTCATCATATAAAACTGTAAAAACCTTCAAAACATTTTTGGCTGTAGATATTAGAGAAAACCTCGAAATATGTTTTCATCTAGTAGATTTAAAACTTTTTATTATAAAATATAGAAAACTTTTCCAGGAACAAGGAGACTCCGAAAAGTTTCCAACAGTTTTTAAAGCGGAACAAAAAGTTCCACAGTTAGTTGTTTTTATTGAAACTTATTTCATACCAATTTTCCTTTATTTCCTTTATCGCGGTTGCTTGCTTGAGCTCATTTGAAAATTTCTTTAAAAATATTGTACTTAAATACTTTCATTTTAAAGCTTGGATGAGTGTCATCTTGAACCGTCATATTATTGCGGCATTAAATTGAAGAATCAGCAGTGTTTCATTAAGTACAAAGAGATGATCGTCAAAACAATTTTAAATTAAGAAACTCATCATTTTGTTATTGCTTCTGCTACTCAGACATTTTGCGAGAAAACGAGAAAGATCTTCAACATAAATTGAGAAAATATTTCGTGTAACCGTCTGAATTTATCTTTGATTATTTATCAAAAAAAAAACAACGAGAATTTTTTTATGTCTTGTGCATCAGCTGCTACGTTTGATTTATATTTTTTTACAATATAATTTCACGCTATTGGCCTTACCACTTCGACGTTTAAAAAGTTCCAAAAGTTATATAAAATTTCAGGTGTGAAAGAATTCGACATTTCTAGAGATTTATTTCATTTTGTTATGGATGAATATCCGAAAGGACCTTCATTACATTCTTTTGGATAGATGGATATCAGCAATAATACAAACGATGATGAAAAGGCTTCAGGTGAGTAACAACAGCAAAATCATTACGACACAGGTTTGCTTTTCACAAAAGGAAAGGATTTATCAAGTTTCTTATTCATATGTCCATGTCCATATCTCTTCATGCATATCATTAAACCCTGTCGAGTTTGTTGAGAAAACTTTTACCATCCCACTGTCTGCATAAAGATACTATAATTTTCCCAGCCTATCACATCTCGACAATCTTCAATTTTTCTTCATTTTTCAATGGCGAAGGCACTTGAATACACGCAACCAGATTATCTTTCGTTCTTTTTTTCTATTCTCAAACGAGGAGAGAAAAAAATCAATAAAAATCACTTGCTTGAGTTGTTGGAGCAGTAGAGAAGCACGATGTGTAAAAAGCACGATAAATGACAGCACAAAGAGTCGCATAAGAAGTCGCTTCATAGCGATAAGACTTGCGACAAAATATCTTGCGATTTATTTATTTGATATTTATTCATTTCTCAAGCATCATCATCACGGCAATTTCTAGCTGCTTTGCTCTCTGCCTTTCCCTCTTTTACATTTTTATGTGATGGCATTACATAATCACAAAAAAGAAGAAAAAAATGTTGCTTTAAATTGCGACAGTAGTGACAATAAAAAATTGTTTGATATATTTTTTGGCTGCTTCATGTTAGCACATCGACAAGAATTTTTTTTCTTGTTTTTCTATGTTGTCCATTCAGTACCATACTGCAAAGCTTGGGAATGAAATAAAAATTTTCTCATGAAGCAAAAGACCTTTTAAGGGAAAATCCCTTCGAGGACGATTAATAATCCCGCGTAGCAAGGAGTGATAGCAATCTTGATAATTCCTTTCCGTCGCCGTGATTAATATTCTTGTGCAAAAATTAAATTGAATTTTTATCGCTCAACTCTCAAGAATATTCTCACGACTTTTATTTATTTTTCTCACCGTGTTTTTGTTCTCAACAGAAGCACAGCTTGTGATTGCCAAATGAAGTGACGTTAACAAAATTAATTATATTTAGTATCAATTCCGAAAAGGCTACGATTTTATTTCTATTTATCACTAATAATTAACTTCAGTTACTCTTCGTGTAACAGCTTATTTATCCTACTAATCAACTATCAATATTGTTGGCTTCATTAATAATCGATCATGTGAATAACGCTTTTCAAGTAATGATCGAAATAATTGCCGACATTGTGTTTTATAAATTATTCAATTAACACACAACAATAAGTAGATTTCAAAAGTAAGAACCCGATTCCTTTTTTCTCCTTTCTCCCTTGTCAACGTAGAAACTAAAGTTTCCAAAGACTTTCCCTCTTTAGAATTTTTCACTAAACAAGTGAAGCTTTTACACCAAATTATTCGCAAAAAACTTTTTCCATTTACTGAATGAAAACTTTTTTTTGCCTTTTAAAGCACAGATAAAAGAAGATAAACTTTAAAACTTTTTTATTCTTTACTCGAACACTGAATTTAAAAGATAACCAAACGCTCAAAAATCCACCGGTGTACTGACCGAATTTTTATTACCGTCTATTTTGTTATCGCTTTTCCATTTCCACTCCGTGAAAGTATAGTCCTTTCCATAATGGAATATTTTGAAGAGAAAAAGAGAGAAATTTCCTTGACGAAGATGAACTTTCTCAACCTGTGATAACAAGTGGTGAAAGCGTCAAACCAAAGTTTATGAAAATATTTTATAAAAATTCAAACCAAGATTATAAATACAGATTTGAAATTATCAAAAGACAAAGCTTAGAAGTGTGCGCCTGCTTAATTTTCTAATAAGGAAAATAAATAAAAAAATTATGAAATGACTGGAAAGGGAATTCCCCAAAATATTTCACTAATTCTCTCACGAAGCTTCCTTTCTCTCTCAAGGAATTTTCCTGCACCAAACCAACATTGAACGCATTTTTCCTTCTTTCTCAATGTTCACAATCCATTTTTTATTAGACAGGTTTGTAGTGAATTTTTTTTGGGAATTTCGCAAGCTGGAAGTTATTATTAAGCGTGCGCCAATTCATTGTCGTTCTCACCATTAATAAATAGATAGAAATTCACCGTTGATAAAGAATCGAAATTCTTACCCATTGTTAGGCAGCACATAGGAAATTATTGGACGATTTATGTGTACGATACATCGAGATGTATGTATGATTATGTATGATTATGTCGCTGACAGCAAGCGTGCATTTGGGATTTGTATGTCGAATGCGAAATGGATTGATTAAATCGATTCTCTCTTTTGTTTTAATTTTTGAATTCATTTGGAAAATTATTGTTAGTTTGGTTGACTGAACAGCAAATTCATTCAATGGAAGCGTGTTGATAAAGACTGTTATTACATGTTATCTTTTTTGTATTTTCAATCTATTGTCTTAATATTTAGTAAAACATTTTTTATACATTGTAACATTTTGTTGCTCATGAAAACTTTAATTTTAATATAACGAAACCTCGTAAAAAGTTTTTTTTAACATAACTGTATAACATTAATTACATGAAGACTTTTCGAAGAAATCAATTAAACGTATAAGTTATGACAACTTTAGAAGCTTCTTAATTTTTTTAGCCATCCTTAGTCGTTTTAAGACGGTTTTAAGATAATTACCATAACGTTTAAAGGGATCTCAATGTCAAGTTCACGGTCTTTAAAAAGCTTTTTGCTTACAAGTTTTAATCCAAGAAGAAATGAAGGTAAAGTTTTGTTTTTCTTTATGAGCATACTCCTGAGCTTGAGGTAGAATGAATTATAAAGGTAAGATTTTATCAAAAGTTCACTAACCATAAGTTTTAAAAACCCTTACGGATAGCAACGAAAGCAACGAAAGCTTTTTATGAACATAAATAAGTATCTATACTGTTTTAGGCCTTCAAACATAAGAAATCGGAGTGAAAATCAACAAAATTTATAAAATTTACGCTTACCTTAAGCGTGTAAAATTTGTGGCTTACAAAGTAAGTTAAACCAAAAATCCATTAACTTTTTTAGTAATATTGCTGAATCAAACATAATTTCCTGTTTCGTAAATTTATTAAAGTGGAAAGATTCGCGAAAATTTACGATGATTAGTCAGGACATGTGATGTTCTGATGAAAATTACTGATCAATTTCAGAAGATTTTTAATATTTTAAAGTGTAAATAATTTCACTGATGGAAGAGAGTAAATAACATGATCTCGAACACGTATTTGAAAAACATAAATTTATGCTGTTACACCCATCAACTTGATATTCATTTAAATTAAAAGATGAATCTAGAAGTTTTAATTTATTAAAATGGCAAACTAGAGTCATTGGATATAACTTCAACATTCATCTCTAAACGATATTCACACCGGTTTTACATATGAAATGAGCTGCCAATTGTAAGCTGATAAAAGCTTACCAAATGTCATGATGTTGAAGCAGTAAATACCAGAGAATAAAAGATTTTAGATTTAACTACCAAATGGAAAGCGTATGTCATTTGAAGATCTAGAAATAACTTTTTCACATTCCCATTTCTATTCATGATCTCAATTATTTTAATTTTTTTGGTTCGAGAAAAGCACACGGAACGAATTAAACATTTTTGAAAGTGCACATGAAATCGCTTTTTACTGAAAAAACTTAAATTTGATACGATTAACTTTTTCATTCCTTCTCTCTCTCTCTCTCTCTCGCTCTATTTTTCCTGTGTTCATGTTACGTGCCCGTAAGATTTGTAAAATCTAAAGGAATGTAAATGAATTTATTCTCACCCAAAACCAAAATAAACTTAAAAAGTTGAGAAAATGTATGGAGGGAAAATTCCAGGTTTGCATGCAAAATTTTAAATTATTTTTCAGAATTTCAGCCACATTGGTTTCATTTCGAAGAAAGAATTTTATTTTTGTTCTAAACCCTGTTCTTTCAATTTGAAACACATAAATTATACGAATGTGGAGTGAATGTCTATGATGCTTTGCGCGATTTTTTATCAGATGGATTAAGGTACTGTACAACATACGATATTCGAACTCGCTCCACCCACAACCGCTTTCATATTTCATTGTGCAGATTAAAAACCTTTAGCTTTCAAAATAAATATTTCAAATTTATTGTTCCAGTTCCGGTAGAAAATAATATCTTAGAAATTTTCTAACTGTAATTATTAATGTGGGATGGACGGGGAAATTTACATCGTATAAATCTGGATAAATATTGACTTACGGAATGAGAAATGAACAAGCAATTTAAAAAAGCTTTGCTTTTTCTTTTCATAGAAAAGTTTTCATTTCAGCTAATATCAAGTTGTCTTGGCGTATTCATTGCCGATTAACTCTAATCTGTATAAAGTATGACTTAAGGGAAAATATTCAATATCTGCCAAACATAACTAATATTCGACAAGAAAATCACAATGCTTTGAAAGTTGAAACACGCAAAAAAGAGATAAGCTTCAGTTCATCTAGATAGATCGCGGTATGTTCATTAGGTTCACCTTTATATAAATGTAGTGTAGCATTAGAATGTTTATGATGATGACAACGTTCAATCATCACTATCTTTAATGAGGTTATTCGAATGTCGAAAATATTATCATTGTTATTACATGTGCATGTTCTATCAGATGTTACCTGGTGGAAGCCTAAATATATGTTTCAAACATGAACAATACAATTGAAAAACTTCACTGGATAAAATTATAAGTTATTACATATTACTATTAATATTAATGTTATTAACGTTATTAACACGTGCTTTGGTTAGTCTCGTGACAGAAGAGAAACATTAGAATTTCATTTACTTCAAAATTTTAAAATAATGTGAGAAAGAAAGCTTTTCAAACTTTGAAGATATTTTAACGGAATTATCAATTTCAAAAAAGAGCTTTCGATGAGAAACTTTCAACGCTCTCGCTATCTCTTTCTGTTTGTGCTTTCGATAGACCGAGTCACACAAGTCTTAAATATAACAAGCATGTAAATATCTTGCTGGTATGAAAAAAGAAATTCAACTGAAAAGGGAGGAAAAGAAAATGAGTTTTGTAACTCAAATATATTCAAAAAACATATCATCATAATTACAAACTGAAATGAAGAAAAGAAGAAAATTCGAAGAAAGGGAATTTTTTCGTTACTTACAAGTTTTTGAGAAAGTTATAAACCCTAAGAGCATAAGGGAAACTTGAAGGCATACCGAGGGCTTTCATCTCATTTTTCGTGGAAATTGAAGAAGAGTTTCTTACAAAACAGAAATTTATTTTCTTCTGTTATATTTATGAGTGACGAAACGACATGACGATGACAAATGTGAATGAAGAATGAATTTTGTTGGTTGATTTGGAATTTTGATATCTAATGATGTTCGTCTTTAGCCGCTTTCTTGCCTCTATGATTACTTACCTGGAAGAAAAGAAGAAAGAAAAGTTTTTCATAAGTTCTAAAAGTATTTTTTTTACAGTTAAAATATCTGGAAAACTTGTTTTATTAAGCAGAATCTTGCTCATTCTAACACTAAGATAACAATGCATTTGAACAAATAAATTATAAGTAGACAGCTTTAGAATCGTGATAAAAATTTGAATTTCAAACATTGTTTTTGTTGCAATGATATTAATATTCAAGTAGGGAAGGAGTCACCATAAATTCTAGCGAAGTAATTATGAATTTAATTGAATAAAAATTAAATATAACTTTTAATTAGAAATTGCTTTTTCTAAAATGATTCCATGAAAAACTGCTTTTCAATTAAAACATGAAATTTGTGGTCTTCCTGTAATTAAACATTATTCATCATTTCAATGATAAATTCAGGCAACCGCAAAAACTTTCTAGTTGCAAAACTTTGTTGATTTTAAATGAATGTTATAATAAATATAGAAAACCGTTTCCATCATTAAAACATAATTAAAAAATAACAATTAATATGCTAGGATTTTTTTTACTTCTGCACCTTTGACCACATTGCTACATTGTCCGTGTTTTTCCCCAGAGTTGCATTTAAATTGATATCATTAACAATTTTTTCTCATGTTTCGCATCTCAAAACAAGTTTAAATTGAAATCATTACATCTTCACAAAATATAAAGTAAGTGAGTAAGTTAAACGGTTTGAGAATGAAGTTTAAGGTAGTCAGGAAATTCCAGTTGCGTTGACTTGATTTGAATTTAAACCTGTTTTAATAAATCTTCTTTACTTGTCAGATTTTAAACGTTCCGATATCTAATGAGTGCCAATATTTATCAATAAATAACGCACGCGTTTCATATTATTTATAAATATATATATTTACTCAAGTTCGAGATCAAATGTGAGTCGAACTTGTTCACATCGACTTTTCAACTGTTTGTAAACTTGGCAATCATCATTCAAAGCGATAAACTTCAATAACTTCGAATTCATTCAACGTTAATACAATATTCAGGCTCCAAACTTATTCAAATATGCATTAAAATTCACTTGTTTAAAATCACCGTAAAAATATAACAGTGATAAATCGAGGGATTACAAATTACGACTGTTGTTCAATTCTTGAATCCATTACTAAATAAATAGGATTACTAAAGAAATTTGTTTTCACGATGAAGAATTTCACGAATTACCTACTTATAAAAATTGTTTTATGGAAGAAGAATTTTTAAGGATCAAAAAAAAATTTCTGTTGCTATTAAAGCTTTAAGCTTGCTATTTAAATTTCCAGAAGCTTTTAATTTTCAGGATTTTATTCTCGCCAAAGTGACGGAAGTGTGAAATGAAATTTAAATTCACTCACCGTATCTACACGACACAACCTTGAAGGCTCTTAAATACATATATGAATGAATGTATAGCTTCTGAATATTTAATCTCAGACTAAACAAAGAACATTCATATAATCGACAAACGAAATTAAGAAGCTTTAGTTCGTTTTGTAACGTGTGTGCAGAAACATCCGTTTGACAGAGAATTAAAGTATTTTTTTCATTGTGAGTTGATTTCAATAAACTTCCCAAGATAAATTTTCTTCTTATGATCAAGTGACGAACATTAAAAAGTTTTAAATTGTCGCTTTCTAAATTGAAAGTGTCATTTCTTATGAAGAATGTGAAAATTCAGATATAAAAATCTCTTGAAAATGACAACAACATCGCTTTAAAAAGCATTTTTGTATTGTTATAAAATGATACGAACTTTTCAATTCAAACAATTGCAAATTCTAAGTGTCATACATAAGGAAAGAAAAAAGTTTGAAACATTTTTGAAGTTGAATGTGGAAAATCTTGATGTGAAAATAATTTAATGAAAATGTTTTGTATCTACTTAAAACTTGTTTGGTTTGAATGACGATGTATTTTATGTAAAAAGTTGAGAAAGGTTTTTTAAAGTATGAAAGTACATTCGATGACGATTTTCATGCTTTTTTTAATCCCGAAAATGTGTTCTTTAAGTGATTCCAATTTGTAGCCTTGAAGGAAATGAAATTTGATTCATTTATTTAAGCTTGATTTGCTTTTCATATTACAATATAAAAGCATGTTTGCATGAAACTGGAAATGCTTTGCAAATTATAGCGTCTCAGAAGCTTCCGTCTCTCCAAAGCTTGTAATCAAAATGAAAAAGGAAAACTTCTTTTTATGATAGAAATGAAAAACATTTTCATCTTCAAATACAGAACAAGATAAGTAAACGAAATTCATACAAGAGTAAAGGCAAATAGTCAGTCACGGAAGGCATCCTCAGGAGAAAGAAACCGATTTCAATTTCTTCGTTTGAAGTTTCATCATGTTTTGTTCGTCTTCGACCATAAGAAGAAACTGTTTCATTTCTTATCAACAAAAAATCCTCCCATCACCCAACATAAGAAAAAGAAAGCATTGAATGAAATCGTAAATTGAAAGAAAGGAAAAAAGAAGATTTTATCCCAAGAGAGCTTCTTTCGAAATTATCAAAGAAAAATAAAATTATTTTTGGTGTTTTCCTTTAAATTTACATTTAAATCCCTGGCCAGAGCATCAAAAATTTTCCTTGAGCTTCTTTAATCTTGCGAAATAAACATTTAATGTATAAACGAAAAAAATATTTCTTATGGTCAGCCTTTTAAGCCAAGAAAAAGAAGATTTTTCTTATCAAATAAAAGCTTCACTCTAAGTCACACTAAGTAGAAAGACAAAAGAGAAAAATTCGTCTTTCACAAAATTTTCTGTACAAATTCTTCATAGCTGGTGGCGAATCTAATCAACTCTTAACTGTGACTGTAACTTTAAGATATTTATTTGTGAGAAGAATCTATCGAGTCAGATATTTTTTTATTATACTCAATAAAGTGAATCAAACAAAAGATTTGCTGAAAAATGCCCTACCGGGATTTTATCTTTTTTTCGCCTCTGTAGGCTTAGGAAAATATTCGTTTTCTTGCTTGAAGATATATGAGAGAAAAAGAACGAAACAAATAACATGAAATCATTAAATCACTGAAGTCTTGAAAGGCAAAGTCCGTAACACATAACAATAAAATATCAATATTGTTGATTGAATTGACTGACCATGAAAGACTTCTTTCAATGCTTTTTCAACGAAAAATCGAATACAGAAAGTAAACAAAAGAAAGGATTTCCCAAGTGAAACGAGAAAATGAATAAACAGAAGATTTTCCAATGTCACTTCAACTAGCTGAACGAAAATATTTTTCAAAATAACTTTGTCGCAGTTTCAATTTTCCAACTCGGTGAAGGCTCAAATTTTTAATTGCAAATTTCATGATTCGTTGCGTTTAACATCGAGCCCAATAAAATATTTTCCAATTTGATGTTTATTTTTATAAACCTTTTTTAGACATTTTCTTATTTTATTTCTTAAACCTCCTACTTGACATAGGTGAAATACAAGAGAAAAGTCTACGTTTAGCTCGCACTGGATAAAAGGAAAAGTCGAAGTAAAATATCGGAAGTACAAATAAAAATAAATTACTACGTTTATAAGCGGAGCGACTTAAGAAAAGAATAAACAACCCAAGCGTCGCCCCTCGTACTGACATAGCCATGAAAACATCAATTTTCTTAATTTATGTTGTAGCAACAATTGTGTTGCTGTCGTTTACTCCATGCTATCTAACCAACGCATTAAAGTTAGACAGAATAAAGAATTCAGCTGTAGGTAATAATTTTTAAATGTCAAGATGAGTTGAAATGGAAAGAAATTAAAAAAAGAAAGAAAGAAAAAGTTTAATTGATTCCATTTTTACTTTGTATTTGGTTGTAGTAGAACGATACATGAATTTATTTATTATTTAAGATGCTTTAAAACTTAGTGGAAATGTTGCAAAAGGCGTTGCTGTAAAAGTTCCCGATTTAATTCCATCTCCACAAAACTTGTACCGATTATCAAAACAAACTTTAATTGGTCTTCCATTTGAACTTTTACTGTCGGGAATCGATCAGTTATGTAAGTGATATATGAATTCATTATGTAAGTGTATCAAATATCGAATCGATAATGGATAATTTAGGTTCAATCGCTCTTGCTGCTGACAACTCTACCGAATCTTACAAACAACCAAAGATAGAAGAAATGAATTATGTTTTGTTAACGGAAAGAGAAAACATTTCTATTCCAATCACTGAATCTTTAAAGCTATGGAATCACGAGCAATTTGATGTAATGAAAAAAGTTGTCATTATGGTAACAGGTTGGACAACTGATGTTAATGAAGAAAATTCCGCAGCAAGCGAGTTATGGAAAGCTTATCATTCAAGGGGTGACACAAACTTTGTGTTTGTTGATACGGCTCGTTATGTTGATACTCTTTATGCATGGTCAGCTTTCAATACTCAAGAACTTGGTAGAGGATTGGGAAGGGGCTTGGCTGAGCTTATCAAGGTCGTTCCATTAGAAAACATTCACTTGATGGGTCATTCGCTTGGGTTGGTTTTACAACACGTAAAAGAGCTTTTGAAAACTTTTTGATTAACTTCTGTTATTCGCTTTTATATAGTGCACACATTGCCGGTACAGCTGGAAAAACTTTTCAAGAAATTACTAATAAGCAATTGCCAAGAATCACCGCTTTCGATCCAGCAAAAGTAAGAAAAGTTGTGAATTTCCTGGAAATTTCATTAATTAAACTTTTTCATCTCTTTTCTCTTTTATTGCTTCTTCATCAAAAGCCATGTTTCAATGAAGGTAAATTGAAATTATGTTCTTTCTTTCTTCTTATGAGAGTAAGGTCATTAATGCTACATAACAAAATGTTTTCGTTACAGGTGAAAGTCTCTTAGGAGTTGGCCGTGGTGATGCGGAATTTGTCGGTAAGGATTTTACGATTTCGTTTTTTGCTTTTGATATTTAATTTGACACAAGTGACACTTGACTCATGATGAAAACTTTTTCGATCATGATAAACCATTTAGACGTGATCCATTCTGATGCTGGAGGATTGGGAAAATCAGAAGCAATTGGTGATGCAGGTCAGACATTTTACACGATAATTGAATTATTTACATTTTATATACGTTTCGTCCTTTTCACTTCCACGAAATTCAGATTTCTTTCCTAACGGAATTGTGCCTCTTATGCCAGGATGTCTGACAATTTTCTGTTCGCATTCAAGAGCTTGGGAATATTATGCAGAGACCGTTTATAAAGGAAATGAAAGTAACTTCATTGGCAAGAAATGCGGATCTTTGCTTTCTTATGAAATCGATGCATGTATTCGACAAGAAGTTCCAATGGGTTACGCATGTCCACCCACAGCAAAAGGCAATTTCTTTTTAAAAACATCTTCGAAATCTCCATTTGGACTTGGTCAGAAGAACAAATAAGTGAAGTTCAATAACTTTTATTAACACGAAAAGATAAATTTTCGCTTCCAAACACCCTAAGGACCGATAAATCACTTTCACAGATGACCAAACAAAACCAGATAATGTACATAAATACTTTTTATCAACAGCAACAAAATAAAAAAAAACTTTTATTTTATTCGTTTTACTCTTTTGTTTTGTAATCAAAGCTCAACAACTTTCACCACATCGAAACCTTTCCACAATATTCTTAATCATTGCAATGTTTGCTTTTGCCTTTTGCCCTTTGTCTATGTTATTGACATTGATGGAATGAGAAAAGGCAAAAAAAAGAGAAAAAAAATCGAAAGTTTCGATGGATTACAAACACATCGCCATTAAAAGCATTTCATCAAACAAAATCTGAGTTGGTTGATGCTTGCTTTGTTGGTTGTTACAATTACTTATAGAAACGTGGAAACACTCTCATGGTCGATTATTATCCTGGGTGTGATTAAACTTTGACATTAAAGTGATGAATTGTTTGCTTATCAGCTCAAGCAGCTTTTAGGATAGTGAAAGTTATTTGTAAACTAACCGATTGATATCTTCGATCATTACTAATATTTCTTTTTTCCTTTTAGTGTGTAATATTTAAAAGTTTTTATGATGCTTGGGGATTTATGTTTAGATTTTATCCTCAATCTTATAGCTTTCATTTCAATCATCACATCCTGAAATGTTTGATGAAATCAAATGAACCTTTTGGGAATTTGGACATAAAAGTATACACAAAAAGCTTTAGGGTTTTAATAAATTAATTAAATTTCATAATGATAATAAGCTTAACTTATGGATTCTTTGAAGAGCTTTCAAATTATCACAGAAAATAAGCTTAAAAGTTCCCAAATTAAAATTAAAGCTTTTTCTCTGACTTTTCTTATTTGAAAAGCTCGAAAACTTCTTTAAAACGATAATTTCAATTCTTCTGCTTCTTTTCATTCATGATTAGAAATTTATAATATTTTTAAATGCTTTTACTGTAAAGCTTTCAAAAGCATGGAAATAATTATTCATTAAAGATTTCCTTTAATCGTTTAAGATAAGCTTCAACGATGTTCCGATTAAATTAATTGCTGCAAGATAACACTTCAAACTTTCTATTTCTACATTTTATATTATAAAATACAAGAGAATGTTAAGATCTGCAAAGGCAGCAAATTGAATGCTCAATAATTTGATAAAGTTCGAGAATTTCTTTCTTCCTTGAGCCTTTCGCACGATTTATTTATGTTAACAAAATTTACCTTCAAAAAGGTGATTTCTCATCTTCTCTGACTTTCTAACTTTATTTTCTTCCTTACTCAACACCCAAACCTTCCTGATAACATGCCATTCAAGAAGTCAAGCGAAAGAGAAAAAACCCTTCTTCAGCTATTTTCGTAAAAAGGGAAATTAATTTTTAATTTGCGAAGTGATGGTTAGCTACTGAACAAGTCGCTCTCAAAGGAAATTTATGATATGATGGGTTGAAGGTATTTCGTGTTGAATACTCTTTTGGGAATTTTAATCTTCATTTCTGTCATTCGTAAAGAAATATTTCTTCATCTTCGTTTACTTAACAACACAATTGAGAGTTTTCTTTTTCATTTTGAGGCAAGGCAGTCATTGATGTAATTGTCAGTTGTGAACGATTTGTAGACGGAGCACAAGCACCTAATTTGGGGAAAACTTCGCACTAAAGACATCTTAAAGAAACCAATATTGCTTTGTGGGCAAGTGTTCTTAACACCAGATCATTAGTCTACGTTTTATGGGATATGTGCGTCAATCTAAACATGTTTCGTTGACAATAACCGCGGCACCTTCTTTCTCGTTTCGCCAGAATCATTTTGGACTCTTCAAAGAAGATGAACAAAAATTGATGTTTCATGAGGTTTCAGACCGTCGTCACAATAATAAAAACTTTTTTTTTTCGCATTATTACTGAAAAAGTTGGAGACAAATCGACGAGTAAGCGAGAAACATGTGATGAAGAAAAAGTTTTATATCACTCAAAGATATCCAATGTTAGGTATCTAGGAAAAAGTTCAAAGCTTTTGTTTTTATTTCAGCTGACAAACACCCAAACAGAAAGAATTTTATTTAGTCAGCGGAATTTTCCATCTCATTTGGGAAAATGTGAGAAAACCGAAATTATTAACACGCGCTCATGGGCTTAAGCATGATTAACTTACATTTTATAGTTTCGTTTGAGATGTAGACATGGCATCGATCGATCAGCATGAAAATTATTAAACGGATGTGATAGAAGTCGAGCTTATTGTTTTCGCACATGCCACAAAAGTTTCAGTAAATGGTTTATAAGATTCTAGTTAATAATAAAAGCGTTTGCACGATAGCATTAACAGGAAACATTTCTTCTCCTTTTATGCCTTATCAACTGTTTCGTTTTTATAGATTCGTAAAGAAATGTCGATCATCATAGCATTTGGTCAATTATGTTTCCTTCGTTACACTGTCAGAAAACTTCTTCCAATACTCGCATGACTGAACTCTTCACATATACGTACGTCTTTCAATAGACGATGACTTTGCATTTTCAAGCAAAAAAGATAAAGAAAAGTTTTCATGAATGAATGTTAAACATGTAAATGGAAGTTAAGGAGATTCGAGGCTCTTATCTTTCGACACTAAATGGATTTTACATCGGAAAACATCATTTCATCCTTCATCTTGTATTGGAGAATGATGATGACAGGTAATTTTCAGCCATATTACAAATCAATAATCGATCAGCATTCCATTTGTCCGTACTCGTCTCAAGATAGATTACCATGTAAAGTCTGAAGAAAGGACGTCTGTTTTGACACGAAAGTCTTTAAAATTTTAAAAAAAAATCTATTTAAAGAATATTAGTACATGAGAAGATATTTGGATTCCGAATTACAAATGTAATCAATAATTTAATTATTTATGGTAATTATTCAAAACGTTTCTTTTTATTGAAATTTCATTTCACTATCTAATGCAACAGGAATTTGTTCACAATGAATAAACAACATTGTAGGATTGTTTGTAAAATCAATAAGGAGTGAAACGGATTGCTGGACAATTTTCTTTTGTTGTCCCCATGAAACGAACTGGAAACAAAAGATAAACAATTTTTATTACACGAACCGGCTTGTAAAAGGTTTTTTGTGTTGAAGCATACTGCGGCGAGTGTCCTAATGATACTTTTGATAAACAAAAGAAATATTTTTTATGTTTACAACCAACTTTTCATATCTACCAAACAAATAACGCGCCAAAAACCATTAATCACGACTACGCGTTAGTTCGATTACTTATTATGAATTTAGTCCCAGAGGAAAACCAAAAACGCTTTCATTTTCGCTACCATTTGATTATCGATTGTTTCCCCTAAAAATTTGTCAATTTGGATACGTGGAAATGTCACTCAATGGACAAGTGTGCGAATGAAAGTAAAGACCACGATCAATAATGCGACAAAATCGTTGACCTTCTCGAAGTGACAGTTTTACCCTGAACAATCGAAGCGAGAAATTATTTCTTCTCTTCAAAGACTGATTCAACTAATGAATGTTCGCTCAAAGCATTTCCGACATCCTTCAATGAAGTCTCGAAACTTTTCTTTATTGAAACAAAGCGAATGAAAAAAATTCTTCTCATCAAATTTTCATGAGATTGAGGTTTCTGAGCGAAATTTTCCATTCCCATTAAGCACATTAATGTTTGATATAAAACAATTTTGCGGATAATTTAATTCAAAATTCGATCATTTTGTTCTGTAATTTCGAGGTTGTTTTACATCTACTCGTTATCGATGTTCGCAAGCATGTTGAATGAAATATTTTATGAGTTTAATTTCTTCGTTCAGAGAAATTCTGGGACTTAAGCACTTTCATTCTTTTCTCTTAAATGCATTCATGCTTTGATTAAACATCAAATAATCCCTTTGCTTACATTTCCCTTCCTTTAAATACTCATAAGACTGAAACCTTTTTGAGACTCAAAACTCGGTTAAAGTGAATACTCTCACACATACTTTGATGTTTCATAATATTTAATAAAAAAAAGGTTCCACTAAAGCTCTCATTCTCTCGGATAATCCGGTCAGATAAAGGATGAAGTTGCGGTATCAACTTTAAAAATAATCAACAAGTGAATGTCATGAGCTTACATTGTACCGAGATTAAGCAATTCAAATAACTCTCAATCATCATTTAGAATTCTCTTAAAATCAAAATGCAGTGATTAATGCCTTTTGGTCATGTTTCCCTATCTAAACTCTATTCAATTTTTTTAATTTAATTAATTTACATTTTGCTGAGTTGAGTTAAATTGAATTTGAATTAATTCAAATGTAAATCACATTTTTGTCACTAACGAAGTGACAAACGATTTTCGGTTCTGTCGAATTTTCATCCACATAATGGGATAAACAAATAACATTCATTAACTGTTTGGCATAAATTATGTGATAAAATATTTAAACATAAAGGTCAGGGAGCAATAATTGCGTTAATCAGCAAAAATTTCTTAATGAGCATTGACGCACGCAAAAAGATTTCTGTAATTGAATTTCATCAGCACTAATGCGTTAGTCTTTATTTTTAATTAAATGAATGTGATTGATTTTTGCTTTGTTTAGCATTCTTCGGACAATTTTATTCTGTCTCAAACATAGCGTGAAACTTTTAATAAGATGGAGTTTTAACGATAATCCAAAGCCTCTTTTAATTGAAGTTTTAGTACAATAATTGGTTCTTCTTTTTCCTTTCTTTTTTATTTCTAAGCCTAATTCTTTTCAAGGTTCATTTTATTTGCAAACATTTACAATTTACCGAACATTGAATATTTCAAACATGAAAACCATCATACGTAAAATTACTCTCGTAAAATGCAAGCATATCTGAATGGTTTCGAAAAAATTTCGGATCACATTTCTACCAACATAACAGGTTGAAACATTTCCTAAACGAACAGAATTAGAATTTCCGGTGTCTTGATTCGTGTTAGATAATCTTACACTTCGGAAAACATCTTTCATCATTTTACAGGCGTTAAAAAAAATAAAATCCATTAACAAATATACTTTTCATTGCATAAATTCTAACTCAAATAAGGATTTAAAGTTATATTGGAGCTCTTTATATGCAGTTTGAAGTCATGAATCAATTTAATAGCTTTGGGAAATNTTTAGTATTCTTTGGACAATTTTATTCTGTCTCAAACATAGCGTGAAACTTTTAATAAGATGGAGTTTTAACGATAATCCAAAGCCTCTTTTAATTAAAACATCTAATCTTAGAAATAAATTGAGTTTGGTTTTCTTTAGACATGAGATGTTCTTGAGCATCCGATCATGATATGGATTTGGATTTATGCCCTTTTGCATAAGGTTTATCCAAACGAAAGACCAAAGAAATTTTCCTACTCATTCAACAAAAAGATTAAAGTTTTAGTACAATAATTGGTTTTTCTTTTTCCTTTCTTTCATACTTGATGGCGTCAAGTTCAGTTACTTTAGATGGAATCATAAAAGATCAAAAGTTAAAACTTAAAACAAAAGAGCTTTTATCATAACTTTTGTCAGACAATGAATGGAATTTTCTACTTTTCAACATCAGAACTCTTTGTGAAAGAAAAAGAAAATTTATTGTCTGACAATATGCTGTCGCTTTTCAGTGCCATGTTTAGATAGAAGTTCTACGACAATTTCGTTTGGAAAAACATGCACGACGTTCCTAACGTAATAATTTGAAAATTACATTTTCACTTTTCATTTTATTATTTTTTTTGCTCAATAAGAGTTTGTTAAGAAGGAAAAATTGCAAATACTTTAACACATGGCTTGACTTGCCAAAAACATTTCGAGTCGCATTGTAAATTTCTTTCACCTTTTTAAGAGTTGCCTGAGAAAGAACTTTTAAAACATTTCTGTTGTCGAAAATACAATCAATTATATGTTAATGTACGCTTTTCATTGTTTATCAATAGACAACAATCTTACACCGTAGAGGATATTTGTGATTTGAGATGCTTTCTCTGAATTAATAAACAACATGCCAATAGCAACTGACAAAATCCAATAACAACCACTTTATAGAAAATTAAACATTCTCGCTTTCATTCATATTTCCTAAAGCTTCTTTTTATTTCAACACTCGGAAGTTGAATAAGGAATCGTGACAAAAAGAAATAAGAATGTTCATTGAAGAGGGTAGAGTGAGACATTTGAGACATTTATAGATCCATTTGAAGGTGAACGTGTATATACACGTCTATAATGTGTATGAAATGTCAAGAATCATTCATTTGCAAATAAATACATAAATAAAACGAGTTAAATACGAGGAAGGAAAATTGAAATCTTTTTTTCAGAGATAATCATATATTGGCTTTAGATATAATTATATCTACATGAATACGCATAGATATGTATGTACTTGGGATAATAAGATCTATTTCTGAGTTATCATCTTCCTCATCAACTTACCCGTCGCATGACTCGCAAAGCAAATGATGATGTCTTCATGATAATTTCTTTCTTCTGTGCTTTTTTTCGTTTATTTTCTTGTATATCAAGCTTTAAGCTCTGATGCCTTCTCTTTGATCAACACTTAATTAATTCTTAGAGAGTCTGTCGCAAATATGAAAATATAATAATCACTCGTTAAATATAATTATATATCACTTGGGTTTTGATGCTGTGATGCTGAGAACTCTTTGTGATTTGTTAATTGAGAAGCGAAGAAAACTTTGTTTTACAAACTCATTCATATAAAATTGTTTACAGAGTAAGGAAAGAGCTTGATCAACGCAATTTGACAACTCGTAAAGTCATGAGTCTCTTCAAAATGTTATGTCAAATTTTAATTAACTCTAAGATGTAAATTTTTCTTTGAATATTTTATTATTTTATCACTTAAAATAATATCTACACCAATAATTAAACATTAATTCTACCGCTTCTTTTGGCAACGATAAATAATAAAGTGAGACTCATGAATGACTAAACATCGGAGAGAGGAGCAATTTAATTTAGATTTCTGATAAAGGAATGAGAAATCAAATAAAATTGATGGAAACTCAGGAGCTTAGTAGATATATACTTGAAAGTAATTTAAACGCGTTTACAATTTGTGTTTTCACAGCAAATGCTATTGTTGCGGTGAAATAATTAAATTTGTTAAAAAAGGCAACGAGTGTGCTTTAGGGAAAAGTTAATTGAGAAGCAACAACGATGCTTGGAAACGTGAATATGACATAAAATAAAACTGAATGAAAACTCTGTTGAATTACTTTTCAATACTGTGTTGAACAAAATGTAATGCAACGAATCTGCACAGACGATTCTCAATTTTCATTCCACCCACACAAAACTGTAAGCAAAAAAGATAAAATAAAATCAAATGCTGTCGTAGGAGGAACGAGAGGAAATTCAACAGGTTTCCATATGGTTTGAGATTAATTTTATGATCTTTTTATTGGTTTTTATTATGGTCATCTCCTTAATAGCTTTAGCTTCATTAATGGTTATTGAAACGACATCGAAATAAATAATAGATCAAGGGTCGAGTGGAAATTACACACAAAGAGTCTTCAGCGTTCAGATGAAAATCAAAAATCTCAGCAATTAAATATCATGAAAAATTCTCCTTCACTTTTATATTTGAATCGAAAATTTTCTTTTCTGTTTCTTATCTTCACTACACAGTTTTCTTTTTAAATAAATTTCTTTTCAATCACTCATTTAAAATCACGTTGAAGGTTCCGTTCTCATCAACTGACAGAAATGGAATGTTTCAAAAAAGCTTTTCACAGCTTAATGTTACTGAACAAAAAAAACATTTGCGCAGTGAGTAGGAAAATTATTCTTTTCCTTATCAGTGCTTTCGATTTTCTCTGCTTCTCTCTCTCTCACTCTCAGAATTTTCCTCGCACAACACGCTCTCTCTCACGTTCATAAAAAAAGAAAGTTTCCAAGGTCTTGTTAAAAACTTCTTAATAGCGATTTCATCGCGATAAGTCATGTCGCATAAAATTTTGTTTAATTTGCGAACATTTCCGCCTTTGTATAGCGGGTAGCATGCAACAGAAAAGCTCTTGTTTAATTGTTTTAAATGCTTTATTCCAATGAACCGGCGATGCGCAATCTGAAGTTGACGCTCTCAGAAAATAAATAAAGTTCTCATTTATTCAACAATCCTAAAACAAACAGCTACCATCGAGAAGTTTTAAAGCGATAGCATCGTTTTGTGTACCAAGAACTTTAACTCGTAGGCGCAATGATATTTTTCTCACATAGCTGTGACTTTTTTCAATCTTTATTATAACACGCTGCGTCCGCGATTACCATTTTTGTTATGTAAAAGCGGCCCTTAAACTTCTGCACTGAGGATGTGTTTATTGTAAAGCGTGATCCCTTTTGTAAGCTTGGAAAATGTGATTACGAATAAATTTGCATGAATTAGGAGCGGATGTCGTGTCGATCCACTTGAGCTGTCTGTTGTCGAATGTGAATAGCAAAATTCTATCGAATAAAAAGTTTGCTCAATTTTATGCAAACAGTGGGTTTATGATCCACAAGAGCTTTGAAGCATCTTTCCACTTACAACATCACAATCAAGGGAAGCAAGAAGAGCTTTAAATGCATACACACGTTTGAGTAAATCTCAGAAATAATTCTCCAACTTTGTTGTTCATTTTTTCATAAAAACTCTGATATTCTTCACTTCATTTAATGCATGAGAATCTACACGAAATTGCTTCATTCGAATTTTTTTTCATCCATCTTCAAACAACTCTGGATGTAAAGCATTTGCTATGAAAATTTTACAATGTTGATAAAAAAGCAAACATCGAATGTAAGATGCTTTTCCCTTCAATTGCTCCATTAAGAACTTTTCTTTTACAAATTTTTGCATTTAGCTATTAGAAAAAGGTGAAAGCTTTGTCTAGCTTGAACATTGATTAGAACTTTTGATGTCTTAAAAATTTACATTTTGTAGAGAGTTTTAGAAATTTTCATCCCAAACTACGACGAACGTCATCAACGATAAAAATTCATTCCATTCCATTACATGAATCATATGAAGCTTTCATCACCATTGAATGCGTGCGTTTAATGGCTTTTATGACGTGGGAAGTTAAAGTTCATCTTTTATTTAGCAAAGAGAACAATGAAGCATCAATGCGTTAAGTGCTACATAAATCATCATTATTCTGGTTTTATCATTGGGTTTCATCTATTCAGTCACCACAAACTTAACATTATTTAAAATTTAAAGAAAAAATGAATTATGCAACGAATTGGTCTTTTCATCGTTCATCAAAAATTCAACAATTTGCGTGTTTTTCATAATATCTACTCTAAAAGCTTTGACTTTCCAATCACGTCCAAAAATAATAAATTTTAATGGAATTTCATTGGGAAAGTTTCTCTGCGTACAAATGAAAATAAATTTCAATGAAGGCATTCGGTAAAAGTTGCGCGAAAATAATGTTGTAAGTTGAAGTTATCAGAAATGTTCTGCTTCTTATTATAAATAAACATGAACAAGATTAACATCCGGTGCTCTGTTACTGTGATTGAGGGTGTTTGATGATGTTTTAGTGCGGAAACATTATGTTTTAACTAGAAATATTTGAATTCAAATAAACATGCAAATGACGGTAGAAATGAGAAAATCAAACATCTGCAAAGCATCAGCATCAACAACACGGCGGCATCATGTGCGATGTAAGTTTTTCTGTTGGTATTTTCTGTTCTTCTTTACTGCTGCCTACTTTTTTGTTGTATTTTCCGCTTGATTTCTCAATTGGGCGAAGAAGTTGGGAAAAAAGAAATTTGAATGTCAAATTGATGGCAAATTTTGGATCTCATTTCGATCCTTTATATAGGCAGTCACGGTGTGTGAGGGTTGAATAAGGAACGAAGGACATCGAGAGAAAATTGGTAGGCTCAAGTAAGCTTGACCTCGATACTTAAATATTTTTAGGGTATCCGATGATGTTATCGTTATTGGTTATAAAAAATATGTTCGATTGGTTTGAGCCATTGCATTGTTTGACTTATTTTCGTTTGTTAATTCCTCAACAAAAAACTTTACCATGAAAAAATCTTAAAGTAAATATTACAATGAAAATTTCAATCTCTCTTTAACTCTTTGCTTACATATTTAAAGCTTTACAATTCTGATTTCTCTCCCAGTCTATTGTTATTAAAGGGAAGGAAATATCAGCATTCGAGTCACGAATCGTCACATGTTCATTTCACTCTATTTATATCGGTCAATTTCATTGTGCATTCTTTTTTCTATTCTTCAACAATGAATTTTGTTCACAGTACTTGATTGCAATTTTAAAATGTCACGTTGCAGGTTAGTTTAAGTTCTTTTGATTAACTCCTTCATATCTAGTTTCATTTGCCATCATCTCTCTTCTCTGTTGTTTATTTCATTACAGAAATCTCATCTCATAGTATGAGTAGAAAAGTTCAACTAATTTTGTAAATACAGTGGAACTTCGACAAGCTGATGCCTCAATAAACAAATATCCTCGATAAGCTGATATTTTTTTGTCCCCCTTGAGATATCAGGTTATCGAAGTTCCACTGTAGTTCAAATATTTTTTGTTTATATCCTCAGTAACATAATTTCACAAACAAACACACAAATAGGTAGAAAATAATGTTTGGAATGTTTTGCTGATGTTATTTATAGCAAATCTTTGTATACTCTTGCTACGTTTGAAATTGTTTACCGTGCAAACTTGCTGCTTCATCTTATGAAAATCAAATTATTAATTTTCTCAAAATAATCTCGATAACGAACATTATTACAGAAAGTGCTAAACAAACGAAACAAATTGTAAAGCCAAAACTTAAGTGATCGAAATTTAACACAATTGGTTCGTCAGAGTTTATATTTTCTTTCAATGCAATTCTGTATTAAATTAATCCTGCTTCGAAAAGTTGTTTAAACTTTTTATTGAAAGGCTTGCACAAATTCTACCTTGATTAGAACTTCTAATGATTAAAGTGTGAAAATGAAAAGTTTCAGAAAGAATCTTTCTTGTTAATGTTATTTGAATAAGAATGCTCATAAATGAATACCATAAGACCATGAGAACTACTGACGTACATCTTGAACTTAAATTTCTCATGTGTGCTTGAATTATTTTTAAAACTTTGTGAGATTTCTGAGAATATTTTAAAATACAGTGCAAGCGCGATTAGCGAAATTGCCTTGAGCGTAAAAGCTCGATAAATTTCGACACACTCACATTTTCGAACAATTTTCGTTCGTTGAACGAATAAATTCGTTGAAAGCATGGCTCCGTAATGAGCACGAGAGTTTATATTAAAAGTACTCTCAGTGAAAGTAAATAAAAGAAAAAAACGCAGTTTTACATTCTCAACGCATTTATCGTAATAGTTTATCACTTTACTACAGATTAGAGACGCGTCAAAATAAAAATGCAGCAGTTGCATGCAAAAAAACAACTTTTAACAGCAAAAGAAAAACTTAAATTAACCAAACTTAAAATGACGGTAAAAGCCGTGCAAGTCTTGCAGAAAGATTTAATGTTTCTGGCCGTAGAAGAAAATGTACATTTTGACGATAAAGTTGTGGAAAATTACATGAAAGGTCTTGAACATGCATAAGAAGAAAGAAAGGAAAACATAAAACCAAATATTCTTCCAATTTTCCATCAATTAAAAGACGCATTAGAGCTTTAAAATTATTTTTTCAACATGATCATGCATGATATTAAAAAATTTTAGCAATAAAACTACTAAATTGTCTCTAATTTAATATTTGAACTTGTTTATTACTTTGTACTTATTAAGTTGATTTGCTAAGCTTTTTCATTCAAACTTTTCGAAAAAGTTCGTTTACAGAAAAAGCTGGTTAATTGTGACTCCCTTCGGTTTTCGCTAATCGCGCTTGCACTGTATAAAATTTCCAATTTAGAAACTTATTTTTTTATCCTTAAAAAATGTGATCACGTTAAAATAAACCCACTCACATTTCAATCCAACTTATCACGTTAAATAAATGTTTTTCGTGTTTTTCATTGATTTGCCTTAAATTCCGCTCAAACCTGTGTAATAATATCAACATATGTATGTCGTTATCCCTACATGTTTGCCAACACGTGAATTCTCACACATCAACCTTTAACTAACACAAGTCAAAAGATTATTTACAATTGATTATGAAACACTTAATAGAGAAGTGAAAATGTAACTAAACAAGGAAGGAAATAATCCTCAAATTTACATTTAAGATGTAAACAATAGAAAAACGTCAAAGAATTTCAATAAATTGAAGGAAAATTTTTAGTTTCAAAACTATTTTTATTTAACAAGAAAGAAGTTTCAATAAGTGTTATTGACATGTACATAACTAAAATTAAATTTTCCTAGACTGATATTTAACAAAGAATCATTTGATTGGTGGGATGTTGAGGAACAACGTTTTGACTACGTGACATTAAACATAGCAGATATGCTAAAAAAATTTGTTATGAATTTTTTTCATTGATTTCCATCAGGTTTAGTTTTCTTTCTCCATTCTTCATTTTAATGAAATTTCATTCTATATCAGTAAACAAAATTCACGTGTTTTGTCGCATGAACACGAACGAGTCGAAACATTCTTTACTTTTACAATTGAATCTCCTTCGTGTTTTTACACACAGCAAGCACGAACAAACCCACACACATTTTGACAATGTACCGGCGACAGAGATTCACCGATTTCAGTTCTATCACAGAGTTCAAAGCGTTAAGACGGAAAATAAAATTGCGCTAACAGAATTTAATTATTTTACAAAAAGGAAAACAAGTAGGAAAGTTGAAAAACATTTCATTGAATATTATTCAGAAAGAATGAATTGAAAGTACCTAATAAAGAAAAAAAAAGAAATAAACTGTGAAAAAAAAAGTTTAACTTTTTAAATTAAGTTTATAAAAGTGTTTAAGATTTTAATTAACAAAGTTAAAGTGTTCAAGTGAGGAAAACTTTCAATGCAGATAAATTCGGATAAAAATCTATTACAATTTTAAACAAATGTAAGTTGAATAACAGTTTGCGAGTCGCAATTTGCGACTTAAAAGCTTCTAAAAATTCAGGGAGGAATAAACGAAGCGAAAATATTTTTTGGATTACGTAAAGAAGATTTCAAAGTAAAAAATAAAAGAAAAATTATTTTGCATTTCATTCTTTCTGTGATAAATGAAAATTTGTCATTATTTTTAATTGTAACAAGAAGTCTATGAATACTGAGTGTAAGACTTGGCATTACATATTGAAAGTATGATTTAAGTTATATTGACTTTGTCAGAGTTTAAACGATTAAGTTTGTTGCATAATTTTTAAGAATTAAGCTTTATGAATACAATTTGAATGAAAAGTTTATTTTTAAAATTTGAAAATTCATCAAAATGTTTCACTTTCGTATTGACATAACGAACATCAAATCCTTTATTAAAATCTAAATATAAAATTTTTCGTTATTAAACCGTCAAAATCAATCAAAGTTATATAAATTCAGTTCGTTGGTAAAAATAAATTTAAAATTGTACTACGAATTATTGCATGAATGTGAAAGGAAATTCTTTGAATTCAGTTAATTGAATTCGTTTAACTTTTATAATCAAGAGCTCAGATAAAAAAGTTCAGCTCAGACTTCGAAGCTCTTTCATATCGAGCTGGAACTCAAATTTTTAGACAATATTTTGATTGGAACTTCTAATTTAAAAGAGTGAACTGTGCTGATCAGATCCCTCTTAGATAATTTATAAATGAAATCTT